AGGACTATCCAATCCGTACATCACGGAGAATCATGAGCTTAAGGTCCGCCCAGGGCGGGATATCATCGAGTGCGGGTATTTTCTAGATGGCCGGGAGGAGGTGGGTGGGTACTTGGTATGAGTCATACTAATCTACGCACCCAAATACCGTGGCGTCACTTTCACTAATGAGGCATAGGATTCGCAGGAGAACTGGGATTATTAATTAATATATAAATACTCCTCGGACTTGCCTTTGATGAAGAGATCTGCGCAGGTTGGGAGAAGGCGAGACGGACACTTTCTAGGTAGCCGTTGAAGATATCACGCTGGCAATGCGGTTCAGTCAAAGATGGTCCATACGCAGTCCAATGAAGATGCAGATCGTGGAGTGACTCTGATTCCTGCGCGCAGGTGCAGATCCCGTGGGAACCTCGGAGGGACTGTGCACGGATCTTGCGTGCACAGTAATATACCTGCTGGCTACGTATACTGCGCTTCACCCTTGCACTCAATCACGTAAACCCCTGAATAGAGCGGTAATGAGTGGGAGAAGATCATCGCATCGTTCGGTGGTGGCTATCAGATCCGGGAGTGCCGTTCCTGCGAGAACAAATGATTAGCTCGGAGAATTGATCGCACGGACAGAGAAATAATATGAGATGGGAAAGAAGTGACGTGGATCATTGTCAGAGCTATGAGGAAACCCGTAGGGGTACGTCGCCACACAAAACCTCGGACGCTGAACATCCTCAATGCATCGCTTCGCCCCTCCACTCTACCCCCTGTCGCATCTAGTTTTTCTGATTGTGGCACCGCGAAATATCTAAGCGGTTCCCGACTCGCAAGAACACTTCCAGGAAATGATTAGCTCTGGGGCGGAGGTGATGACGTGGATAATAAAACCTCGATCCTCTTTCTTTCCATCCCCGTGTATAACCACCGCAGCTGGATTCTGGATTCTGATTGTGGCGCAACCCGCCCGGGTCCGCGATGCCACGTTATGTCACTTGTCAAGTAGAAATCACCAGATCGAGATGGCTGTCGATCCAGAAGGGAGGCTTACAAATAAATAACGTTCGTCCTGTGTACCGGCAATATTCCCACAGAAATATGAATATGTTTACCCGAATGTCCCTGTTGCGCATCTGTTTCCCCATAGTATAGGATGCCTCCCATCATATTTATACTAGTATTGGAAACAGGTCTGTCGTAGGTCTAGAGATCTGACAACACACATGTACATTCCCTCCGATGAGCAGTAAGGAGAAAGAGGATCCTTAAGAACGAGCTAGTGATGGTGGATCACTTCAGCGCAGAGGCGGAAGTATTCTTGAATACCAACCGTCACGAGAATTGCAGTATTTTGACATTGGTTAGCGCCTGAAAGATCTTTTTTTCTGAATGTGACGTTGGGCGCAGCATCCTGAGTGATTCAGCCCAGAGTTCAAGTTGTCGTTCGTTCCTCACGGCGGGAACTTTTAATATGAGCTCTGATCTCATCAGGTAATACGAATACACCACCAAGAGGTAACATAATCAGTCTGGATTATTGTGCCAATCCATAGTCTGCGAGTGGTGAGCACTTTCTTTGCGTTACTCCAATAATAACCTTCGTCCCTTCCATCCTCACGACTTACCGACTTGCTTTCCTACCATATGCAAGAATACGCCTATCATCCTCGTCGCCACCAAAGATAATATTACAAAACCAACTGCGCTTCCCAAAATGCAGGTGAGAGGTGTCGTAAGCTTTTTCGTAGTCCCCCTGGTTCAAATCCAGGTAATTGTATTGGATAGTAAGATTAGAGAACCAACTGCCGCCCTCTACACTGCCTGGCCACTGAGTTCTTTTATTGGAAACAGGGCGCCGAGGGCTCTTGAAAGGTCTCGTAAACATTTCGTTAATCTCAGGTTAATATGAGCACTGATCTCATCAGGTAATACGAATACAGCTAACTTACAGTAGGTCAAATGCAGACACGCATATAGTCATCCAATCGATATGACTTGCCCGTCTCAACGACGGGTGAGCACTTTCTTGCTTTGTTTCAATACATAATGTCCCTCCCTCCCTCTCTACTCACCTACCTACCTGTTTTCATACCGGATGTGCAAGAATATTCCCTTCGTCCTTGTTCACCGAGGATTAAATTACAGAACTTACTACGCCTCGACACCGTATGGCCCCCAAGCTCTTTATCTGATGATACTGAAAACTGGGCGCCGACGGCTCTTGAAGTGTCTCGTAAACTAGGAGACTTCACGGGCATGTATTGCATCCGATGTACTAGGATTACTTGCGAGCTACTGATAGTGCATCAAAACTGAGATATTCATAGAAATCTATCATAATTCAAGGTACACAGACTCAGAGAGCCAGGTTCAACTTGGGTTTTATTCGTAACGGCGCTAGAGCAATAACCTTCTGACTTTGCGGGTAAGACGGAAGAAGATTTAATATAAGGAGGGAAGTCCCTCGGCGCTGTATTGATATCATGACATTGCAGATACTCTGAAAAAGAACGCTATACATCACTTAGTCTAAGATCACGCGGCAGTTACCACCATTTCGGAACTAGGTGCGAGGATAGTTCGAATTCAATTTTTTTTTTGGCAAGATTGTGTGTCAGGTCCTGCTCGTCCCAAAAATAAAGATTAGTGCGAACCGGCTGCTGACCTCGACAACACTGAATTCTTTATTCAATACTATGGGAACGGCTCTTGAAAAGTCTCGTAAACATTTCGTTAATTTGAGAGCGCCAGTATATATTGCTTCCGATGTACTAGGATAATTTGCGAGGCAGTGATAATGGAGGTATTCATGAGAATCTATCGTTTTAATTCGTAACTCAACGTACGATTCACATGACTTGACTCTTGAGAAAAGTGTCGCAAATCCCAGGAGGTTTCATCTATTCCCTCCTAGGATACTTACTAGCCAGTGAGAATGGACCATTGTTCGTGATATCCAAATGTCAACCACGGTAGTATTCATGAAAATATATCATACTGAGTAATGGAGCCAGTACCTCATCATTTTTTGTCGTAATAGCGCTGGGAAGGTTGTTTCTGGGCGAGACGTCGGGCGCAACGTGATATAAATCAAAACCTCAGGCTTCAGACTCTCTTTCCAGGACGGGCCATTTCTTTTATGAGCTCTCGTACAAACAGCCGAAACAGAGGAAGAACCTCCACAATGCACAAATACCAGAATCAGAATCAGAAACCAAATAACGCAGACGGGGACGAGATATCAGTTATGCGGGGGATTCTGGAAAAGATTCGGCCAATATCATCTACTATCAAGGTGGCGGGACCACAGTTCAATTTGAGTGATCGTCCGCGTCAGGCACCGCACAAGGAAGAATCCCACGAGAACTGGAAGGAGGGTGTATTGATATCATGACGCAGGGGAGAAGCAGATATTCTGAAAAAGAACGGCGGCATCATCACTTAGTCTGTAAGCACCAGTACAATTTCGAAGCTTTCCCAACTGCGCTTCCTGCTGACCTCGACACTGCATTCTTTATTTGAAACAGGGCGCCAACGGCTCTTGAAAAGTCTCGTAAACCATTTCGTTAATTTGAGAGCGCCAGTATATATTGCCTCCGACTACTACGAGGATACTTGCGAGCTGGATCAACATGAAAATCTATCGTAACTCAACGCACCAGTTCAGACACGGAGCCAATATCGCATCGTAATAGCGCTGGGAAGGCGTTCCTGCTGTCTGGGCGCAGCGTGATATAAATCAGACCTTCAGATTTCATTCCTGGCGCGCGCACGGGTAGGACGGGGCATTTTTTGGTACGAGTTCTCGTAAAACCAGCCCAGACGGAGGAAGACTTCAGCACTTGTATATAAATCAGAAAATGGGGAATCAGAATCAAGTATATGAATACAACTAAGACTATAAAAATGACGCAGACGGGACGAGACATCAGTTGTACGGGATTCTGGGAAAATATTCGGAAATATCATATTGGGTGGCGGTATCAGTTCAATTTGAGTGATTGGCTCGTCTGGAATCACCCGTCCGCGTCAGGCACCATGAGGAAGAATCTGGAAAGCATCAGAAATTCTGTGAATGACCTAGGAACAAAGCTTTCTCGCTTATTATTGGCTAGGTATGGAGGGATATGAATTCAATTTCAGCGATTACTTAGTTTCTCGGAGTAAGTTCCTGGACTCGGAACAGACTGGTCGTCAGGCCCACTTACTCACAACATCACGGAAGACTACGACATGAAAATGGATGCGTACTCTCGCTAATGACGGGTATTTTAAAGCAGGACGGCATCATATCGTACTGGAAAGCATGAGAATCAGAAACTGACCAACACGGATGTAGATTGCAACCGTTGTATGCAGCAAGGCAGATTGGCGCCTACAATGTGAATACTCGTCGCGAATAAATAGTAACCGAGACTCCGAGTCGGACTCGGAGACATCACGGTGCTGTCACCTACGCGAAAGTCTCCGGTGCCGGTGAAACGCGTAGTGCAGGCAACGTTAACGGATAAACAGGTGCAATTGACTAGATGTATACGATACAGTGGTAGATTGAAGAGATCCAATGGTGCCGAGTGAAGTATGAGGGAATAATAAACGTGAATGTGTAAACGATAGCAAGAAGCAGGATAACAAGAGACGGACGGATGATAAAGCATGGCGTGAGTGAGAAACGATCAACGGCCCCTTGCATACGAGTACCTCGCTGAGGCTGAATAATCACCGTATTCGGCCCGAGCATTACTCATCCTTCGCCGATCGTACTCCCTCTCGTCGTACCGCTCCCTCGTCTCATACCGATACTCTTCCCTAGCACGGTGAAGCCGGTACCTCGAGCGCTGTTCGTCTTCCTCCTCATCGGAGGACGTACTCGACGATGACGGAGGGTGCCAGACGTATTTGGATTCGGATATCCGGCGTTTCTGGGACGGGTGAGAAGAGGAAGAGGGAGAAGAGGAGGATGCCTGGGGGGAGGGGGTAGGAAATAGGGAGGCTGCGCCGGGGTTGGTATGGTTCCGGTAATGACGACGCATATTGGAGTTGACATTAAATTCCCTGCCGCAGCCAGGGAATGGACACCGGAACGCTGCGAGCACAAGGATGATCAGGGTTGAAATCAAATACAGGGGTAATGGTTAATAACTCACGAGTAGCCCCCGTATGCGTATTAATATGGATCCTCAAGCTACTCGGGCGGTTGAACCGCTTATGACACGTCGAGCAAACATGTTTCTTGCCCTCCTTGCCAGCACCATCCTCGTCCTCCTCGCTGGAGATCGGAGTGGACTCGCGGCGTGGCGGTGGGAAGGACTGCGGTTGGTAAGGGAGCGATGCGGAGGATGCGATGTGCGTGAGAGAGGCTGAGGCAGGGTCAGACCGGAGGACGTCGAATGAGTATCGAGTATCTGTGGGTGCGTGGGAAGGTATGAGGGTCGGAGGGGCGCTGCCCTTGACGCGCGCTTCAGGCGGGACGCGCAGCAGGTGTTCTGTAAGCAAGGTGGTGGTGGTTAGCTAATCATTCACTATGACAGCAAAGAGTCATACCTGGGAACATCTCGTGTATGCTGGGTAGGGATACAGAAGGCGTGTGCATGGTGTGTATATGGGTAGGTGGGTGGGTGGGGAGAAAAGTACGAACGCCAATCAGCCGACGGTTTATATACTGATGCCTCTTTTCTAGATCGGCAACTATCCGCAGTGCCGAGATCATCCCCGATCTGGGCGTATCCCCGAGTGGACACACCATCAATGACAATCATCTCCTTGACACCGCCTCCAGAAGATGAGTCAGCGTGGATCCTAACACGCAGGTATGCCCATTCCAGCGCCACATCCGGGGGCTATATCTCAACGAGCACACCATAATAGTTTTTCCCCATTTGCTTCGGATGCCCCTCCCCTCTCCGCCCGGGCTCCGAGGTTTTTGTGCGTGCGTGCGTGAGGCTGACGTCACCCAGGAACGACGATCTTGGGTTTAACAACGCCTGGCCCCATGCGCGCGCGCGGCGGACCCACATCCGAGGTTCCTCTCTTACTAAACACGGAAACTTCTTCCCTACACGGATCCACTTCGAGCACGCTGTTGGTTTCCCAGATACCTACCTATATATCTTCTCATGATTAATTATTGTGCTGCGCAGATCTCCTGATTAACCACGGGCGGTGATCATTACCCCCCCTCGTTCGCGAGTCCGAGGGGTCTCTCTACCTGCACTTGACTCTACTTCTTCTTCCGGGATCTGCATCCACGCACCTTTACTCCACGATCTGCATATTACTATTAATCTGTCCGAGGACGAGTGCAATATCATTATAGCGCCACCTTGTACCGATTCATCACCATCCACGGCTACCAAGAAATTTCCCGCCTCTCTTCTTCTCCACTCTGCGCGGATCTCTTTCGTCCTGTTCCACATTCCGAGGGAGGTCCTCACCGGCACCCCTTCATTCATGCTTCGAGACTTTCAATTTCGGCTACCCAGAAGATTTCCGCCCGAGCAGCTAGTTCTCCGCGTCGGCCGGAATACCCTACCCACCTTACCTACCCGAGTGTGTCCTGTCCGTGAAACTTCCCCATGAACCAAATATCTCGCCCATGAAACTCATCCTATGATGAGGCTAAATATCACCGGCTCGCTATCCGTACGTCCCTGACGACAACATATTCCACCGATACCAATCATGGAGGTCATCTATCATACAGAAACAGGCGAAACTCATGATATTGCACCGCCCCAGTCGTGAAAGATTAACCTAGCAAGGGATGGTCGGGCGCCGCATGAAGCAAGGCACGCAATTCCACTCCCGCGATGAAAGAAAGAATATTGTACATGTGGTTGTCGAACTGAAGAAATTTAAATTTGACACAGCGGAACGGAAAAAAAGAGAAAATGAAATTACGTCACCTCGTCCACCCTATGAACGTCGATGGTTAATATTCGCCGGTACCTCCCGTGCTGGATTATCTTCTGCCGATTGTGCAATGAGGAGGGAACGAAGCCACATCTGCTAGAAATGGTTTAGCCGCTTGGAAAGGAGCGATACTGGTCTAGACTCCCAACGGCGGGTGTCAAGTTTAATAAATGAACACTACTATACGCTATGTGATACGCATCACCGACGTCGGTAACCGATCGAACGACAACGACCCTCGCCGCTCAAGGGTGCGGGAGCCTATCCGCGGGACACGGCCTCCTCACCATAAGAGACCCACAGATGATACTAAGTCAACACCGAGTAACATGATCATCACGCACCAAATCAAAGATCACAACACGAAAATCAAAGTCATGATGCGGAGAGGGACGGCTCGTTAACCGGTTAGGCCCTGGTAACTATCCGGGTCTGTTGAATAGTAGTGAGGAGAACTTAAAACACGAGAATCAGGTAAAACGCGGTGAAGCAGAAGAGGGGGGGGGGGGGGCATCATGACGAGGATCTGGTGTTTAATATAGACGTGTTGCTTGAGAACCTGTTGGTGTCATCACGAGTGTTAGACTTTCAAACTTGAAGTGAATGAATGGGTGGGAAGGATCCGTGGTTAAGGGGAGTGGTAAAACACACGACTGGGGGTGCATCATGATGAAGATCTTGGAAGTCAATATGGACGAGCGCGCGCAAGAGACACAGAGGTGCATCACGAGGAGCGAAAGTATTAGACTGCGTGAATGAGTGGGAAGGCGGCAAAGGTAAAACACGTTGATGAGAATACAAGAAGAGGCAGGCATCATGACGAAGATCTCATTCAATAAAGACGAGCGCAAGATACATAGAGGTGCATCACGAGGAGCGAATGTATTAGATAGACTACGTGAATAGGTGGGAAAAGGTTCGTGGTTAGGGGCACACGAGCAAGGGGAACATCATGACAGGATCTCTCATTCGAGCTCGAGAACCGGCCCGGGTGTAAGCATCTGGAAGGCGTAATCACAAGGAAAGGAACAAGTACGTGTTAGGTTAGGCTGTCGAACACGAGAATGAATGAGTGCCGGTGGGAAAGATCGTTGTTCAAGGATCAAAGTCGAAGCATGAAAAATCGTAGAGGTAAAACAGGACGAGGATACGAAAGAGCATCATGACGAGGGATCTCAGAATTGAATATAGACCAACACAAGGTTTAAGCTCCAGAACTGCCGACGGCCCGGGTCTATTCACTGGAAAGCATATCACGAGGAGAAAAGTGTACGAGATTAGATTAACCGAATGAATAGGCAGGCGGGTTGGAACCCTAGAAGCACACGACGAGGATCTCGGTATCACTTCCGTACAATACAGACAGGCCTATAAGAGGGAAGTAGAAAGGACTCGGGAGAAGAGGAATGAAATCAATCGGAGTCGGTAGATGTGATGAGCCTCACCCGCTTTACCTTCGTACTAGTGGGAGGATTGACGGTGCAGGAGATTAATAAATGGTTCCGCACGAATGTAGGCAACTTTGAATGGCTCGTCGGTCGATTCCATATAGGAGCTGAGCGCTGAGTGCTGGTACGTGGTCATGATCTAGTTCCACAGCCGCAAGAACAAGAACACAAAGAGTCGGTACTACAAAATTTTGCGTTGAGCACAAGACGAAATTTACAAAATGGCATGACGGAGCGGAACTGAGAGCCAGCCGCTTACGTAAACACTTTGCGTTTTCCCACTGATCATCGACGTCATTTTTCTTATAGGCTATCCTCGCACGCTTCCTCAGTCTGTGCGCAAGAGTGGTTGTTTTTGAAATTTGAAGATGACCACTGCGTTTGTCCAGTCAGAATAATCACGACTCTTCACGAATTCTTTCTCCCTCGCTCGCAACTTTTGCTGTCCTGAATCTCCGGAGTGGGTGTGACTACTAAATAGTGCGGTTTCGATTTATCCATGGTATAGAATTTTCAGTGCCGTATTACGACTGGATCACTAAGCCAAGGATTTAGTAATACCTACAGCTCGGAGCATCGGTCGGCGCTACGCGTCGAAAATTTCGTGCAGGTAAGGGGGGAAGAGGAGGAGGATTAGTGAGCTTTTTGTTTTTTGAGGTGCATGCCGCGCATTTTTGCTTGTAAGTTCTCACCAACGTTCACTTCCTTTCCAGACGGCGGGATGACTCCCCGCCCGATGTCGTCATTTTTCTAGACCTCGTTCTTTGCTGTATGTAAATCATTGATGACAGTTAGCCTTCGTGGAAAATCTTGTTGTCTGCATGTGCCCAGTTAGTTTCACAGCGCTAGCTAAACACGGGGACCTTTCTGTAAGCTGCCCTTTTCGAATTGCCGTACATTTCTACCCTCGCTACGAACGGTTAAACGGCAAAGGGCCCCTCAGGGATGAGCACGGATAGCTAACCGTATCGAGCCTGAGTGCATTGGGTAACGTCAAGCTCTGGCAGGTAGGGTGAAGAGATGAATTCCTCCCTCTTCGATGGTTATATTGCAATGATCTACGCTTTATGAGCATCTGTGCTGTTTGAAATACGTCTTTATCTTTTCTCCACTGCTAAACCTTAACCTGGATGCAGGGTAAGCGAGATCATCATACTGCGTACCGGAAGTCATCCTCCGGTCTCGGGTTTGAGTGTTATATATACCTGAGGTGCGTCTGGAATAAAATGATGTAGTAAAACATAAACGCGTGGCTCACAACGCCCAAATAGCCAACACCGCTGGAAAATGCGATACGCTTCGGGAGTGTCTCCTCTGACATTCGACGCTCAGGTTGCGTGTCTCAGCTCCAAGTACTACCGTCAAAACGCATATTGATGATGGATCCACGACGCCATACTGACTCGTCGCCAAGCGTCAATAAATAATTGATCTCACTTCCAGATCGGGTGAACCCGATCTCGGCAGCAGGTATAGTCACCGATCTAGACCCAAGTACATATATAACCGCCGGCTCTATGTGATTCGTACACTCTTTTTCTCCCCAACCCACACCTCCACACGAACGCGTAAGATGACTTCTCTCCCTAGTATACACGAGATGTTCCCAGGTATTCAACTCCACGTCTTCGTTATCCTGAATGGTTTGCTGACGAATAGTTCACAGAACACATGCTGCGCGATCCTCCCAACTGGCGACACCGACCTGCCCCACCAACACCGACACCAACACCCCCACCGATCCCCTCCCGTGCACCACCCACACGATGCACCTACACCATCCTCCGCTCCTCCCCCGCTTCCACCTCCCTCACACCCTACCCGCACCCCAAATCCAAATCCCTATCCACCGAAGCCGACGACGAAGACAAGAAACACGTATGCACAGTCTGCAATAAACGCTTCAACCGGCCGAGTAGCCTGAGGATACACATCAACACGCATACCGGTGCTACACGTAAGCAGCCTCTTTCTTACTTTCGGCTTTCCCTGACCATACATGCACTGTTGTTTTTCACAGCTTTCCAATGCCCGTTCCCCGGCTGTGGGAGAGGGTTCAACGTCAACTCCAACATGCGCCGGCATTACCGGAACCATACCACCTCTAATCCGGCTTCTGCGCCACCACAACACCACTCACCACCTTCCTCCTCCTCTTCGTCGTCGTACTCATATCCCGCTCAGAAACGGCGGATTTCATCTAAATCTGAATACGAACGTCGTCCTCCGTCGTCGTCGAGCACGGATGATGAGGAGGATGAAGAGGATGAAGAGGAGCGGGTGAAGTATAGATTGCATCGTGCGAGACAGGAGAAGGCGTACGAGGAAAGGGATTATGATAGGCGCCGGATGAGTAACACGAGGGACGAATATGATCATAGAGCGACAGCGAGGTACTCATATGCGAGGAGTCGTTGATCGTTTTAGTTTTCCACATGCTTCGTGATAATTTATTGGTTTATTGCTATCCTGTTCCTGTTTTCTTGCTTTCATTTACACCCACATACATTCATTCACGCACCCATTGGATATTTATTCTACACTGTATCGTTCACAAATGCACCTTTTTATCCCATCCGTTGTCAGCACTACGAGTTTCACCGGGCTCTCGCGTAGGAGTGATGTCTCCGCGTCCGACTCGGAGTTTTGGTCACTATCTAGTCGCTCATTCAATTTCTTAGGCTTCAATCTTCCGTCGTTCAAGCCACAATCTACACGCGATCCCAAGCCTCTCGTCAGTTTCTGATTTGCATACCCCCTAGTTCCATATAAGTACTGCCGTTATTTGGTTCTAATATATAGATATTCCTCCTGTCTTACGAAATCTTACATTAAACATACGCTTGCCTCCCCCCGTCCCCGTCTTACCCGTGCGCGTGAGGATCTGAACTCTGGGCTGATCTGATTTATATCACAACTTCTCCCAACGTTACGTTACGCCATCAAGCACCAATATTGGGTCCGCGCGTACGTTGACTTTTTTTGCCGTGCCGCAATAGATTTTCATGGAAACCCCGCGTTAACCTTGGAATTCGAAGAGTGATCCACAATCATTAACGGGGGCAATATAAGTACTTGAGTACTCTCAAATCTTCCTGCCCCTGAACTAGGGAGATTGACGAGAATGCTTACGACACCTGTTGTCAGAAGAACAGTGTCGCCGGAAAGAATTCAGCGCCAGCATTAACGCGACGGGAAGTGTAACAGTCCATGGGAGGGATGATGATGATACATACGCAACAAGACAATCAGGGCTTAAACTGCCCGTGGTATACTTATGGGTAAAAGAGGACGAACACCATAAGTATGTCAGCCTCCCCTTCTAGATCGACAGCCATCTCGATCTGGTAATCTCTCCACGACACCACGGAAATGAACCCGCTTTTGGACCGTTCAGAACTTTCGCGGGTATGCTTTTCGCAGCGCCACAATCAGAAAAGAAACCGAATAAGTGAGTACGGGGGTTATACACAGAGGAAAGGAGGCGTCGTAGTGGAGGATTTTCAACACCCGACGTTTGGTGCTTGACGTCACGCGCGGACCAAAGACGTCACTTCGGAGGATTTACTCCCTTTCTCATAAGTAATACCTGCCACCAATTCCCACGGCTAATCATTCCCTGCTTCTCGCGAGTCGCTGCAACGTCACTCCCGCAGTACTGCGCAGATCTACTGACGATCTTCTCCTGCTCATTACCGCACAATTCAACGGCGATGGCGTGTGATTGCGAGATTGAACCCAGTATGCCCGCAGTGACCAGTTCTTTTCACGCCTGACGTGTGCACAGTCCAAGATCCGAGGGAGTGCTTTTATTAGACTTGGGCCACGCCGTGTTGTTCCGGGATCTGCATTATCGCGAAGAAGATTCCCATCCCGGGTGTTCTTTTCCTTCCACGATCTGCAGCTTCTTCAGCTGCTCGATGGCACTGAGCCTTTTTCGTTCGATACATCGCCATCTCGTGAAGAACCGCGTCATATTTTTCAAGAAGATACACACGGCTACCTAATTGTCAGTTGACCTTCTCGAACTCAGTCCCGCCCCACGCGGATCTCTTCATATACGCCACCCACGTCCGAGGAGTATTTTTATACCTTCTGCTGGCTGGCGAATCCTCTTAAACACTGGTGCGACGGCTCTACTACGCCTTTCCTCTGACCACACAGCCCGACCGTCCCCGCCATTCAGTAAGACCTCAATCCCGCCCTAGCCGGAGTTCAACCCACCATCTCGATTTCGCCGGGGGGAGCGGACGGGGCGGGGCTTGTTACCCGTGAAACTCTGATATGTCGCAGTTTTCCTAAATATTCCCCCCGCGCACGGATGACCGACGACGAGAGCTCAAGCGACGCCGCGAAGGTGGGTCAATTCAAGAGGAAACCTTCCGAACAAGACGAGACTGTGCGGCTCCGATTCCAAGGCACAAAGGGGGTACGGTACGTTCCTCCCTTGATTGTAGCTAGTAATTAATACTTCTGTACTGGCGACGACATATGAATTGAGGTCAAGCCTTCCTTTCCGACACCATGCATGTGGGTCAAAGAGAGCGGGGAAACCTTTCCGAACAAGCTAGCGTAATTGGTACCTGATACGGCTCCGATTTCAAGGCAAGGCACAAAGGGGTGCGTGCGTTCCTCTCTTGCTTTGTAAATTGGAAAGAGACAGTAATTAATGCGAGTGGGGGAAGCGAAGAATTTTAGAAATTAATTTGATTTTGAACAAGGCGGAACAGAAAACAAAATGAAATCACGTCATGCAGGGTTTTCTGCTCCTTGTCCTCAGCGATGGCGAGATGTTTACAACTTGACTTGGCGCATTCTACGTAGTCTTACTTCCTCCTCCATTTTGGATGTTCCGGATATTTTACCGACTATGTACCGAGTCCAAGTTTAGTTCATGCTGCGAGTCCTAGGCTGCGCTCACGGTTCTTTTCTGGGGTTAATTTGAATGTATGGTAATCCTTTTAGCCACAGGAAACCCCTAGGTGCACGTCCCGGTAGTTGATATGTATCTCCCTATGTAGCACGGATAGGTATCCGTGGGGTGGGGCGGAGGCAACGGTATCGGTGCGGGATGATGAATCACTAGTTTCTCCGCGCCGTGTATGTTTCGTCTTATCATTCCAGACTCAAGAATCATTCCGTTGAACTCGGTACACCAAACGACATTCATTCTCTCGAAATAAATAGGATAGAGAAAAGGGGGTACTCGCTCGAGGTATTATGACATTCATGATCAGAGTAGCATTTCTCCGAGGTACACTAGTACCATCATCATCATGACTACATACAGACTACTAACTCCGCATATGTCTTATCTCATCCTTCGCAGAGAAAATATCCATTCGTCGAGTAGCATCCTTAGTTCTCCCTTGATTGCTGGATAGGGAGTAGGTTTCTCTCGATGTACTCGGGAAAATCGCATGCATACCCACCCAGAGTTACACCTACACACCACCATCGAGACTACTGAATCAAAAAAGATCCCAACACGAAAATCAACTGATCCACATCACGGTTAGCCATCCGAAGGCCCTTGGAGACACAGCGCTATATATTTGGGGATAAAAGAGGGACGACATGAAACGAAACAAAAGCAAAACGGAGAAACGAAAATAGTGGTAGTGGTAGTAGTAGTGGATCCTTAAAATAACAGCGGCGGTGTAGACTAGAACTCGATAGGAACAGACGGAGGGTAGAGCAAGTTACATATGGAATACAAGAAGCAGATTAGCACCTTAAGAGGGGAGCGTCGTTGGTACGATTTAAGGATGAGAGAAAGCTAATGCAATCTGATCGAATGAATGAGGTTATCGCTGATAAGAAGGACCTTCCCAGAACAGATTAGGTAGGTAGAACGACCCCCAGGATGGTATAAGTATACGAACCCCCGGGTCCTCGGAGTCGCCGCTTTACCGACATGGAGGATTGACCGTCGTTGGAGACTAAGGATGCACTAGCAGAACGCAAAAATGAAAGGTCGAAGCAGGCTAGGCCTCTCATAGTTGCATCTAGGAAGCATCTTTGGCCTTTGGAAGCCCCGTTCTGATAGTTGCACTGCCTAATCGAGAAGAGCACGACCGCACGATAGGGGATAGTCATTCTGCGAAAGGGTATCTGACAGCGATAATAAGCGAGGCAGGTTCGGGACTCAGAATGATGCCGCATCCTGGGTTCTTCTGACAGAACACAGATTATCATATGCGAGTACTCAAGCCCAAGATACATAACATTAGCGTTCCTTTGAATTACCAGAAGAAAGAAAAAAAGAAAACGAACAGTTTCTCAGAGGCGTATAATGAAGGCGTCGCAGAAGAGGCTATATTTACACGTGAATCACCGGTAACAAGAAACCCACCCCTGTGAACGACTAGTAGCATGGCGAGGAATTATAGGCCTGATCTGGAACCTTAGTGGAAGGAATACGGACGTCCCTGCATGCACGGGTCGAAGCCACATGTTCATAGCTGGAAATGGAAAGGTTAGGCTACCCCCAGAAGAGAAGTAGAAGGATACCAGGCGTGTAGAAAGGTCCTAGGAAATGAAGTCCGGCTCCTCGGAGTCGGTAGAACTTGATGAGCCTGCTCTACCCTCATAGCAGTTCTGGGGGATTGACGCTGTTGGACATCAATGAAGAGTGTACGCGTGAATGGTGCACCGAACATCTAACAAAGTCCACTAGGTCGTTCTATAACAGAACATTAAGCTGTGAGCATCGTGCCAAGATGAAGGGCCTAAGAATCATCCTAGTCCACAGGCAAGTTCATTAGAATGGTCGAAATCAGGAGTTAGTTGAACGTTGATGAATTTCTCCTTCGACAGGATGGAAACCGCATAGCACAAGCAAATGAGGCAAATACTCCGAAGCGTCGTGACTGGAGCGGAACTGAGGGTGAAGACGTTACGTAATCGGTTCCCCTTTCCTCTCCAACTTTCAAGCGCTACATTAGCGAAGATACAGTTGCTCACTCGGAGCCGAGAACCATACTCAGGATGTAAAGAAGAAGAAGTGAAATATAGGGCAACTAATTGGTGAATACAGCCTAGGGAAGTACTACCCTGTTACCGATCCTGTACGGTGCATGGTGACGTCGACGAGGCCGAGCATTCACAGGTGCATATGCAGCATTGACGAATGCGCAAGTATTTCTCAAGAAAATTTCAGCGTCCGTACTAAGTTCTTCAAGCTCATCGAGAACAAAAGGGACGATCCCTTTATTACAGGTAGAAATCCAAGCCGCGGCATGCTCTATTTCTGCGCAAAAGGTGGCATTAACTACACGAAGACAGTTATAAATCATGAATGGACCCACCGATCTTGTAAACTTTCCCTGCAGGAGAGCGGGTCATAAAATACGCAATATCCGGGAGTAGCGGGTCTTCAGCCGGGGCGGTACTGCTCCGAAAGGCTACACCGATGATACCGCCAAAGACCGCCTTCTCGAGGTAGTATCCCGAGTCAGCTTCTTGGTCCACATTACACTGAGTCAATTCCAAGAGGCCCAAATGGTACCTAGTGGCGGTGGCATGTGCGAGCCTGTGAACGAGCAACACCACAGCGAGGAATTCTACACCCCGCTCGCTGAGAGCACAAGAAACACAATTATCAATCTGGATATTGATAATAGGAATGCAGAAGCGGTATTTATCGCTCACGTGTACGGAAACGACGATGAGGAACTTGTTAGCTAGGAAGGATGATAGACCGGGATTGGCTTTTTCCTGGATGGTTAGGTCTGGGGAGACGATTGGAGCTAGGAGTTTGTGGCAGCGATAGAAGGGTAATAGAGAAAGTGGATTCTTCGACCCACATCGTGATTGATTTGTTGAAGGACGGCGAAAGAATGTTCGACCTTCCTAACAACGCTGTTGATGGTCAAATAAGGGAAAATAATAATACCGAGGGACCCGTTGATCGGTCGTAGTCTGTAGGAGCGTATAAACCAACAATAGCGGATGGGTATACGAAAATTGACCGGAAAACGATAATTCTATCTCTCTAGCTCTCTGGGATTGACTCTGCACGTTCCCCTCCCTACGAGTCTTCATCAACGTTCGTCTATCTGGAGAAATCAAATCATACCATTGCTATGACAGTATCTAGTTCAAGTTCTTTGTAATTGTCCACGCTCCTCTATCACCTGTCAGCTAAGCCGGGTGTTTCAAAATACAATGATAGTCGTCCGCACTTAACAGAAGAACGATGTCTCTGAAATGAATTCTCGGGGCTTTCAGGTAGCTACCAGTCGCAAAGACGCGACACCGATGACCGAAATCAAGGAGAACCGCGTTACATGATAGGGTTTGCTCGGTGTGGGAGTAAGGGTCGGCCGCAGTCACGTAGACAGATAACCTCCATGTACGCAAGAGCGAACATAGCGAACAGAGATTGATGGTAATAATTGCGGTAGAAGGAAGAAAAGCGAGTTGAGGGTTGGCAGGTCTGAGAATTTGTCTTGTAGACCTCTGGCATCAGAGTAGCAGAGGCTGTACTAGTCATCACATAGGGTAAAATGTAGGCACGAAGTCCGGATCGTCGGAGTTGAGGAGCCCGCTCTACCTTCATAACAGCCGGGGGGGTTGACATCACTGAACATTAATCGAGGTGTCGTACGCATGAATGATATCTCTAACGTATACGAGAACGTCAAACTGCGAGTCTCATACTGCGGCGCTAGGATAAATTGGCCTGAGAGTTATCGTAGTCCAGACCGTCAATGGTAATTTAGAAACCGCAGAATCCTCGCCAAAACCAGGGGTCAGTCGAACAATTTGAAGGCCTTCATCACAGGATGCAAGCCACACAGAAGAACAATACGAAGACAACATTCCAAAAACGCTGAGAGCGTCATGACGGAGAGGAAGAAAGGGTGAAAAGTTACGTAATCAACCCCTCCCTTTCTTTCCCGGAATCATACTGTTTTACTGTTTTACCCGGAACGTCGATGACCACTGACCAGTGCCCATCTTGATGTTGCGAATGACTACCTCCAGGACCGTAGTTTCCTCGCAGAAATTGCTTCCCGTATCTTACGAGAAGTACGTTAACAAAATACAATTCAGTGATACGCAACTTACCGCGAGACGATAACGGTTAACAGCTCGAATTAATGACGTAGATGGTACGTACGTTAATTGCTTTTGCCTCCTGCTCACGTTTTCCGGCAGGTAAAATTTGGAAGAGAAATCTGTAGATTCAAGGCACACCTCGGACTCGGAAAACCACCTACTCCTCGTACCTACTCACCGTCACCCTCCCCTCTCGCCTTGAGAATCTTTTTGTCTTTGATGCGGTTTATTGTCAATCCAGCAAGAGAGGGCGAAATTATGTACCATCGGTGGTACGGATTTAATTTATCTTCCAACACGTTTACTAAAAATGAACAACAGCAGGGTCATAAAACCCATGAAAGATGAGCTTTAGCATCGCATTTATGACATAAAGACTCGACTCGCTAGAATTTATTATGGCAGGCATCTCGTTGAGCGTCTCAGTCAGCGCTACGCTTCAAACGTTTTATGTTAAATGAAGGGGAGGCTTGAAGCGTGTATATGCATTTGAGGTACGTCCTTTATAACTCGTACATTCCACCTGTACATGGACGTTTATTTATTAATCTGAGCAATAGATAGCCGTACAACTGACAGGGTATTAGTCTCGTAGCGAATACAAGCTCATTGTCGGTCAGCATTTACGACACAAATACTGGCTTCCCAGGATCATGTCAGTTAGCGCTACGCGTCAACCAAATTTTACGTGTATGAAGCGAAAACCCCCAGCGTGTATGTATGAACATCGTCTGATCTTTGGGGTACGCGCTTTTTGGCTCGTGCATTCCACCTGTACATGGACGTTCATTTCCGTTATATCCGGACCTGACCTGTCAGTCTTCTATTCAGGTTCCTAGCGCTAGCTAGAGTCGGAGTTCTAAAATGTGCGCCCCAGTGCATTTTAACGAAATGTCCGGGCCATACCTAGGCCTGGCGCTTAGTATGTATGATCACTGATGAAGATTAGCGCTCATAAGAAGGAATGGACGCCTTTGTCATACGGATAAGCGCCCTACTCATTGCAAGTAAGTTTCCGTATACATTATTTCGGGAACTACTAATGGACGACATCAGGGATCATCCTGTGGCTTCAGGAAAACCACTCCTTGATCACTCCTAGTTCTGTCAGCCGAACCATTCATCTCGACTCTCGTTACGCGTGTCAGGACCTTATCTAGACCTCCTTACTTGGGATTTAGCATCTCTTCTGACTTCAGTTATGCTCACTAATGTCAATTAGCGCTGGTACGTTCTCACGCTAAGCTCGACAGTCAGTTCGTTCTATTCTTTCTGCTTAAATCAGGGTTTGGGCCTGCCGGTATGCTTCTGTTTAATCAGGCTCTACACCCGGGAACTTCCTTTGGCTTCCGGAAGATATTTGTTGGTTAGCTCTCGTTTATATCGCCTCGACTCCCGTTAGGCGCGACTTATGCTGTTCAATCGGGCTCTGCTGATGGACGACACCAGGGATCTTCCTGTCACCCTTAGAAGATCAATATTGGTTCACTCTTAGTCGGTCTCGACTCCCGTTACGTGCGACTCGTATTTACTGGTTAGTGTCCCAACCCCTAGCCACACGTTTGGCGGACCTAATGTACTGAATTGGTCCATGAATCATAGCGATGAATAGACGCCTTTGTTGTATGATGCAGTCTGACGCTAAGCGCGAAGATTTTGCGCTACTTCCGTACTATTTTGGGCTTCACTAATAGACGACGCCAGGGATCATCCGGTAGCTTTCGGAAAATCACTATCGAATCGCTCTCGATGTATTTTATATTGTCTCGACTCCAGTTACATGACTGGTATTCACTACTAGATGGTCACATAACAGTCACCCTGCTTTGGCGGGGTCATTGTCCCACATGGATCCGAGGACAACGACGTGATGGGAAGCTAGACGAAACGCTGTCAGGGATACACACGGGCGGCATACCGTTTCGAGCCTGAGCGTGAAGGACACGCGCCAGAAATGAGAGAAGCTTGTTTGCCGTCAGTCGATTTCATCTCGACCCCCGTTATGGAATCGGTATTGGCGAATCGCCACTAGGCGGACACCTAACGCATTTGGCGGACTCAAAGTCCTGAATAACTCCACGGTCACCCGGTTGAACGAAGAAGGGAGGCGAGACGCTCTCAAGGATAAGCGCTAAGCGCTAAGTACTGACGGTCAGTTAGTTTGCACTACTTGTTTTGCCTAATTTAAACCAGGGCTTTTTCCGTGCCTGTAGGCTCCACACCCGGGAACTTCTTGTGGCTTCCGGAAGATACTTGTTGGTTAGCTCTCATTTATATGGTCTCGACTCACGTTACACACGACTAGTATACACTACCGAGTTCAATATCCTTATCGATAATCGTTTTAAACGGCGAGACGCCAGCACTGATATCCCAGCGTTTTGATGAACGTCAAGCGCCGGCAAGTCCGTACGGTAAGAGGAACATTTCCGTTATCCATTCTTCCCTTATACTCTCGATCACAGTGATTAGCGCTTACAGCACTATACCGTTTTGCTCTTCCATGCACAGAGGCCTGGGCGCTAACCCAGGTATGTTAGACGGAGATCAGCATCATTTTTTTTGCGTGGACGTTGTCGATCATGATACTGATCCGCGGGACTGGAGTTTTGAATGCAGGATATCCGTCTTGAACGGCTTGATCTCTAACCATTGCGTGCAAGGAGAACATACTGAGTCGCTCTACGGACTGGGTCATCCCTGCTCATAGTGCATTGTTTTAGGGTATTGAGGCGGCACCCGTTGATTTCGGCCTCAATGCGGCTCCGGGTACACGACGACCTGCAGGAGCAGTGCTACCGCCAAAACGCATATTGATGATGGATCCACGACGCCACACTCGTTTCCAGGAGTCAATATCTGATCTGGCTTCCGAAAATATACCCAGATCGGGCGGTGATCTCGGCAATACGGATAATCGCCGATCTAGGCCAAAGGCGTTCAGTATATAACCGCCGGCTTATTTTGGAGTGTCTGCTCTTTTCCCCCCAACTATTCACCCACGACAATCATGGCTGTTTCTCTCCCGAGCATACACGAGATGTTCCCAGGTATCCATCTCTCTGTCTTTGTCATCCTGGATGATTAACTAACAAACCGTTTATAGAGTATATGCTGCGGAATCCTCCCGACTGGCGACGTGCCCCGCCGATCCCGATCCCTCCCCGTATCCCACCACCTAACAGGGACACCCAATGCTCCCTCAACATCCTCCGGTCCGACCCCGCTTCCGCCTCCCTCACATCATCCACCTCTCTTCCGTACCCACCGCCGCCACGTTCCAAGTCCAGTTCCTTGTCAGGTGAAGACGAAGACGAAGAGAAGAGGCACGTGTGTATGGTGTGCAACAAGGCCTTCAACAGGCCGAGTAGCCTCAGGATACACATCAACACACATACTGGTGCTACACGTAAGCCCTACAACAGCTTCTGGTAGCTGCGCTTTTTCTGATTACGCTTTTTCAGCATTCCGATGTCCTTTCCCCGGCTGCGGGAGGGGGTTTAACGTCAACTCCAACATGCGCCGCCATTATCGAAACCATACCAACTCTGCTTTTGTGCCTAAATATCCGTCCTCGTGGCGCGTGTTTCGTCCCCACAAGAACATCCCGATACCGATCAACAGGTCGGAGTATGTGTGGCACCCACCGTCATCGTCCAGTGCATCGTCTGATAATGAGGAGGAGTCGAGGGATAAGCGTCGGCCTGGCACCCCATATCGCTTGAGCTTTGAAGAGAGTGTCATGGATCAACGTTGCATAGGGAGCCCATATGCAAGGAAGCATTGACTGGTTCGCGCTTACGTTGGTTTCGTGATTTCTTATTCACGCTCTCACGTTTCACATACTGTATCGTTTAACACCTGTCGATATCCTTATCACTTAATATTACTGATTTATGGCCCTACCATAAGGGACAACAAGTATCGCGGGACCGGGCGAGGAACCAATTTCCACGCCCCACGAGTCCATAACTCATATTATTCATTAACATCAAATCACTCTCACCCTACATTCTAGAGACTTCCCCACACCTCGCCTACAGCCTAAACCTTTCTCTGACTCACCGGCACTCTCAACACCTGAATTATCCCTCATCCGTCGAACCAAGTACTGCGGGACCTCGGACTTCAGGAACGTCAGAGCGGAAGTAAAGTATCTTCGGCGAGTTCCAGACATATGTCGCCTGAAGAAAGTGCCTGACAACCCATCGGTTCCGGGTATCCGGCATTTAGACTTAAATAGCCAAGGGGGGGAATACGAAAATCATCTCTTTCCCAATTGGAGGAGGGGCCGAAATGAAATGGACCCGGAGAGAAGCGGGGTGATTATCGAGCGTATCAACATATTAAGCGGGCAGCCAAGGCAGGTAAACCGAGCAGATGTTATGGTGGCGAGACCAGGCGCTGGTTCCGAGATTAAGATGGAAAAGGATCTTGTCAAAACTGCGATGTGATTGCTATCTGTCAAATTACAGAAGTCCAGGGAAGAAGACATGATTTCGCGGATAGCTGATATCTCTACCTGACCGTTCGCCCATGTCAAGAGGCCTTCTCCTCCTCGACAATAAAGACCAGAAGGGGATTCGTTGGCATGTGTACCTAGCAAGCATATAGTTCCAGCTCCGGTCCTTAGCGACCAGTCCATCGGCTCCGATTAAGCAATTATCCCGAAACAAGTTGCGAAGAGACCAGGGCTGAAAATCATCTCCATCAAGATTTAGACGAGCCGAGCCTATCATTCAAATTGATATCGAATAATAGGATGTTACAATTGAAATCCATTCTGTTTGAGGGGGTCGTATCCTGGGGACTACGCCACCCGCAATTCAGATAAAGTTCGGAGCCACAGTGTGATAACGTCTTTCGCTACGCCACTGATATACAGAGAGGACACTATTAGATTAAAGAGCCAAGGAGGCAGGAGTGGCGTGGAGGATTTAGATGGTGGCTTGATGATTAGAGTTCGCGAGCACGAGGTAATTGGTGGTGGTCACAGAAAGGCTGGTACTGAGGAGAAGAGGCGATAATTATACGTTCATATAACAGCAGATTAGAGATTGCAAGAGAGAGTACCGTAGAAGGACGCGATGCTAGCACAAGACAGTCCCGAGAGACGAAGCACCAAAAATCGACATGCTGGATTAATATTGAGGGTCAGGATTTGAAAATTACGTCATTTCCATCACTTGGACTTGGACCGTTCCTTATTGGGGCTTGATGCCGGTAACACCACCATCTGTGAACGCTTGACCTCTAGACGCGAGCTCCTCTCCAGGAAATCACTCCGCCATTGTTTCAGTGCTGCTCCTCAGCCAACTGCTCGACGAGTATACTCCGTCCTGAACTTCTTTCCTCGGTCTTACACACCAGTGGGAACTCAGTCTTGCCGAAGGAGCATTTATACGAGCATCAACCCGCAATATTCGTGGACGTCCGAACTGCGTCCACGGTTCTCCATTTCCGAGCTGAATCTCGATAATCTGCAGCTGTGCGAGTAATCAGCAACGAGATCTCTGTCGTACATTAAATAGCCATCAGACTCTCGTCTAGGAGCCTTTATCGCATCTTTGGGCTCCGCCTTCCATGCACGGAGTGGGTCTTTCTATGCTCCTCCTCATCAGATTCTACACTTCAAACGATGAGACCTCGTCTTCCGAGGAGTCATCTTAACAGCGCTTTCCATGCCTGATCCTCAAGGGCACTCTGATCTGCGATTCGCATCTCCATTCTCAACTGGACTTAAAGCGTATCTCTCTCTCTCTCTTCTCCTACCTACGGTTATCTGTGAGGAAGGACTGAGATCAGCGAAGGTGGACTTGGCCCTCCTGCATGACTCATACGCTACCCTTTTTTTATAGCTATTTTTCTCGTGTAATTCTAGGCAGTTTGTGAGCTTCCTCCGGCGATTCGTCTTAGATAGAATCTGCGATTCACATCCGCAGATGTGCATGAATGCTGGCCTTGAAGAGCGTATCTCTCTCTCTCGCTTCTGAGACCCACGGTTACCCCTGGGGAAGAACCGAGAACCCTCGAAGGTGTAATTCACCTCTCTCAATGAGGCCAATACAATCATACATGTACTCTTTCTCCTCTAATCCTGGGCAGTTATGTTGCCTCCCTCCAGCGATTCATCTGCGACCGACCCAGGCACCTTGTAAGCCGCTGGATAGAACCGGTTGGGGGCCGAAGTAGATCGTCGTCTTGACTTTAATATTTGTCTAGGCTAGCGGTTTTACTTCACGCTAACCTTGGTCGTATACAATGGTACATATCGAGCTAATGCAATTATATTCAGGATATTGGGAGCCGAATTTTTAATCCACGAAGGGAGGAATACATCCATGCGAGGATTCATTCGGGACATAGCCTTCAGCACTAAGACTAAGTGGCGGGGGATACTTCTGTGTACATGAAGCTAGCACAATCTCCCTATTTTAATGGTTTATATTCGAAGTTCTGGGCATAGCATATCTCGATAGAATTTCATGTTCATCCTTTGGATCATTGATTATTCACTACTGCGTAGCCAGCGTTCCAATAAATACATAAACGATGTACCCAGAAAAGGGCAACCAAATGAGATTCATTTCGTTGATAGGCGTTGGCTGGGAGCTCTAGTTGGTCGAATAGTACGCAATGTGAAGAAGTGGCTACGTACCCAAGTGATAAACTCTTGAAATCCTTACAAAATTATCTTGATTAAGTCTAGGCGAGTCAGGTTTTCATGCCTGTGTTCGATAGGAACAATGAAGAGTTTCTGTGTTCCATCCCTGATCCTACAACTGCTGTTGTAAGCCATTGTCCGAAACCTCACAATTATTTAGACGTTTATGAGAGAGCCCGTCATTCCGGAGAGAGTAATTGGTATGATACTGTTGGCATTAACGAGGATGTTGGGTTCTTGGGCAAGTATATGCGAGATGCTAACACTGGAGAGACTGAGTACTTCGACAATCAGACCAGCTGATATGGGCGGAATGGCCAAATGAATCGGGGCTGTAGGTCGATTGTCGTCATGAAGACGCTGAGCACAAACGCAGGAGGAGTTTTGCACGCGTTTTGGCAAAATGAAATAAGTGGGATCTTCGGATTCGCCACTGTCAGATAACCGAAAAAGCTCGGCAACATGCGTTGGCCGTTCTGATGCTCCTGAGCATTTCATCATCGTGTATGTTTCCAGATAGCTATGCTTTACATAAGATGTATATTCGACTACAAAGGAACATCGGACTGACACGATTCTCCTATAATACGCTAGCGATAAGAACCAACGTTGGAAGGCACGATGCACAACTGTCCTGTGATATCTGCGAAGGCTGAAGCAAGAACTGAGACTTAGGTAGAAAGAAGCCCAGGGACGAGTTTCATAAACTCGACAGAGCGAATCCTGTGACAAGTGCACGACTATATTGGCGGAGATCAACGCTGGCATCCCCAGTGAGAGCTCAAAGCCACTGGCAAGCGGTCAAAGCAGAATCCTGAAGTATACCACAAGGCACCGGTTTCAAGGTAGAATATAGGGCAGTATCTCCCTAAGACATACGAACATATTTTCGTAGAAATCACGTTCAATGCGCGTCGTCTTCTGGGAGCCAGTATTGTCGTATTGAAGTCAAGATGAACGACGATCCAAGACTCGTGCATCACTTACCGCGGGAATAATAAAGAGCTATCTGTGTGCCGTACAGGAACTAAATTCGATAGCGAAGCTAGCTGAGGCAAGAGGTCGGCGAACAGGATGGTGGCGTTCCGTGGCTGTGCATATCCGGTCTTCTTTTATCGTCACCATCACTGCGCACTGCTGTGGCAATTCTTCAACCAGTCTCTGGGGGATCTGTTTCTCGAGCAATGATGCGGTCCGTGTGTACGTTCTCCATTATAATCTTGAGCTCATTTCGTATTTTCGAACATTTATGACGGAGGGTTCAGTACGAATTGAAAAGGACACAATTTATTCCCTTGTAGGTAACCAGCAATGTCCTGTTTTCTTTCTCTGGCATAACTAAGGCGACTAGAAAAGGCCACACATCGTAGCTCCTTTAAGAGCTCCTTTATCTCTTTCATCAGCTGTCGGTTATTCTCCATCCCTATATCGATCACTTTGAACTCACTCGCATTTGGAAAGAACAATGAAACCGGAGTAATCTTCGCGAAGTTCGAAGTGACCGAACATCGCTTGGCCACCAGTTTAGTAAGGTCTGGCCAACTGTAAGGGATACGGATTCCGTACGGACCGGTTATGTACGTCATTTCTTTCTTTCTATTTACCTATGCCTTCGGACTGCTACGTATGCGCCGTTTTTGGCCCTTTTTGCTCCTGAACCTTTGATTTTACCTCGATGTCGTGTCTTTGACTCTTCGTACTCTGGCTAATATACGCCGATCGTGCTCTGTTGTTGGATTGAAGATTCCCCTTGAGGTAGATTCTTTACACCAACCGGGTCTCGAAACCGTCCCCCATTCGTGTTCAAACGATGGTTCCACTAAGGGCACCCCTGGTAATCGTGATAACCCAGTAAAAGATGCGCCGAATGTCTGGTTTCAAGCTCTTTCGCAGCCCCATTCAGTGCCAAGAAAATGTTGTACTCGCCTACTTGCGACCATGCGTTCATATACTTTGCACGCGCTGAACTGGGGTGAGTTTACACTCACATACATGCGTAGGGGTGCATAACCTGCCCCTAACTGGCTTCATTTTAGGATACTAGTATACTTTTGAACACATCATCATGTGGCTCCTGTCAATCAAGTCCGGCGTCCTAGAGTGAGCGTTCTCTCTCCGTAGCTATCATGCTCGAGTTACTGTCGCTCAATTTTACCAGGATCTTTACATTAGTTCGGGATCCTCCGATCCGACATCCTCTTATGTTCAAAGGATTCTATTCTTTTGATCAAGTCGTCGTTTATGCAACGCCGCAGCACATGCCGTTGTTGATATCCTTCTACGTGGAGGGCCATGCATATTAAAATCTGTATTGCCATACTTTGACCCTACTATATATTCCTTCTAAATGCTCACCATTAGATGCGTCCATTTCATGAAATGGCCACGATCGCGGATATTTGAATAAGTCTCGTACATCGGAAGGATATAGCTTTTCTCTCCCTGGGATCATCAACGATGCGGAATATTACAAAGATGGTATTTGTAGACCACCAAGCGCACTAACCATTCACAGACAAGGTGATCGGTGTTCCATCGAGGGGTTGTTCTATTTTATACATGAGCAGTGACTTACACGAGTCAAGTTTCACGTGTATTATACGGCTCTCTTACATTTAAGAGGGGCCTCAGGCGGGGGAACTCCTGGTTAGTCTGTCATTATCACCATCGAATCCAACAGCTTCAAATGACTAGCCATATCGTAGCCAAAGCATCGCAGGCTTACGGGAAGACCAGCTCTGGTCTGGTCCCCCGAAATGACAGCCATCGGTCGGTGATTAGTATCGCCACGATCTGCATTGGTACAGGCCCTGGAGGGACAGTCGATAGGATCGCGTATGCCGCATATTTCACAGTCGCTTATTCTTTCTAGCTGACATCATTTTAGGCAGGTCGTACGTTTAACTTTTGTCTGTCTCTTCTTAGCTGTGTCATGATGCACGGATCTTCTCAAGGTTGTTATTGATCATCGAGGTGGTGAGCTCTTCAATGAAATGGTTCTTCCTGATCCTGCGGTGCCAGTAATACAAACTCTTCTTCTTTGATATTTATCTCACGAGTTTCAGATCACTGACTATCGGACGACCTCCACTGGATTCACAGACCTCAGTTTTGTGGGAGGTTAGTTATCAGCACTGACCTAATTATAAATCTAACGCTGTATTTTTCAGCCAAGAGCTTGGATTACATTCAACGAGAAGTAACCCGAATCACTCACCAGAAAACCATCGTGGGTTACAAACTTTTCAAGTGCGCTAAAGGTAAACCATACGAAGAGTTGCAAGGAATTTTATTGTAATGCTGATTATTTCAGACCTTAGAATCCCGTTTACTGCTTCCGCCACCCGAGATATAGCTCTCTACGCGGTAAGCTGGTTCAACATAGTGCGATTCTCACAGTATGACCCGTTCTACCAGCCTTTGATGAACGTGTTCCTTTCTCGAGACCACGCACAAATCCTCCAGACGAATCTTCATATGACCGAGAGCTGGATCCCCCCTTTATCAGGAATCGTCCTCCAATATATGCGCAGGACAATCCGTGGCCCAAACACAGGGTATGTTCAAAATGCGGTATGTATATTGGCGCTCTGCCCTCATGGTGCCGTTCTGATGAATAAATTCAAAGATTGAAAACACCAGAGCATCACTAGATGTGTATCTTTCTCTTGCGACAGAGTGGGAAAACTCTGTGGTACGCGGTGAATGGATGTGCTACCTTCCTCCAAGAGATTTCTCGCGATACATGACTTAAACCACGTTCTTGTTCCTGACGTCTTAGCCGGAGATTTTTACCGTGTATTTCTTGAATAAATGAGCCCCGGTTTGATGATTTATCATTCTGATTCAATCAAAGATATGTACTGATACTGGCCATCAGCCTGTTTGGTTCGAGTTGAGACACCTGATAAAGATCCTTTCCGTATGGGGTGGAGATGCAGCGAGATAATGTGAAGAAGGAAGAGATCGGAACCAGCCTTTAGGAAGTGAGCGCCCACCGAGAAGAGCAAGGCTCGGAGATTGAAAGGCAAAGGTATCCCTATTTCGCACCGAGTTTGAATGAAATAGAAATGTTACTGCCACATGGTCAGTCTAAAATTGAAGGTATCAGACGACATATCGTCCTCGGACCGGCATCACGACTTGGTCATCATCAGATCGTAAGTTTGAATCCTTCCAGCCCGACGTGCACTCTATACGCATCTCTCATTTCAGATGCAGTCTTCGCAGCACCGGGTGGATAACCCAGTCCGTAAGGATAGGATAGTCGACCCAATTAGCTCAGTAAGCCAAGTATTTGGTTCTCAAACACTCGACTAACTACTCGCGCGAAAATAGACGACCACCCCATTGATAGCCCAGGACGTTATCGATTCAATCATCGACTCTCTATTCGACGACATTTCAGCACTTCGTATGTGCTCTTTGACGTCTCACAGATTTCTGTATCGTTCCCAAAGTCATCTGTTTCGTCGAGTCCGCTTTTCGCCAGAGGGTCCGTTTCCTGACCAATTTCTCCCCATCATGCGCTCTACCCCGAATCTAGCTCTGTTTGTTCGAGAATTGATACTAGTAGGCTCGGCCGTTGGCAAAAAAAACCAGTGGATATCTTCCAATCCTGCACTTCCACTAATCTTAGAATCTCTCGACAATCTCAATTCAGTTTCTATTTCATGTGTTGACGGCGCTTGTTTCCTGTCTGGGGGATTCGAGGTGTACACTTTATTTTTGTCAAAGCCCATTACGACACTCGCCTTGTCAGTGATCTTCTTCGAGATCACGGACCATTTCTTTAATCTATTGGAACAATTCCCTTCGCTACAAAACATCACTCTGGACAGGGTGTTTTGTCGAGGAAATATTTCCGCACCTGCAAGACGCGTCTCACGGGATATTGTATTGAAGGATCTCAATATCACTCTTTACACGGAGAGCTCTGGTTCAGGTATTGAAATGATAACAGCCGACAGTTCTCCGCTGCGACTGGACCACCTCACTTCCATTTCCGTTTTATCCAGTTCAATGAGTGACCTATTGCAGCTGAATACTGTATTGGACACATCCCACGATTTTATTGAGCGGTTGAACTTTGGTTCCGTCTCGAGCTTATGGGATCAGCGAGGTAAGTCTTGGCAGCTCTCCCAGCCAGATAACCGCTTGACGATTTCAATGCGAGTCTAGTCTTTGATTCTTCTCAGTTGCGATGGCATCACATTCCATATATGTCTTTGGTAATCACAGATCCAGCCTGCCATCAGTTAACTCTCGGATCCTGGGCGCATGCACTTCGCTTTGACGGACGGCAATTCGCCCTGAAGCATCTCGTCCTGGCAGCTGAGCTTTTCCTCAGCCCAGGGTTCCCCGTGTCAGGGCACACCGTTTGCGATCGGACGCAATGGGAGGCGATGGACAATGCGCTATCGCATATGGGAATGCAAAACCTTCGACGCGTGGACATTATTCTTCAGCCGGTCGAGGTCAATTTTGCTATAAGGGAATGTATCATGGAAATCAGAGGCGTGATTGAAACTGCTTGCAGCTCATTGAGAGAACGAAACATCCTATTTTTTGATATTCCCCCGGTGAGCAACAGCATGTTCCTGTAAAGATTCACGTGCTGATCAATTTGTAGCACGAATACAAATAGATGAAACGTGATGATATGCAGCTGCTGCCATTGGTACGGGATGTAGTAATCAGCGAACCCGTCAGGGGGAAAGAAACAAGCGCGTTCTCCTTGGGACAGTGTATACTCTCATGTGTTCCTGACAAGGATATACAGACGTCGAATTGAGTTGAAAATTTCCAACTTAATGTTGTGTTAACGAGGAATTTGACACATGCTACCACAAAACCTACCATATAGCATGGTTCCAAAACTTCTCCAAATTGCGCCGTTAGATTCAGATGTGGAAGACCGATGAAAAAACCCTCGCTCGGAGCGATTCATATTAATTCTTGAAGATCACAAGAATCACAGCACTATAGAGATGGACCGACATGAGTATCCGGCCTTCGCTCTGAGACGAGTGAGTCCGTACATGTGAGCGTATATTTTTTCTCTGCTATTGGCTTGTTTCAAAGAGTCGGGACAAACGTACCGGCCAGAGGTAACCTCAAACACCAGTTCGATGTACTTGTACGTCTCTAATCCAGCTACTTCCCAGATTTCCTATTTAAATATTTCGTTCCATCTTTGTTAGGCGTGTACGGGCAGACTGGCCCAGTTTTGATTCAAATACAGGGTGGGGTAGTCTGAAGCAAGTCAAGCCTGGATCCCTGTTGCTCTCGTCGATCTTCTGCTCTCAGGGTGCCTAATCGCAGATGTCAGCACTGTATCTAATTGCATCATCCCTTATAGGCAAACAGTTGATCATAGGACGTAGGGGATACGCTACGCTCAGCGTCTGATTGACGAGGGTGAATAGTTGGATACTAGACCTGAGTGCGATCATAGCTTTAAATACATTTTTTGACGAAGTAAGGATTCGACTACCTTACGGCGGTGGCAGCAAAGTTTTGTCGACGGATGTCGTATTAAATTGAATCTCAGGCTGAGCCTAAAGGTATGCCGTCATTGTTCGGTTCAAGTATCATGCCTTACATCGGGCCGTGGTATCGCGATAAGGTTTGTTTGATGAGCAACCTCTCATGTAGAAATTCCTCGATACGTCTGCACCTGCATTCTCATCCTCATCGCCTGACCGGTGGTAAACTCTGTCATGCAACTATCGTATGAATAGTCCATGTAGTTATCTATTCAAGTGATCAACCGACAGAATAATACACACAAATCAAATAACTCACGAATTGGATCTACTCCGCTGTTTCCCGTACATGAATCTCGCCCCGATGGACATCCAGAAGCAGGGGATGCTTCTGCGGGAGTATCAGAAACGTAGTCGCCTGGTCCCGAGCATCCCCCTTCGAACGTATGGTAAAGACCGGCCCAGTGACCGACTTCATGCAACACTGTGTGACCCAGGTTGTAGTTTTGAATAGAGCCTCCTGGAAGGGAGGAGAACAATACAACGACGCCGTCGTCTGTAGGCGCAGAGGTATATTTCCAAGGAAAGGTCGAGTATCCTAGTAATCCAGCTGTCGAACTGGACGTGAATCTAGAAAGAGCTGAGGTGTGAATTCTAATATTAGCGGAAAGCAGACTGACCCGACTGTATAGATGTTCAAATCTGCTTTACTGCCACGCCGAAGAGCTTTTTTCATTGCGGCATCTTGAGAATTACCGGAATCTGTATTATTGAACCAATCCGAGTTAACGGTGCGAGTAGTCCCAGCAAGGACATAGGAAAGGCCTGTGTCGGAGAATGCGTTGTTCAGGACCTTCATCTGCTTTGTTATTTGAGTATCTCTGATCTCGTAGTGGAAGGAGTGAATTCCATGCGTAGTTGATAATGCGGTACTCACGAGACATTGCCGAATGTGGCGTTTTGGCAGACGACATGGAAATATACATTTATCGGTGAAGATGAGCGTCCGGACACCACATTCGCCGCGGGGAAAGCTTGGAGGGCGGAATCGATTAGGAATTGAGCTTCGGCTGCGATTATATCTGCGGGGTTTATGTAGGATGCGCAAGTCCTGATATTCCTGTGAACATTAAACCACTGGATGAAGACATCACGTCTGACCTTTGCGCGTTACCCAGGGTTGGTGTGAAGACTGTACCAAATAAGAGAGTCGATGTGAGATATAACATAGCTGAGGGAATCATCGTCAGCATATGAAGAATAGCTGTCGACTCGGTCTGAGAAAGAAGGAAAGGGGGGGGATTAATTGGTGGGAGAGCGCAAATGGTTTGAGAGACAGATGGTTAGCGTAGAAATCGAACTAATATAAGAAAAAGAACAAACCAAAGAGTGACGGAGAAAGGCTGAGTTTATCCAGGACGCGTTGAAGGGTTAACTGGATTCAAAGCGTAGTTGTACAGGTGTAAAGATAATGGTCGAAGAAAGACTCTGCACAGAAAGTGAGCGGTGGCGAGATATCCAGTGGGGAAGATGAACAGGAGGAAGAGCACAGCAGATGGAAGAGATTTTCCAAGAGCATCTTTACCCCAATGCATTGCAGGCTGAGGTATTTTCGAGGATCTTCCGACATGAATGTCATTGCATTTCGGCGGAGCCGAATGAGACAGGGAGTGTAGTAACATGCTGACATCTGTAATGATTCTCTGCCCGTGGGGTAGCAGAGACGTTGTGGTCCATCGGAAACGTTTTCTTGCTCTACATCTTCGGGACAAAATGGAATTTGCGCTGAGCCAAACTCGAGTCACGACCCAAACAGTCAATCAAAGTCCGTATGTATAATGTGCTGGGTTGCGTGTAGGTGTATGACAGCTAGGACTATCATCAGGAAAGGGATGAGGTCATGTCTATGTCTATATAAGTAGAAGTTAGTAAAGCGGCGAGGCAAATGGAAGCAAAGATGGTTGGTATTAGTCAGCGGCTTCCTCTGACTTCAAGCCAATCAAATTGGAAATTAACTTTCCTGTTCTGTCCACCACCATCAACGATACACGAGGCGAGTCAAACGCATTCGTATCATCTCAGCAATTGACTAGGACTATTTCAGAGAAATAGCAGACCGGAAATCCATTTTTATTGAAAACCAACATGACCCCCAAAGATGCTTTCGCAGGTATGCCTTCGAGATGTCCTGATTGCGGATTCACGTCGATGGAGACGCTCGTTCCTCCTGGTCTTCCTCCATTGCGAGTCGATGAGCTCTTCTCCTGCAATGATGCGCCTCTCGAACACGAACGTGCAGTACTGGAGGCTATCGTTCGTGAGAGTGACGACTATATCTCCGTTCTGCAGCAGCGAATTTCCGACACAAGAAATACGCTCGAGGCTCTCCTTCAGGAGAAGAGTAATGTAGCGAAACATGCTGCAGCTGCGAAAGCTCTTCTCAATCCTGTTCGAAGGCTATCGGCCGATGTACTGATCGAAATTTTCACCGCGTGCACTGCCCGCATCCCGATCCGCACTGATACCGATCCACTTATCGATCTTCCTTCAAACAGTATTGACTCGCTTAATTCCAAGGCCATGCCATGGGTTCTGTCTCAGGTCTGTGCGACTTGGAGAACGACTGCGTTGGAGACAGCCAAGCTGTGGTCATACATCAAGCTAGATATGGACGAGTACGTGAACCACATGGAATACGTCTTTCGTTTTGGTATTCTACTGGCCAGAACAAGGACTCATCCACTTTCCGTCTCCATTTCAGCCAACACCAGCATCTCTCACCAACCCATTCTTGCCATGATTCTGTCCACATCATCCCGATGGGCCGAACTGCGTGTTAGCGCCCCCTTCCATGCCTTCCTCCCATTCAATAACGTATCGCAATCTCTACCTGTACTAGAGGTTTTAGCTATACACATCCTCGATGATGCTAACCTCGGTGCACATCCTGAACCCTCTCACATCGTTCATGGCTTCAAGCATGCACCCAAGCTTCGCTCACTGAGTCTTGTGCAGGCCATTGGCAAGCCTATAAGCTTCTCGAAACGATTCGCTTTACCAGTGGCAAAAGTCTCGCGACTACGTGCTCACATGGCACCTGCTCACGCCGCCTCCCTTTTGTGTTGGGATGGAGCCCAAACCGCAGAATCTGCATGTTTCGTGATGCTTGAGCATGGTCTTCAACGACTTGAAGTTCCCATGACCAGACATGCGTATCTTAGGGATCTCAGTGTCGTTGAATGGGGTTTCATTTCCAGCTCAGGTGCCATAGCGGAACTTATATCCAACCTCCAGCTGCCTTCTCTACAGAAATTGAAGCTGAGCTATGAGGGAATGACTTTGAATTTGCCGGTCATCTCGCGGGAAACTATACCTGCTTTGACAGAGTTGGAAATACGTTCTACTCGGCTTGCTGCAGATGGTGACGCATTAGCAGACATGCTCCATTGGACGCCAAAGCTCACGAGCCTTACGCTTGCGGTAAATTTCAGAGAGACCGACCTTTTTCTTTCTCTTGAGAAATTTCACGATAACGCGTTTGAGTTGGTTCCTCGTCTGCACACCATTTCCCTTGTAGGTGCCGCCTTCGACGTGAATTGTCGTAGTCATGTTATCGTTGAGTTGGCGGAAGCCCGGCGTCTCATAGCATGCGCCCATGAGCCATTGTTGAAGAGGGTTTACTTGAACAAGGACAGTCGGGTCCCGGCTGGACATAAGAAGCGTTGGAACAAATTGCGCCATGGAGGTCTAGAGATTCTGTTTTTATCTCCGTAAAGTATATGTCGGTGTCAAGTGCATACGCTTTCCGAGATTCTTGCGCTATCGTGTTTCCTTGAAGTTTGCACTTCTGTTGCCGCTTGCGCCACATGCATACCAAATGTCTAGGTTACTGGTGTACGAGACCTAGTTAATGGGGCCAACATTGGACGATTGAAACATGGGATTTTGGCAATGTAGCGAATTCGTAAATATATTTATTGATATCCGTATATTGTGCTGTCACTGATGTTTTGAGTCGCCAGCGGCTTCTGTCCAGTCAGCACGTGATCCTACTGACTCCGTTTTTATATCGGAGATCGGGCCGGTGTAAGCCGCGACGACGTTTTTCTCCTCTACTACGAATGCCAACACACCGACACCACCATCAACTGATAAGTTAGCCATGACGGCCTATCATCCGCTTCTTGAGCCATTCGTTCTTTGTCTCTTTATTTGCTTTTCATAGCATGGCACTGGCAAGGACGCAAGTTGGAGCCGGGAGGATAAGTATCGGTATGTAGCTCACTTGTGCTTATATCTCCCTCTGCTCACCGCATTATCTCCACCGATTCGTCATCCAGGTATTAGAACAAAGATATAGTCGATAAATACCAAAGATTTCTGAACTTATCTCTAAATGTATCCTCTCGCGGTGCTTTGAGCATGTCTTCTCGAAGGTCGATGTACGTTTACTTTGCCTTTCTAGTTTGCGTCGTTCATTTACTCTGGGCTCAATAGGACACTTCCGACATCTTAAGCTGTGCGCACTTGCTAGATTCAGGTCTGACTGACTGAGTTCTGGATGAAACGCGTCGACCACGTGCTCCCGCTCGGTCTGCAATTTCCTACCCTAATGCATTGTTCAAAAGGCGACATAAATCGGACACGACATCATGCTGTGCGATAATGCTACGAATGCCGTCTTCAGGTGGACTGTTCAAACATCCGAAGTCGAGCGCTTAACCTTTTTGATGGTACTGGTCCGTTGACGTTCGTGCTGTGGATTTTGTTGGGTGAGAATGATTCCTTTCCTCGATGGTGAGATACACGTTAGTCTCGGTCTAACCCCATACTAATCGGTGGAAAAGGCGAATCAACAAACATCTGTGCATCAAGTCGGGCTTGCCTTGGTGAAGGTATTACCCCCCAACATTGGCCACGTCAGTCATTTGTCTATTATGCCTTTCGATAGCTAAACCTGTAGACCAGATCACTTGCAGGTCGCCGCAAACTAGACGCATGCTTTCGAAGCATATTGGGAGGCAATTGCTGTCCACTATGTGAGGCCCATCGTGCTCTTTCGCATCTGTAACTACATGTTAATAAACAGATGGCAACTGTGTAGCCGAACTCAAGGAGGTCTGTTTGGCAATGCATCGAAGCCGGGTCCTGGACCAATCGAGATGTACTCTAATGTTCGTTGTACACCGTTCGCGTACACGGAACCTACTTTTTCTCAGTAGCTGGGGGCACAAGCATGGACTCCACGCGTTTTGTCGGACATCCGCCGCCACAAAGTACGATTCCCCGAGAAAGGCCCGACTGCAAGCGAAGCATGTAGTTGAACGGAGTCCTCTTTACCCGCTTATGATACCGTCTTCATGTAATTCATTGCACTCTCTCCGCATCGGTGACAGAGCCATGTAAGTGCAAGCGTTCACAACGCTTTTCTTAGACGTTGAATTCGTTTTATTTTCAGAACGTTTCTGATCTGCTATTCTTAGCTCCTTATCGATACGCCATCTCCGAGGATCCTGAGCTCAGAGCAGAAAATCATGAAGCACATGAAGGCGATTGATAATGCCCTACTGCCGTCCTTTGCCGTTACAAGGTCAAGGTAGTGGAAGAGGATGTAATGGGAGTAGTATGTTGGATGCGCGGGGTAAGGCGGGAAGAATGATTATATCGACTTCCCGACAACGGATCCCTAGCGGACGGGCTCTGGTAAGGAAATGGTGACGGTGCCTCGAGATGTCTAGTGTAAGTAGTCCCAAGTGTTTCCTCGGTATCCGAAAGATCTGACCATGACCGCATAGTATGGTGCCATTAAGGTCTATCCTTTTCAACAACATGTCTATTTTGTTGGCGTATCGTCTGATTGTCAGACTCCACCGGGTGAGTATCATTTACACGACTTCCATCAATTAACGTCAGTTGACGTGATCTGTCCGCAGGATGTTCTTGCGTAGTTGAAGAAGGAAGGGCAGCCCGAAAGGATGCACCCGAATGTTCAGAGGATCACTCGCGGCTTCTGACCTTGATTCGGTGGTTTCAACGTTCAACGTTCAGGATTGCACGGTAAAACTTGTACTAAAAGATCTTATGAACTTCACCGCTTCTCCGGGCCGAATTTTCCGTGTGGCCGAAAATTACTGGGATATCTTTTCACTGCTTCCGTCCGTTTGTGCCACTTCGGGCCTGTCTTTCTTCATCGTTCGAAGTGCTGCTCCTATATTTACTTGTCAAGACTTGGGCTGCTATCTCCTCGGCCATTGATCAACAATTTCCGTGAGAGCACGGGTATCCAAAGTCTAAAGATAACACGAATGAGCTTCTTTTCCTTTCCGATTCGGGCACACGACCATTTCTCCCGACCCGGACATGCCGTAGCTTCATCTTCTTTCCATGAAGTATCATAAAAGCCTACATTTCCAGCTGTACCCTCACAATTTCATCACATCCCTTCATCTTTGACAATGGCGTCTCAAGAAACCCCGTTCAAGATTGCTATCTCAGACGACGAGCTCCAGCTCCTCCAACAAAAACTCTCTTTGATCAGGTTACCAGACGAACTCGAAGGCTCCGGGAAGAAATACGGCGTACCATTGAACGATATCAAGCGACTCGTGGCTCGGTGGAAAGACGGCTTCGATTGGAGAGCCCAAGAAGCCGCTCTCAATGCTGAGCTTCCTCAGTTCACTCGTGATATCGACGTCGAGGGTTTTGGGGTGCTAAACATCCACTACGTGCATAAGAAAAGCGAGGTGGAGGATGCTGTGCCGCTGCTCTTTGTTCATGGATGCGCGTGCTTTCCCAGTCCTGTCTACTCATGCGGTGGCTGATGTATAGTTGCAGGGCCAGGAAGCTTCATCGAAGTGCGGAAGATTCTCCCGTTGCTGACCGCGTCGTCGCCCGATCACCCGAGTTTCAATGTCGTTGCGCTGAGTTTACCTGGATATGGGTTCTCGGAGGACAGCAAGAAGCAAGGGTTCAGACTGGCCCAGTATGCCGAGGTATGGCTCTCGCTGGCATAGTCGCCCCGTTTACTCAAAGTAACTGAAGGTGGCTGAGAAGCTCATGGTATCACTAGGATATAATGAATATGGTACGTGACGGTCGTACCCTTTGAAGAGAGGAGCATCCACTGACATTTGACTTCCAGTCACGCAGGGAGGAGACTGGGGAGGTCTCGTGAGTTTTCGTCTCTCACTGAATTCTCGTCGTTTGCTAACGTGGGTCATGAAGATCACACGGAAGATTGCTAGTCTCTACGGTGGAGAGCATAGCAAGGCTCTGCACACAAATACGCCCACGCAAGTATATTGGTCTCATTTCTCTGCCGACTTTGCTGACCTTTTTGCAGAGGACGCCGTCCGACCATCTACGAGCCGATCCTATTCATTCAGCACCTCGTCACACCGTACACAGAGACGGAGAAAGCTGGCCTCAAATGGAGCCAGTGGTTCCGCACAAAAGGCGAAGGCTACTTGATCGAGCACGCTACGCAGCCTCAAACGATGGGATACTCGCTCACCGACTCTCCCGTCGGTCTGCTGGCATGGATATTCGAAAAACTTGTGAACTGGACAGATGAGTACCCTTGGGAAGATGACGAAAGTATGTGGTCCAGTGTCATACACGACCAAAGTGACATATTTTCTTTGTAGTCTTGACATGGATCTCCATATACTGGTTCTCGAGAGCAGGGCCTACAGCATCTATACGCATATACTACGAGGTCTTCGGGTCATCCGATATTGGAATGATGACACAGAAACTTCCTATACCACTCGGGATATCATACTTCCCAGCAGAGCATTACTGTGTTCCTCGGCAGTGAGTAATCTTGGCTTGTTCTCCGCTGTGACTGACCCTGGGATGATTAGCTGGGCACGGACGACCGGGAACGTCGTCTTCGAATCAGAGCATACGAGCGGAGGACATTTTGCTGCCCATGAACGACCTCAGGATCTGGTGGATGATGTGAGGAAGATGTTTGGGAAGGGAGGACCGGCGTTTGGGGTTGTTCCCGGGAAGACGGGTTATAGGTGAGAGGAATGAAAGTATCCCTGCCTATTGTATGACGTTTCATCCGGACAACATTTTGTTTTCTTTGTACTATACATATACACAAGCAATAATCTTTTTGTCAGTGAGCACGCGGAAAATGAAAACCTTACAGTTTCATTCTTGCCCCAAATTTGAACACACCTTCCTCGGGCAGTTTATGCAGGTTACCTCACGGTCAATTTAACTCATCTTCTTCCGACGCCGTGGCCCGTCAATATCACCTCTGATGACATTGAGTGACAAGGCTGGGATGTGAAGATGTGCTCACCGTCGCGGAAACCTTTATATATCGTGTTTTCATGCCACCCCGATGTCGCAAAGTGTCGGTGACAATGATAAAATCGATATCCAAGACAAACATTACAGGCATTGCATTGTTGGCAGCAAGTTAGCAGCCTCTTTGTTATACTGGAAGGATTAGCTGCAAAGCCAATGCCTTTTTAATTCAGTGACCTATGGCCTCACAACAATCTCGCAAATAAGATAACTATTATGACCCTGGTAAGACTTTTTTTCGGTACGAATATTGGCCCGTACCTGATCAACCATCGCATTGTTCGTGAACTGTGCAAGCTGAATCTGCAAGCCGAGTGGCGGACTGCAGCGCCATTTGCAACTAGTCTGAGTCAGATCAGAATATGCCGTCGGAAGGTGAATTCTGTCCATAGCTATATTGGCCAAGTGGAAGGCTGGTTAAAGCAGGGAAAGTATGTCTAACAACGACAACCTATAGCACAGATATAACAAAAGTGAGGTACATCCCTGCAGACGGACGAAGATATTTCTTACAGATACCACGTTTAACGCTGACCTCCGGATACTGTTATTCAACGGCAGGAAACCACGACGGACGGCAAGATATTGTGTGGACAGCTATACTTTAAGTCTATAATGGTTCATCATGTCGCGTAAAATAACAGTCCTCAACGGGATCGATAGCAAAGGAATGAGGTAGAAGGCAGAGCAAAGCTTCAGGAATCGTCAAGATGAAAAGCAGTCGTTCATTAGTGGCTGTGCATCGGTCCAGATTTCTTTTGCCTCGTCACAGCAGCGCATAGCGTCCCTTCTTAGCTTCAGCCAAGTCCGTCGCCAGATGTCGGTGACTGATTTGGTGCTGTTCTCGTTGAATTTAGGCCACTCATTGAAAAATGCACTAGATCTCGCATATTTATTGTCTATTAAGAAAAGCTTTCTTCATAGGAAGATAGCTAACAGATTCCGCCGGGTCCTCTATATTCAATCATCAACACGCCAGGTCAGTTTATCATGGCCTTGACACCCACCGAAATAATCAGGCGCCTTGAGAACAGAAAATCGACGAGAGTTGGTCGTTGTATTCCGCAAACCAGTCCAGGCTGGCGTCGCCACTACTGAACAACGGCTCGAAGCAGTTGTCGTCGGAGTAATAGTAACATACACCACAGCTGCCGGTATCCGTCTGGTTGTAACTGGGGCCGAGATCAGTGAGCGACAGAAAGCAATGCCTCAAATGACACTTACGAGCTCACGACGTTGTCGCTGAAACCAGTCCAACCATTACTGGCGGTGGTGTTGAGACACTTGCCGGTGGGGACCATGTACTTCCAATCACAGTTAACGTAGTACGCATCATCGCAGAGACGGATGTCAACTGCCGAAGCGATGGGCGCCATAACAGCGAGAGAGAGAGCGATAAACTGGGCGATGAGCTTAACCATTTGCAAAGGCGAGATGAACAGATGTGAAGAAACGTATGGCCTTTATATGGAGAATGGAGACGTCACTTGAAGGTATAAAGGGTACGGAAAAACTAGCCACAGTCGGTACACGTACCTACCGAACCTCATCTTGATGAGCAAATAATGGTGAAAACACAAGAGATCACCTATTCTTCGAGAGGATAAATGGAAGTCTGTAATGTTAGAAGAATGACGCCTTGTCAAGCGCTACCCGGGGTTTGCACGCTAGCTCTATTGGTAGAAAGGTTGAATTGAGTCCATTTAATTCAAACTTATAAGTCGGCTTAGTTGCATTGTCACTGAATACGACGCCTCCGAACGTGGTACGAAATTAAATCTAAATTTGCTACAAAGTCAGTGATTGAGGGTTTTGTCAGCCCTAACGCACGTACATGTGGTGATCAGTAGAATCTACGTTTGATTGGAGGGGAACTCCGTGCTCGGGCATACGCCACCACGCAGACAATCAACACGTGCATAGTGAAGACTCATAGCATTAGTTGGACGACCGCACTCGTTGAACATGACTTGGCGAATGCCGTACCGAGATGAATACGTTGCTGCTATCAAACTCGCGACTAAGAGACGTGTCGCTAGCCCGACCGCGCGCGCGCACGTGTGATATGACAGAAGTCATCCCCGTACCTGCCTGACTTGCAAAGACATAATGAAGTTCGGTACCGCTGATAAATGGATGCGCGGAGTTTAGACCAGAGCAAGAGAAGACTCATACAATCAAGATTTAGTGATATCGTTCCGAGCAGAGTCGATCTCGGACTTATGTAAGTTCTGACTTCGGAAAAATACCTGGTGCAGACTGTTGACCGTAACGGCATCCCTAGGATTTCACGCCACAGTGGTACCGGACGTTACTAGTGGCATCGTCGGTGTGACGATTATGTGTCGTATTTGAACGAACCTCTTAGTAATCGATGAAAGATCTCTGTAGAGTACGTAGCTGACGCGCCTGGTTTTCAAAGTTCTTGTTGCTTGCGTGACGGATGTCGATAGCATTTGCTAGCTGGATGCCTGTTTTCTCTAAGACGAAGCCGGAGCTTTGGGAAATATTGGCGGTCCTGTGCGCATAGCGTCCTGTAAGTCATCACGTTACAAAGAAAATGACTGTAGCGGACGTACATATGCACATGACGATGGCAGAGAAAGAATGAGACGAGTTAAGTTGATACGAGATAGATAATACAACCGCCGCAAGAAAGATGTGCTCGAACTTGGCATAAGAATGAGGCTCTAATATTAGAATATCTGCGTGTTCAGTGTATGAAAGATTATTGCTCGTGTATGCGTATAGTACAAAGCGAAGAAAATATTGTCCTGGTAAAGTGCACACACAGACCAATGCTAGTGCTTGAGGCCGGTAGGTTTGTCGCTGTTTCCCGAATTAAATCAGACAACTAACAGACGGGAATATCCCATTCCTCTCACCTATAACCCGTCTTCCCGGGAACAACCCCAAACGCCGGTCCTCCCTTCCCAAACATCTTCCTCACATCATCCACCAGATCCTGAGGCCGTTCATGCGCGGCAAAATGCCCTCCGCTTTTATGCTCGGATTCGAAGACGACGTTCCCGGTCGTCCGCGCCCAGCTAATCATCCCGGGGTAGTCACAGCAGAGAACAACGCGATGTTACTCACTGCCGAGGAACACAGTAATGCTCCGCTGGGAAGTATGATATGCCGAGCGGTATAGGAAGTTTCTGTGTCATCATTCCAATATCGGACGACCCGAAGACCTCGTAGTATATGCGTATAGATGCTGTAGGCCCTGCTCTCGAGAACCAGTATATGGAGATCCATGTCAAGACTACAAAGAAAATATGTCACTTTTGTCGGGTATAACGCCGGACCACATACCTTCGTCATCTTCCCAAGGGTACTCGTCTGTCCAATTCACAAGTTTTTCGAATATCCATGCCAGCAGACCGACGGGAGAGTCGGTGAGCGAGTATCCCATCGTTTGAGGCTGCGTAGCGTGTTCGATGAGGTAGCCTTCGCCTTTCGTACGGAACCACTGGCTCCATTTGAGGCCAGCTTTCTCTGTCTCTGTGTACGGTGTGACGAGGTGCTGAATGAATAGGATCGGCTCGTAGATGGTCGGACGGCGTCCTCTGCAGAAAGGTCAGCAAAGTCGGTAGAGAATACCAATATACTTGCGTAGGCGTATTTGTGTGTAAGGCTTTGCTATGTTCTCCACCGTAGAGGCTAGCGATCTTCCGTGTGATCTTTATGTCCCGCATTAGCAAACGATGGGATTTCAGTGAGAGACGAAAACTCACAAGACCTCCCCAGTCTCCTCCCTGCGTGACTGGAAGTCAAATGTCAGTGGATGCTCCTCTCTTCAAAGGGTACGACCGTCACGTACCATATTCATTATATCCGAGTGATATCATGAGTTTCTCAGCCACCTTCAGTTATTTTGAGTAAGCGGTGCGACGGCGCCAGCGAAGAGCCATACCTCGGCATACTGAGCGAGCCTGAACCCTTGCTTCTTGCTGTCCTCCGAGAACCCATATCCAGGCAAGCTCAGCGCAACGATGTGGAAACTCGGGTGATCGGGCGACGATGCGGTCAGCAGCGGGAGAATCTTCCGCACTTCGATGAAGCTTCCTGGCCCTGCAATCATACATCAGCCACGTAGACAAAACCGGGAAAGTACGCACATCCATGAACAAAGAGCAGCGGTACAGCATCCTCGACGTCGCTTTTCTTATGCACATAGTGGATGTTCAACACTCCGAACCCGTCCACCTCGATATCCCGAGTGAACTGGGGCAGTTCAGCATTAAGAGCGGCTTCTTGGGCTCTCCAGTCAAAGCCGTCTTTCCACCGAGCGACGAGACGCTTGATATCGTTCAATGGTACGCCGTATTTCTTCCCGGAGCCTTCGAGTTCGTCTGGTAACCTGATCAAAGAGAGTTTTTGTTGGAGGAGCTGGAGCTCGTCGTCTGAGATAGCAATCTTGAACGGGGTTTCTTGAGACGCCATTGTCAAAGATGAAGGGATGTGATGAAATTGTGAGGGTACAGCTGGAAATGTAGGCTTTTATGATACTTCATGGAAAGAAGATGAAGCTACGGCATGTCCGGGTCGGGAGAAATGGTCGTGTGCCCGAATCGGAAAGGAAAAGAAGTTCGTTCGCGTTATCTTTAGACTTCGTATACCCGCGCTCTCATGGAAATCGTTGATCAATGGCCGAGGAGATAGCAGCTCAACACATGGTCCTTGAATATGATTCTGGTGCTCTGAACAACGAAGAATACCGAATGAGAACATTACAGACAGACGAAAGTGGGGCAAAACCGTTCCAACGATTTTCTGATTTACGGATTCCGGCCCGGTTTTGACAATCGGCTATGAAGTGACGTTTGTTTCTTTCAGTCCAAGTTTCGTGTGCGGTCCTGAGCCATCGAATCACAGCAGAAGCCGCGAATGATCCTCCGAACGTTCGGGAGCACACTTTCCAGCTGCATCACGTCTGCAACTATGCAAGAACATTCTTCGGACAGACGTCAACTCGCCTTAATTGATGGAAAGTATAAGATACTCACGCAATAGAGTTTGTACAAACATACGCCGTAAAATTTACGCCCCTTGTGGAACGGAGAGCGATTAATAAGCTAATAGCGAAAATTCTATACACGACCATAGTTAGACACTTCAGATGCCCCGTAAACAGTTTGGATGCTTACACTAGAGATTTCGAGGTGCCACTTTCGCCCCAATGCCTATCTAGGGATCCGTTCTCGGAAAGATGGCTGTAAACCACTTCGCCCGCCTCGCTTGATTCATCATTCCCTTTGAATCTTTTGTCACCAGCCTTGGCCTTGTGACGGCAAGAGGGACACCAGTGCATTCTTGTCGCTACGGCCTCCATACGCCTTGCCACAGCTTCGAATTCACGACCCTCGGAGATGGTAAATCGAGAAGTAGCTAAAAATAGCACAGCTGGAAATGTTCTAAAAATAAATAAATAACGAATTAGGCGACTAAGAAAAGTACTACGAAAACTTGTACTTACGTGACTTTGTTGCCGTTGCGGATAGCATAGCGAACTGCATGGAGACATTATCATAAGTGGGTGGAGGGGACTCGTCGTTCGACGACATGCTATGCAGTCGAGCCTTCTCAGGAAGTCCGTAGTAAGGATGAATATCCGACGAAGCAACGTGTGGAGCCACTGTTCCACCGGTGTGCTCCCAGTCTCTTGAGATATTTTAGTTCCTAATGTCCGCGGACAGTAAACATGACGTACCGATTAGTCAACTCCAATTACTCCCGTTCCTCAGCATGGAATCCGGCTTCGATACATTGAAGACCGGGCCTCCATTCCTCGTTCGTAGTCGCTGAATTCAGCTATAGTCATGCTTTCTGTTTTCCGAGATGTAGCTATAAATGCAACTCAGCGCGACACGACTCACATAGCCGTCTGGGTTCGGAAATATAGGGCCCGTGCCCGATGTGGTGCGAATGATCTAGTCTGTAAAAATCAGATTAGTTATCGAAAGGTCGATAAACCGATGAGCTAACCTTAGACCTAGCCCTCGGACATGGATTGTGAGACGAACCCAGACATTCGCACATTCGCCTTTACCGCTGATTAGTACGAAGTCTGGACTGACACTGACACGGATCTCACCATCTCGGAGGGAGTTCATTCATATCCAACGCAATCCACAATTTGAAAGCATCAGTCACCAACCTACTCCGCATCATATCGCGACCAGAAAGCTTGAGCACTTGAGGTTGAATGGCGGGATGATCCGCCTGGATATAGTGATCGCTTCGTCTCCGCCATACCATATCTCCGTATTCCATCCGTGATGTACGCTGCGACGTTGACCATCGATTTGGAGGAATTCATAGCTGGATAAGACAACGAAATGGGAACGAGTCGTGCTTGGTCCGGACAAAAATCGGAAAATACACTGGGTGACTTCCTTTGCTGAGAACATTCTATACTGCGATATCAGCGAGAAGAAACGACAGAGGAAAGAAAACGCATGCCGACGATGCCTTGAAGTACAGCAAGAGGAGGCATTCGAAACGATCTAGAAATTTATCGAAAAATTCTTCGTACGGATACCTGGATGAACAGGTGAGTGGTAAGAATGCAGTGGGCAGGAGGAGTCGCATACATACTAGAGCTACGTAGCCCACAATACGATCTGTATCCTTCGACTCTCGTCCTTGCCGTTGTTCCTTGCCATTGTTGTCCTCTGAATAACTTTGGGAAGAAAAGATAACTAGCACGAGACTTGAATGATAGCCTGTCGGCGTCTTGGTGGAGGAAGACTGGAAAACTGGATTGATTGGCCATCTCCGCTAATACAGCTCAGGTAAATAGAAGTAAACTACTCCTACCAACCTCGATGGCTCGTTGTGAGAAGTAATGACAGTCGTAGCAACATTATCTACTAGTGCATGAGTCCGAAATGACAGCGAATATGCGCATTCCCTCTGAATCCTTCCGACTGCCGTAATCCTTCGTCGCAGACCAGCTGCGCCTCGCTGACATCAGCTGCAGATGATGTCGACACGGGATAACGAGGGTCAAGAAATGTGGCTGTCACGCTGCAATGGCTTTACAGAGTGATAAATGCCAATGGAGGTTGCAAGGATACATGAAATGAGAGGAAATGAACTGGGGAGATCTGCGAAATTGTCAGCTCCTTGAACGATATCACTAGCAACTTCGAGGGTAAGGTGATCTCCTCAAAGCCAAAGGAGAGTGATATCTTCCTTGACAAGGGCAAGGGACTCGTGCTATAGGCGAAAATGGTGCAGCATCATGGAAAGACAGAGAGCTGCCATGTAAGACATTGCTGAGACATTGCAAGGAGAGCGCTTTTCAAAGTCAATGACGAGTGTGAGCTGAAGGGGAGAGTTGGGGACAAAGAAATGGCGAGATATAGAGTATTTGTGGTGGTGGTTATTCGTGGGACCTTTGCTCATGGAAGAAGATTATCCTAACGTTGATCCCGGTCCGGAAGGGACCGGAATCCACAAGGTCACGTGTCATTCCGAGACTCGCGACAGATTCAATTTGATTTCGCGACTCGTTACCCTGTCCTCGGGGCTAATACTAATCCGGCATATAGCTCCAGATTTCCAAGATACACGCTTCCAACATTTACTCTTCGTCCCCCTCATCACCTGGATGCCGACTCAAGCTTGGCTTTGCAAAAATGCAGACTAAGGAAATGTTCTCGGTGGTCGGAACACGATGCTATAACCGAAATGAACTATTTCATCTCATTGCATTTCCCGCAAACCCATTACACGTGTCAGCTTAGCTCTCCGTTCTTCGTCCCTACTCAAATTTAATTCCAAAAGTACCTTGGGAGATGGCTGGTATGCATCACAGCCAGAAATGCTCCCGGAACATCCATGCAATTATTTCTTCTCCGTAGTCGCGTTCTCTATCGTTTGTGTTCTTCGTTCTGCCATTTGGTATGTAGACCTTTCCTCGACTTTTTGTCTTTTGATTCATACTAATTCGCTATAGATCTCTTCAAGTCTTCGACGCGTCCTAGCCTCCTAGGATTTCATTTCTCGATTCGGCTCAACTCCGCAGATAGACCTGGTATATTTTTGATGCTTTCTTTGGATGCCATCGAAGGGAGATACATGACAGGAAGAGATCCAATTCGTGAGTCGTTTAATTTGTTTATGTATTCTTTCGGCTAATCATTGGAATAGATAACTACATGGACTATTCATGCGACCATTGTATGAATGAATTTACCATCAGTCAGGCGACGTGGATAAGAATGCAAGTGCCAACATACTGATGAATATCGACTTGAAAGGTGTACTACTCATCAAACAACGGGTACCTCTCGATATCGCAGCGGGATGTAGACTATAATAAACAGTAAATATAGCCTACCTTTATGCTCAGCTTGACTATTCAATTTGATACCACTACTATCGACAACTTGACAACTTGCCGACGCCACAAGATAGCCGCATCCTTACTTGGTCGAACAACGTATTAAAATAAGATTGCATACATGTCTAACATTCAACGATTAATTCTCGTAGATCATCAAAGATGCTAGGCTCAACGGATCCTCCGCACCCTATGATATATCTTCAGCCTACATGGGATGATGTGAATAGAATCGGCGCTGACCTTAAGCACCCTGAGAACAAAAGATCGACGAGAGCTTGTCATTGTTGCCACTTGCACCAAGCCAGTTCTGTTCATAGTCTCCGTTGTTGAACATTTGACCGTGACAATCCTCATTGGCGAAATAATAGCATTTCCCGCAGGTGCCAGAGTTCACCTGACGGTATCTAAAGCCAACACTGAGGATGAAATGGAACATTGAACGAAGAGGATACTTACGAGCTCACATCATCGTTGTGAAATCCAGCCCAGCCAGCACTAGCACCAGTGTTAAGGCACTCGCCCGTAGGGACATTGTACCTCCATGCACAGTTGTTGAAGTACGCATCATCACAAAGGAGGATATCGATAGCAGAGGCGAGGGGTGCCAGGACGGCGAGAGATAATGCGACAAAAGTGAATGTGAGCTTTGCCATTGCGAGTGTGAATGAACGCTTGGGAGATGGGGTACTACGAAAACTTGCCTTGTACTTATATCAGAAACGCAGAGGTTCAAGAATGTCTGTAGAGATAAAAGTAAGAGATTAGATGACATACGGAATGGTGTGAGTCATAGGATCTACGAGCTACGACCGCCCGAGAATAACCCGAATCAAACAAAATACGTCTAGCTTGGTCATCGGAAAGCGGGGATATTTGTGAAGTGTATAGTTAGGAAGTGCCTGGAATTCTGGAGGAAGTATATCATTGAATTCGGAAGGAACATTGAAGTCACTAGTGGAGTTAACGCACCTATAGTCCACGGACAAGGCTGATCAGGAGGACAAGTCGTATTCGTTCGTTCAGATCCACATGCAGAAGGAGCTTAGAGAGCGTTGGAATTTTAACAGTTGAAGACAGTCAAAGGCATATGTTATCGAGGCTATCGAGACGAGTCCCTCTTGGCTTCGCTACAAAGAAAGGATCAGAAGCTAAGATCATCGCCGGTGCCGACGTGGCATGAGCATCTTGAACACTCTGAATGCTTATCAGCAAAACTTGGCAGCAAATCGTTGGACGATACATCGATAAGTTCTCAAGAAAGTATTGTTCCGCTCTCGATGGGAACGGGGATCAAAGGTACTCGTTCGATACCGGAATGAGCTAAGTGCCAAGAACGAAGCCAACGGAGAGGTTAAAAACAATATAAGCAGGGACAAACCGGGAGCTACCTGGAGCAGAGGCGCAAAAGTATCACAAACCGGCGGTTGAGATTAAGTTCCGAATAGCAGGTTCATTCCGAAGGAGTCGGCAACACATACCGGTTGTCGAAAGTGCCGAAAACAAATACACGCCCACGTGCACGAATTCAATCTTTTCGGGGCGAAAGCTGCATACTCATGTGTTGGAAAACGGGGTATCGGTTCGTTCCCAGTGTCACATGTGCGGTAGCAAGCCAATAGTATTGCGCTTGGCTGAGCTCTGCAAACGCATGAGGATCTACGCTACAGTACCTACTTTTATACTAAATGTACTTTTACTAGAACTTTCCACGCTTTTCCTAAGACTTCTACCTTAATAAGCATCTTCGGCATGATGCCGGATTGCCAAATCCCAACATCATGCCACCGGCAGCTATGGTGTATGCTGCTATTTCGCCAGTGGCGGTTGCTTCGAGTTGTTTTTCAGTAGTGGCGACGCTAGCTTGGATTGGTTAACCCAACTTTATAGTGTCACGGATATCAGTCAGGTATTTTTAGTCGACGGCCACCGACTACTCACCGTACTAATCATCGCGAATATCAGAATTTTCTTCGATTTTCTTTTTCTTTCTTCTACTTTCTTTCGGTACTCTTCTTGTATATTCTATTGACTAGTATCTTCCAGAACATTCGCTCAAATACAATATATAGTCGAGTATCGTAGTACGCTCGAGGGTCATCTTAATTTTACCTTCTTAACTCCACAACCTAGTGTGAACCTAAGTGAAAGAGGTCGGTTACGCCAAGCGCTTTTCGGATCTCCTTAGCTACGCCTAGCGCTTGCTAAACTCTCGGACGGAGCCTTCTTGGTAGAATTGGACCTACTAATACTTTACACTCGCTCTCGGCTTAGTCTTTAACTGAGTACTACTGAATTGCACCTTGAAGAATTAGCCATAACCATAACATATAGACTGATGCTTGAATATGGAGGACCTAGCGAGTCCGTCTGCCTCAAGTCTATGTAACCCAGACTTCGTTGAACCGAAAAAATGAAGTGAAGTATACGTGAGGACTGTCATGCTTGGGGGGTCACGTTTGCCGAGTCCTGGTCATAACTGTAGATTCTAAAGACAAGCGGAAGGTCAGCTGAACTAGCACACGGTTGGTCGAAGCTAGTCGAAAGCAAAGGAAAAGAACTGCGTCACAACGGTATTTTGGGGAACGTAATTTCTTTTCCCTTGTTCAATTAGATTCTTCTTGGATTTGGCCCTATTTCGAGAAATGCTTGAGCAGTAATGCTCATCGATGATTACAGTTATGGAACGCGTCTGTTTCTGTCCAAAGGGGTTCCTCGTCGAGCCTGGCATCAAGAAAAGACTATTAGAGTTACCGTGGCTGTACGAGCCGTCGGAATCAACCAGCTCCGAACCCGTTACTTACCGTACCCGCAGTTTTCTTTTCTTTACCGTTTACCACCATGTCAACATACTACGTATAAACAAGCTGCTCCCTTTCGTTCCCTCCTGTGCTCGAATCTCAACAAAGACGCAGCATGAGGCACCAAACGTTAGTGATACAAATTGCCAGTTTTCACTTTACTTGGTCTTCATTGCGATTTAGAGGGTGTTCTGAGTCCTAAGTGCCCAGTCAGGACTCGCGGAAGAGAAGGGGGGAGTGACAACATACCTCAACAGCTTTATATCCTGGAAATATATTTCAGTGTCGCTACATGATACGACCGTGATGACCATGCACAAGAAATCTTTCTTCAACAGCTCTCCGAGAGAAAGGGTTAGGTAGACGTGCGGTCCCTCATTGCGACCCCCCCTTTGAATTATGCTCGGGACCATTTTGACTGGGTAGAGGGGCGCCAACGAAGAGAAATAAAATTACGGTATGCAGTGGTTGTTGTCACAGATATTGAACAGGGCAGAGCTCAGCTCGAAGTCAAAGACAAAAAAGAGATCATGACGTGATGGCATCACTGTTCCGGCCATTTCCCTTTTCATCCACTACCATCACTGCCGTCGGATGGCGTATCTACGAATTTCTTATTAGGTTGCTCATCACTAACAGCGTTGCGATGACTGGCCTTGCTGATCTTCGGCACAATGGAGATGAACTAGTAATTTGATCCGGAAGGATCCCAATCTTAGGGTAGGTCCCGTGTGAGACTCGCTTGATTTCTAGTAATATGCTCTCTTGTCAACCCTCTACCACTTCAGGAGAGATATCATCCAGACATCGAACACGTCGCAGTCACTGTGACATAGTGTATTGGTTTCGAATTTCCGGCTGTCGTCGCATGCACGCAGCAGGCAGAGTTTGCGGGCACTATCATGGGAATTCGTGTGACTCTATATCGCCTTTTCCTTCAATCGAGGAGGGACGTCCTCTAAGTCTACGCTCAGCCAGTTTATTGTGGTACGGCATATCTTCGTGACTGTGTAGCTCAATCTCCAGCTGTTGCCATGCACTGTCTGGTCTGCTTCTCTCAAGGAGAGACAACGATGCGTGTGACCTAGGTAATGTAATATAAATACTGGAGGAGCTGTGAATCTTGAATCTTCGAGAATGTTATGAAAGATGTCGTGTTGAGTGACCCGCACATTGTCATGCTGGCGTAGTTTGGCTACTCCCTGTGAGTTCCACATTTTGTGCATTGATTGACTTATTCGCCAAGCCCGTTCACTTCTTACTGGCGTGTTTTGAAGTGGAGTCAAACTTGAAAAGAATCGTGAAATTGCGTTGATGACAAATTACAAACCCTGAATGCCTCTCTTTGTTTTCTTTTCTGCGCACCTGGAAATCGATACTCACTTGATGGAAACGACACATCTAAGCGATGAACATAGATGAAAATACCAAGTATATATATATACATTATTTAGCCACAAGAATGCTGTTCACAATATTGCTTCTAGATTTCTTCTAGTCTTAGCATCGGATGCGCTACTAAGTACTGAATAATTTGTACAATTTATCTTCCAAATCAAGCCTGTGCCGTTCGAAACAGTCACCAGTATCATGCCATTTTCTGAATAACAATAATGGGCCTTAAAACTCGAAATCAATTCCACCCTTTGAATGATTCAGACCACCTTGAATTTCCGTAAGAGGAATTTCGGCATCATTAGGACTGATGCTAAGGTTGCCGGAGCTCCGGAACGGAAGCCTGAGGACCTTGGGAGCATCAGATTCTTGGCGCCCTGTCACTGCTTCTTGCCTCCTTCGTGAATTTAACCTAGACGCGGTCAGCTTGAAGCAAGATCAGCTACAGGGGAAGGACATGCATGGCTAGCAAGGAGTTAATATAGACTGACGATTATCCTTTCAGCCATTATCAATACTAAATGGTAAGAAATGAACCAACGTTTTGGCAATATGAAATCTATGGCCAGGAAAATCAGACAATCGGGCCATGCAAGATACTAGAAATCTAGGTGAAATCCTTTGAAAATGAATCAAGTGGAGGATAACATGCCGAAATAAGAACAAGCAGCGAAAACACGCTGTTGGTCTAAGATTAGTAAATCTGCGTGAGGAGCGTGATGCACAGTTACCTTGTGATCACCCCCGATATCAAGACAAGCCGCATTAAAACCAAAAGGGCAGTAGACGTGCTGCGATAAATTCATCTTCGAAGTCCCAAATTCACAGAATGGAAATCACCCACCTGGAGAATATCGTGGTGGCCCTGCTTTTGTATAGGTAATAACACATTAAGACGGCGATGATTATGTCGGCTATCACCACAGAAGAGAAAAAAGCATAGATTGTTCGCTGAAATACATCTTAGTATGAAAAAGGATGAAATCCATGGACCGCCGCCCACGTACTTTAACTTCTTCAGTGGGAACTGAAGACAGTGTCTTCGTAATATACCTATAGTAAATAGATCCAGCTGTGAGTGCCATCGAAGAAGCGATGAAAGATTCTATTACGTATCATAGATCGCGTCTGGCATTCCTTTGTGAGCACGAGAATACAAGAATAGGATAATAGAATAATATCTCACAAATTCCTGAACCTTTGATTAGATTATATCAATTCACGCAGCTAGGCAAATGAGATAGTCGTACAACCCACCAAACACAGCAGCTACGGCCAGAAACTGTCATCAGTTTGTCATTAACAGATTTATCTCATAATCAAGTGGATGCTTACCACGATCCAGGGAAGGATTCGATGAAGGTGTCCCCCGACTAAAAATAACTTAAAGATATACAATGTCTTCAGTAATCATCATACGAACGTTTCCAAATCCGAATGGCATAGATACTGTGGTGCATTGATAAATGAGTTTCAGATGTGGCAATTCACGAGGATGAGTCAACCGACACTTACGCTTGAACCCCAACAACTATCAGAATCTAGGACAGTTACTATCAATTATAGATATAGGGAAGATGGATGCAAGACACGCACATGAATTAAATACTGCAGCTTATAATGGTAGCATCGATCAAAAATTGTCAGAAAACAAGTGAGAAAAAATTACCTTGAGGCTCCTACAGTGAAATGTTGGTCAAAATCGTACGGGAGGTAGGTATTTCAGTGTCCGACAGCGTACCATACGATTTCAGTCAGTGCGGGAAAGTTACCGAATGAATCAACCAAGTAGAAATATACTGCGTGTGTAGTCAACGCGACATGGATTGTGTCAAGTATCCTACGGAAGACCATGTTCAGTTATTGAGGGACTCGATAGAATTGAAATATACCTACCATAGTGCTGCTACCTGACTCAGATAGAACAATGAGAATAGGTGCAATTGGATTTTCCAATGCTACAGACGCACCGAATATCGGTAAAGCAACCAGTCGTTTGGGTATTTCCTGTAATATCTTGCTGCTTGTAGATTCGTTATGCCAAATAAACTAGTGGCCGTCATGCCGAGTGAACAGACTGAGCGAAAGAAAGAATCAAAGCAAATGTTCTCACATGGCAGCAACCGTCGCCCCAATGTAAGCAGCCCCGAATGACTTTCCTAATGATGGAAGCTGCGTTGACATGGCTAGGTCTGGAGAAGGGTGAGGAGTTCGTTCAGATACTATCTTCAATCTTGTTTATAGGCATGATGAATCAGTGAAAAAGTAAACAGCTGGTCATCGCGGGCTTGCATCCCGGCCTGAGATGCTTGGGCTGTGTCAGAACCTGGGTTTCAGAGTTATTTGTGCCGTTACATACATTAGACCAGAGATTGGGATGCGCCCCATACAATTAAGTGTGAAAATTACGCTGATGTGCACCTCCTTCAACTTTGCCAGCATCACAGTGAAGGACATAGGTACAGCTTGGCAGTGGCTATCATTAGAGGATACTCTCAAGCATGCGACCGATTCACCGGTACGGTGTATTGCCGTGTCCGATGCATTAATATTGAGATCGAGGAGCATCATAGCGCTTAGAAAAGACCGGGAAATATCAGAAGGCAATGTAAACTACTACCATGAAGATTGAATACCTAAGACATCCGATGCTGAACCCTTATGCATTCAACGAGTGTGCGATCACTGGTTATTCATCTCGAGCTCGAAACACCACTTAAACATGTGCACCGCATACATACCCATCTTCTACTCATCCCGAACCATGTGGCGGTGACACCTCTGACATATAAGTGGGTACGAATCCTAATAGACGGAAGCGGACTTCGGCGGTGATTGCAGACCAACGAACACGGTGGCACTTCGGAGATTGAATTGTATGGCCGGGTCAAGACTCCGATTGGCCATCACCATCATCGAAGTTGTTCAACGCGGTGCTGTATTCTTGCCTTACATCGCATGAGTCCCATGCTCATGTTATATCACGCGGATCGACTTGTATCAGCCGCCGATCAGAGCCGAGCGCTACCCCATTATTGCCCTCATGGTGTCCTCAAATTTAGGCTCTGGAGCGGCTTTAGACTCGACAACCCAACCGCATTCCTTCAATGCTTTCTTTGGGCATTGGTCTTGCACTAGTGATCTCTTTGGCTGTTATTGCTTGGCTGTCGAAGCCAAAGCATTTACCTCTACCACCCGGGCCAAAACCTCTACCGATACTGGGAAATTTACGTGATTTTAGGCTCAAGGAGCTCTGGATAAGCACTACAGCGCGGTCTCAAAAATATGGTACGTGATTTGGAAATGTCCTGCCTGCTGTAACACGACCAATGGGTGTTCAGGCGACGTCTGCTACCTCCACGTCCTCGGATGGAGCGTCATATTTCTCAGCAGTCCAGATTCTGCATATGAACTTCTCGATAAACGTGGCGCTATTTATTCTGATAAGCCCCAGCTCGAAACGATGGGAGAATTGTCAGTAACTATTTCAAGATTCTATTATATGAGCCGTTCTCAGCTAACGTGCATATTTTAGAAGCGGTTGTGAAAATTTGGCAAGTCATTATTCCTCCTCCATGTCGGAGGCGAAGTAATCAGAGGTCATTCACAGCTGCCTTTATCAAACGATGGTGAGAAATTCAAGCGACAGAGGCGTCACATGCAGCATACTCTCGGGCCTCGCAGCATTCCCTTGTATCATGAAATGATCCGGACCGAAACTCAGACCTTCCGAATACCTCGGTCACATTCGCAAGTATGCTGGAAGTCTGACCTTGTCAGTCATTTATACACTTCGCGCCACGTCTTCAGAAGACAAGTTCCTTGTTATAGCTGAAGAATGCCTGTCCATCCTAGCAAACGAACTCACAGCCGGGAGTGGAATTTGGCCAGTGGACTTATTTCCGCCACTCAAATATCTACCTTCGTGGATGCCCGGAGCTGGTTTCAAGAGAAAGGCAGCTATTTGGAAGACAAAAATGAAGAACTTCGCTGACCAGCCTTTTGAGTCTGCCAAATTGAGCACCGTACGTATAATTTCAGCTACATCATTTGAAAGTCTCATCATTAATGATATGGACGCTTTGTAGCGAGAGGGAACAATTCTTTCATCATTCTGCTCCAAGTTCCTTGCCGACGAGACACTAAGTAACGAGGAAGACGAGTTCAAGCTCAGTGCGAACTCCATGTTCGCTGCCAGTGCCGATACCGTACGTATGTCTGTGTATCGTTCAGAATTAGTTCTTACCTGTGGATATTACTTAGACTGTAACGTCGATTTCACAATTTATTCTGGCTATGGTCATGTACCCAGACATTCTGAAGAGAGCGCAAGAAGAAATCGACCCAGTTATTGGCAGAGATAGACAGTCTCTACCTTACGGTACGTCCATGAGTTGTCTTCTTTTTGATATTTTATGCTACGTAATTTCCAGTCGACGCTGTGATGTCAGAAGTATGGCGCTGGGGTGTGCCCGTACCGCTCAGTAGGTCTCCTTGACTCCGACGACTTTAACAGTTTCATGCTGTATATCTCAGACCTGCCTCATTGCGTAAGACAAGATGATGTTTATCGTGGCATGTTCATACCCAAGGGCTCGATCGTATGTGCTCATTTTATGGAAAGACTCTTCTCTTAGTTAAAATATCTCAGAATTCCAGGTTATCGCAAACATATGGTGTTTCCATTACACTCTAACGCTTACTATCAGGTTAACCTTGACTATTATAGAGCTATACTCCGAGACAAAACACTCTTTCCCAAGGCCGACGTTTTCGATCCAGACCGGTTTGGTCCTGATGTTGAGTCGGAGTTGAGAGAAAAACGCGATCCCCGAAACTACATTTTCGGATTTGGTAGAAGGTACGCCTTCTTTTGCACCCAGATATGCTATTTACATTATCCGCCGAATAGGCGATGTCCAGGTGCCGACTTGGTTGAATCATCAATCTGGATCCTGATTGCTACCATGATTGCGACGCTCGACATCAAGAATCAGTAGACTCCAAAGGAAATACTGTTGAGCCTATTGTGCAATTTAGCAACTCGACCCTCAGGTACAGTCTAAGAGATTTCCGTCATACTTTTACCTAAATTTATTGTCCTTTCAGAGTTCCGGATCACTTTGTGTTCAACCTCAAACCACGGTCAGAACATGCGGTGTCGCTACTGGCATAAGTGTCAGCTTTCCAGTGTGAAAACTGTTCGACATTAAGTACGAAGGGTGCCTACACGTACAATCCTGTATGTCAACTTCGTTAATTACTATGCGATTCGTGTTTTCGTATTCATGGTGAAGTTTGGTTTTTACGATGTCCGGGGAGCTGTAACTGTCGTGTGCAGGAAGGAGCCATAGTAGCTGTCTCCGGAGTCCTGTATTCTGCTTTGGCGCAGGTTATCCTCCTCAAACTTGGAGAAATCTTTGAGCGACAGGGCATGTCGCTTGTGGACATATACGGCTTGTAGATTGTGGGAAAGGCACGAAGACAAACCGAAAGTGGCGGTATCTATAACTCCGACTACAATTCAGGATGCGAGAATAATAGGCAAGAAAAGAAATGTGTGTGTCTTCACAGTTGGAATGGTACCTCACCCAGAACGGGACTTGTCAGTGTTTACCGTCGCTAAGATGGGATGTTGAAACTTCACGTATTTTGCCTCGACGCACTTCATGACTATCGCAAGGTCAGGAAGTTCAAGAGAATGGGCGCAGCCCAGACAGGCCGTGTTCCAATTCAGTCTGATACCCTTATATCTTCCTGTAAATCTTGTCACTGCCTACGAGTTGACCTCGTACGATAATGTCACTTGAGGTGTGGGGTGCATCTCAAGTCCTGGAGTATAGTTGGTAGAATTGTCATCTTATATCCTGTAAAACAGGTAGCTCATTACGACATTTCCTAACGATCTCGGCGGCTCAGCGGTAGGCGCCTCCTACTCCGGGTTCGAGTCCCGGCAGTGTAGATTACAATTCTCGGTATTTTGTTCATTTTTCTTCTGAACAATGCTCGCGTGGTGCAAACCGAGGACTAGGAGTCTGGAAGGAAGTGCATTCTTGCCTGTTCGCATTGTACTAATCGTATCAGCCACCCACTTATACTGAAAGAATTGAATTAGTCTCGTCGTTGTAGAGGTATGTGATGACTTTGTCGTGATGGCAAGGGCGTGAACACAAACGAGTTCACTGGTTTCCTGAACTTGTATCCACGCAATTTCCTTTCATATTTCTCTATGATAGGGAGCTCAAATATCTTTCTAATGGACAACGAACATACGTTAACCTTACTTCAGGCTCCCAGAAACGAGCGACTTTCTTTGGGGGCGAAACATACATCCTCTCTGTTGGTGTTAAACGTGGATAAGTTACGAGGTCTACCAAAAGTCAGCGGCTCAAGTTGACTCGTGCCAGCCTCAGGGATCGTTCCCGTGGCCAGCGTCGTAGTCCTCGACCTGCTAAGCAACGCGAACTATAACCAGAGAGAAGATAATCCCGACGAGTGGAGATGCCTATCGATTTCGTAAGATGAAGCCTTGTAAGTAGAAGGACAAACAACAGACCATATCAGCGACAATTGGCAGACTGCCTTTTCCTCTCTGAGCTTGAAGAACCGCAATATAGGTAATAAGGTCTGCAGTATTAAGAGCTCCGCTTTCGATGACAATGCGAACCACAGGCATGAGACGTCCTCTCTTAGAGGTATTACTTGTGATAGCCTTCATGCGGCTCTCGGACCTCCAGATACGGTAAGCGATAAGTGCTATGGGACTCGCTTAGAATATTCAAGGGACAAGGAATTCAGAAACTGCTTACATGTCGATATCGCATTGGCAGCAAGCGAAAGGATAAGTATAGCGGTTCCATAGCTCGAAGGTGTCTTCAATATGAACGCGCCGGTATCTCGGTGTTGTGTGGCCCAGATTGTCATATATGCGAGCACTAAGCAAAAATATTCTATTCTGTCCCCCATTGTGTGCACATAAAGACTCACCGGCACTGCTGACGGAACACAAGATCGGCAGAACAACCAAGTACCAAGGATAAGCCCAAACGACCCAACATCTGCATATCTACAGACAGCGAATTGAGTATCCACGTTTCGAGTTAAATATGGGAATATTTGTTACCACGATAGCATCACCGAGGACCATCATCGTGAAGAAAATGGCGCGTTTCGCGGCATTGACAGGTATGGTAATATTCGCTAAGGTGGTTTGCCTCGTGGCTCGGCCCATAGGTACAAAAGTATTGAATATTGTTACACAGTCTACGGCAAGTTGAGCAGTGGCCAGGGAATACATGAGTCTATTCTGCTTGGAAGCGCCACACAAGGGGTGGGGAGAACGCCAGGAGCCTTACAAAGATGTTGCTAAAAGGGTATAGTTCGTGCTCGCTCGATTACGCCTGCGTAAGAGAACGCAAAGGGTTCCCATTGTGAGTATGGTGAAGACTCCTAGACGAGGATAAATAACCGTTAAGACCATAAATGGGCTCTGGTATCCACAGCCTACCGTATAAGCAGGCCTCTATGACGAGGCCAGCGAGTTCAGCGACATCACTTTGCATAGGCATGATCTAATACCGAGTAAATGATGGACAGAGACTACAAGGAGATTCTCAGAGCCGTATTTATAGCAGAATAGTGATATACCATCAGATAGTTCCTTCCTATGGCTCTTATCACAATATCAGGGCAGTGTCCTAGATGAACTTCAGGGAAATTTCATGGACCAGCTAGCGCGGAAACACGCGGCACATAACGGTGGCGAGTAAAGCTTCCAGTAGTAAGTCACTCACAGCAGCACGGGAAATTTTCGATACGAATGCCTGGACGTTCGAGAGTCCCCGATCGTAGAAGGATGATCAACGTAGGGAACTCCATGAATCATGAGCCAGTGAGCCTATGATACGCGATTCTGTCAAGTTCATCAGATATGCAGATGGTATCAGAAAGAAGTATCAGATTGCGACCTCCAGCGCCAACTGCTTTACGTCTGGCAGAAATTTATGCAAAATCTCTATGATCCCATCGGGTTCGCTTCGTTATGATATCCACGAGTTGAGCTCCCATTCCTAGGCGGTCTAGGAAATAAGTAGGCAAGAGTTCGCAGTGTCGGTGTCGAAGGTAAAATTCGCTCGGAAATTTGACAATTCAGGGTGATCTCTTGTCTCCGAATCTTGTTCTTCGTGTAAAAATATAATATTTGGAGGAAGAAGAGAAGGCGGAAGGGTCGGTTTGAGTCTGATTCCCATTGCCGAACTGTGGTGTCTGGCCACTTCACACATCACCGAAGTTTTGCAACTGTTTCACGCACACTGTACATATATCCTTTCTTTTAGCAAATGTGGCTTGAATACGCCACATAGTAACCGCGAACAAGGTCGAGACACACCCTGACGATGCTCCTTGCGATCATACATCCACGTATTCGTAGATACGCTATTGGGGTGCCCATCACGGTCGACGACAGCAATGATGGGCAGCTCGTACCCTTAACACGACTTCCTAATACTACTCCGCGATCCCAGCTCCGAGGTCTCCATCACGGTCCCCGGTCAGCTTAGCAGAGAAACGTTATTCAGGTCTGTTTAACACGTGCATATTTCGTAGTGGCAGGGTATATCTATAGCTCTGTTGATTTCCTTTCAGAATGAGAACAGCAAAACTCACCTGAAAGACGAGGCAAGCCTAAGGAAATAGAAAGTATGTCCAGCAAATAAGTGGTTGTCGTTGTATGCTTTAGCTTCGTTGAGTTCCGCAGCTGTTAATCAACACGCAGGAGACGGCCATCGTAGCAATGGCAAGATGGCGGACGAGTAACGCTGTCGTCACTAGTGAGCACCCCAGTAGTGGTGGAAGGAAAGAAACGCGAACGAACGTACAGTCACATCACGACCTCTGTTTACCTCCCATCCCGTCGACTTCGAACCCTTGACGTCTATTACGACTTGACCTTCTTCCAAAAGGCTATTGCTCTCTCTGCTCTAAAGGTTCCCGCTGTTCAGCTAGCACGGGTCTTGATCCCGAACGAAGGTGATAGGAGACTATGTTTCTTCCGATCCTTTCTTGTTGCTTTTTGAATTGAAGAAGCGCACTGCAGATCTCCTCGTCATTAGTTATACTTCATTCTCCAGTGTAACGAAATTCCCTACAAAAGTCTAGACTTCAAGGAATGTGTCCACAGCAATGCTAGGAAGGATAGTCACGGAAGATAATGCCAGAGAAAGCCGAGAAACAAGTTACGAGTAGACGGAGGCACAGTGATCGTGGGAAGTCGGGCCAATGCACAGCCACTGAATCATTGCCCCTTCCTCTGTCTACGTTGTGCTTCAGCAGGCTTCAGCTAGTAGCATTCCTATCGAGCCGCGATCAGCCGCCGATAGTATATCTATGTTCTCGGTCGCCGTTCATCAGAGACGGCTTCGTGATGGTAGGTCTTGCCGGCCTTAGCGCGTAGCGTTTAGCTTCAAGCTTTGGCACGAGATGCAGACCAGTCGCCAAATCACGTAGGATCTTTGAGTGTGTCCTTGCGTGAAGTTTTATGTAACATCGCTCGCCTTTAGGAATACGCTCTTCCGTTCCAGCAAGCTCTTGTATGCACCGTTATGGGCGTAATAGCGTGCAAAAATTCACCTGATAACAAGTTACCTTTATCTCTGCAAGTCAACCGAAATCCCTCCCTTGCATGTTCCGTCTGGGGTGACCAGTCCGCAAGTTCCTGTTGGACTCCGCAAGTTGCTGCTGGACTCCGCAAGTTTCAGGTGTGCTAAGCACAACTTGGTAAAGCCTATTCCTCACATGTTTCTAGTTTATCGTTGTCCACTCAAGTCCAGCAGTCTATAGGCGAGCTTCACTTGTGAAGAGGAGTTTCTTTCTATTCCGGCAGTTGGTCCTGCCATTTTCTGGTAATTTCCAAAGTGTCTGAGACTTGTTGCTAGAAGTCGGCTGCTTACCATCTGAATGCATGTCAAAATGTGCCAAGAACCGAATGGAAGGGCGGATATATATTTATACTGAATCTTATGGATGGTATCTGAAATATGTAAAGCCTATCTGTTGGCGCAGTTAGCGATTAATGACTTATATTATCCACGGACCACAAACGGCTCTCAATTGCTCCGAGATTAATCAAAACTAGGGAATACTTGTATTGTGAGCTTCAACCATCGCTGAAAGTTTAATAACCGCCTCGCAATACACCTCTATCCCCCAATTTGAATCCTCTGCCTCAAAATTGAAATCTCCCATCAATTCCTTCACAAACTCAATCTCCTCATCGTTGTTTAGAGCTACATCAGCTTCGTTTTCTTCGCCTGCGCTCTCCCCTGCTTCTGGGGGAGCAAAAGGATAGTTATCGTTGATATCTCCGTCGATGCCATAGTACGGATTCCCTCTCACTTCATCAGTGCTATCTCCGGGATCACCTGTCCAGTATCCACGTCGCATCGCCTTTTCACGGCTAAGTTCATATATCGCGATGGGAGTCTTGTAGTGTTCTGTGCGAAGCTGATGATGATTCCATGCATCACGGGTACGATCCAGGGAGGCCTGGATTCTTGGATGGAACACCAAGAACAGACAAACACGATGAACCAAGTTATCCATATCTAAGAGATCCATCTCTTCCAAATACTGAAAGATTTGCCGGTATGTTTCAAGAGAATCTTTGCGTACATCAAGCCATAGGCGCTCGATTCGCACGTTGTGAGTGGATCTAGATGAGCCTAATCAATTTAAGAAACATAGCATTGACTGAATCATACTCTACCTGCCACGAAGATATGCTCGATGCCCTTCTCCCCAGTGTCCAACAAGCTCTGCTTCGATTCCATTGTTCTCTTTTCCATAGTCGCCTCTACCCCTGCTTGGCCATCCAAATGTCTTCACAGCTTTGCGGAAGAGGATAAGGAGCGTAGCGGAACGTTTGTTTGAGCAGCACTCCAGGTATATGATCAGCCTCGAGTGGCCGTCAATACAACCGTGCACCCAGAATCCCCAAGGCCGAAGCTTCTCGTTCGCATCGTTATGCCACAATGCGTTGGCTCCTCGCACCTTGTATACACGGCGCTTGATTATACCTACCCACCTGTTCAATTTTCGATCAGACTTTGATTTTGCATGTCGGATGGGAGATGGATTCACCTCACAAGAACGCCAATGGCATTAACCCTTCGTACACTGTCCTGTACTCGCTTTCGTGGTATATGGATCTTTCTTGACTCCAACAGTCCCATGACAGTGGAAGAGCCAGAGAATGGATGCATGAGAGATATCTCCGTAACTACCTTGTCCAAGTCCTCGTCTGAGATCTGCGTGTGCTCCCTTTTTGCCGGAGAGAGACCTGCATAATCCAGATGGTTATACAGTGTACGTTTACCTACACCAACAGCATCGGCCACCGAATCCCACGTATTCCCAAGATCGTGCAACAGGATAACTCGTTGGAGGTCCAATGCATACCGTGGACGGCCTGGTTTCCCCGTTCGAATTCGCGGTATTTTTGTGGAAGCAGGTGGAGGTGGATTATCCAAGAAGTCTTGCAGCGGCTTCAAGACAGCATCAATGTAAACGACTGATTGATTGATGTCCTCATCAGACATCTGATGATCATCTAAAGAATGAAGAATAGTTCGAATCGCATAAAGCTGGTGAACAACTCGTTCTACTGCTGTTGTTTCAGCATTCGGAAGAGAGTCGACCATGAAGGTTGCCTGGGAAGAGATATTATGGCACTCGATAAGAAATTGGTGGATAGGATCTGTGTTTAGGCCATGGTTCTCTGACATGATGGTGGTATGTCGAAGGCTTTGTTATGATCAATCTCTTTCAAAAAACACGGTCAAGGCGAGACCTTTTAGGGACAAATCATTATACTTGTTTCAAAGCGTTCATCAACTACGTATTATACACCAGGTGTTCTAGTTATTGCTTCGTTAATGGCCTTGCATACCTCTTCTGCACACTCCCGGAAGTCAGCACGCTCGGAAACATTCTTATCATAATGATATAGCTAAATAAATGCGGATTCACATCAGTATTAATACCAAAACGTAAGGAAACTCTTACCAAAAGAGCTGCACGTGCACGAGCCTTCAGGGACTTCGCCATAAATTCTTTGAGGACCGGACGCCTTGTGCGATTTGGATGTGGATACTGAGCCAACACGTGACTCAAAAGGACTGCGAGGGAAAGTCGCTGACCAACAAGAAGTCTTGCCTTCTTCAAGCTGTAGGTTAGTTTGTCGTCGGGAAGCATCGCTGGAATATCTGATCCTGAGCCGTCAGAGCCAGAATCGTCCGATATCTCAATGTAACCGGGTATACCCGAGGGAAAATCCTTTGTACCTCCAGGAACACGGCTGCGGTCGTAGAACCTTGGCCTCGATTGTTCTGGCCTGGATGAGGAACCGGGTTGATTCCGCGTCCGCGGCATAGGCCTTGATTTCGGTTTCGGTCTGTGATTGGACGTCGATGAGCCAGCGGCAGACTTTGGTCTCCCCCTCTTTGCATTAGACGATCCTTTAGTTCCTGTTGGTTTATCATATGCGTGACTGGAATATTTGGTTTCCCTTAACTTACGGTTGCTAGGTTCCTTATCAGTGTCCTCAGGATGGCGCAACCCCCGTCAGAATTTGATATCTGGTTGATTCTCCTCAACGTCACAATACCACTGTGATTCTAATGAAGCGGTGTTTGTCATATCTGTTGTCTGGCGTCAGTGCGTCTCACTGAGATGATGGATTGAGACTTTACCATCTGAACTGTCGGTATCAGTGTTTTCGTTCGTGGGAATCCTCCATTTTCCAGTCCTACAGATAACAAAATGTGATATATTATATGGTATGCACGTGGAAAACAGGTATCCCTACTTGGCGTTACACTTGGATCGTGTTCTTGGGCCTTGTTCCTCCTACATCGTACCGCTATGAGTGATAACAGTATACCAGTGCGGCCAGTTTCACCTTTGAGTTCTTATTGCTGTTATTCGAGGGCTTGGTACTTTTGTGTCGTCCATCCTAGTACAAATTTAGCCATGGAATAACGATATGAGTCAGACCACATCACCTTGAAATAGTTGACAACCTTCCGAGCAAGGGAATGAGACGCTTTCGAGAACAGCTGATAAAACTCGCGGTGGTGTGGCTCGGAAAGTGGCATCACATCAAGAATATACACTACCAGGTCCTTGTAGTATCCATGGAGACCAAACTCGCCACCAACCACCACATCTGCGTACATCATTTTCGGATTACTTGAGTCATGAAATGCGCTCGTAAGATCAAACTGGACCTGCGCCGGAGTCATAGTCTCCAGATCAATCTTCTTCAGGATCAGATGCATGCGATGATTGGCTTTTGCGACCTGATGGGAATTTTACGTCAATGATATACTTTGAGGAATGTGGGAATAACATTACCGTGAGTCGTTGATCATACTTAGCTAGCAGAGTGGAAAGCTCACGAAATCCATCTGGATCCCACAAGTGGCGTTCATGAGCATGCTTGGCACGGAATCTAGTGAGCAGATTACAAATAACAGTCGGAAGGGCGACATAGAATGTCCAAACTTCCGAAAGCGAAGCATCCTTGCGACAGTCAGCCAAATCACGGTCAAGGATGTCATAGGTATACTTGAGGTAGGTCAAGACAATACCGAGTCCACCAGGACCGATGATGAAAGATGCGTCAAACTCTGACTCATCGCGTGAGGTCCACAGACCTGATATGGCATCTAGACGAACCCAGTCCGACAATGGCGCCTTATGAATGACTTCTGCGAGAAACAAAATTATCTGCTGACGAGAAAACGTCGCCGGGTTCGTCCTGAACATACGTAGAACACCCTCAAGGACGGTCGTCGATGTTTCGAAGTGTCGAAACAATGGGTGAGGTTTCTCTGCCCACTATGTTGCGTCAATCTCACTAACAATTATGAGCAAAGAGGGTGAACTGACCCATAACTGATTATCGTCCGGTGTTTGCATGTAGTGCAAGAGACGGAGGACGACATGATAATCACTTGGCGGCAAATCTCCGGCATCTGATTGGCTGTCGTCAGTTTGACCGGAACAGGGAGGCTAGAGAAGGTTATAAATAGACCTAGATTTTGTACAATGAGCATGAACGTACATCAATGTTTGGTTTAGGCTGACCGCCAGAACTTCCGTTTGATTCATTAGGTAATGATTCATCCTAGATGATGATGAGCGACAACTTTGCAACAAAGAGAGTTGGACTACACCTTTTCGTGTGAATTCCTCTGTTCTGGCTCTTCATTGAGACCAGCGGTTGACACCTTTGAATCGGTAAGTGTACCAACATTAGATGAAGCATGCAGGCACCTACGTTGTTGCTCTCGGGAGGGGTGTCAGCCTTCATGGCTACAATCAGTACAAATATGATATTCGAATATGCAGGCACTCACACTGCCTTCGTCGACAGCTACATCTGGCGCCGGTGTAGTGTCATTCATGTTACATCTCTAAACATCCATAAGATATCAAATAGTGGGGCTGGATAGCATACGTACGCTTGATTTTCTCTCCTGAGTGTCCTTCCCGCATTAAATGTGGATGAGCTGAATGCGTTAAGGGAATAACTCAAAGCAACATACCTGATCGTTTTCGAGGTTCTGACCTTCGAGATCGTCATCTTCTGATTCTGAATAGACGTCGTCGCTATCATGCTTCATATTCGTTGTTCTGGCACGTGGAGGGTTGAACTGAAAAGGGATATTGGGATTTCCAGGGCGCAGAGCGACCCAGAACAAGTTGGGGAACGTGGTGTTCTTTTCATACCCGCGAGGCTTGGCATTCTTTGTACAGGCCCTGTATATCAAGGCTTAGTAAACGAAGGGAAAAGGTATATTGACGCACAGTGCAATATCTCCGGAACCGATCAGTCCCGGTACCCTGAGCCTCATCGGAATGAGATGCGTCGGACCTCCTTGCCCTGATCCCAGCGGCGTCAGAATTTGCCATCCATCGTATGAGGATAATGGAGGGTTGAGCCCAGCGAATGCTAGCTCAATGGAGGTTTGGATCTGCGCATTCGATGCATTCGACGACGGCAGAGAAATGAAGTTAATCAACCCTGCATTATACATCGCGACCAATCTGTATTTTCAATTAATGGACCTGTCATGTGCAAAAGAAATGACCGTACTTATCGGCACCGGGGCGCTTGTACATTGTACTCGAATGGACAGCTGCAGTGTCTTCGACGAGCCCCACAGTGAACTCTTGATTAACTGGTTTGGACTGCGAGGATGACGCCATCATCGTCGGTGTTCCCGTGGAGCCTTTGCTCTTTTTCTTCGGAGGTCGTCCCGTGATATTGGCGAATTTTTCAGCGGTGCTCTGCATTATTTAAGTCCACAGTAATCTAGCCAAGTAAAGGAATCACCTTTTGTGCAGGATTGAATGCTTCCATCGTGTCCCGACTCCGTTTTGCAGCAATATCCCGAAACGGTGGCGCGCCCATTGCTGCTGATGGTGCCTTACCACCTCGCATCGTCGAGCTTGAGGCCGTCTGCCTAGATTCCTTCATTGTGGTCTCAGTAGCCGACGGAGGTTTGGAGAACTTGGGAGAAGCAGCATTGAACGTTGTGCTAGCGCCATCACCACTGTACTCGGGTTTCTGCTATGATAAGAATTCAGCAGTGATCTTGATATCGAAATGAAATGCATGCCTTGTACGGATCCGTCCTGGCACTGGTACCGACTCCAAAGCCATTTCCATTGGACTAATAATCATGGTTAACATTTGACTTGAAATATTTCACCATGACTTTACCGTTGTTCCAGGTCCTGACGATGCCGCATCTAATCCTGGATCGAAAGACGACCCTCCGGGAGGTGCATTTCTCTGGGAAATCAGCCATCCAGTCAGTATGAGGGAAGCATGAAGTGAAAATAGACTACCTGTAAATGGGCTTTTGCAGAGCAACCGCAAAAGAGGTAGACGGTGGTGGCTGGGATAGTTGTTGCTTCCATGTTGACGTCTCCAACAGGGAAGAACTGCTCGCAGCTCGTATTGCATGTCTGGAGATCTCGACATGGTCCGAGACGCGAAACGGGAAGCCTGAATGCCATGATGAGAGCTCAACGGAAAAATTCGTCTGATGATGGTTATGTGGAGAGGGACAAATCGGGATTTAAGTCCAAAAACAAATCACAAATCATGCAGTTCCACAAATAAATACAGCAAAACATCTCCGTTGACAGCCAGTTTCCAATTATTACAGAAGGAATCGGTCAATTGACACGAAACCAGGAAACCAACTGAGTTCGCGTTGCAGGTCCAGCACTTCGAAAAACTTGTGCAAAGCTCCGTTGCACCGGGAACGGAACTTGCGAACATGGGAGATGGAACGGAACTTGTGAAGTACAGAAGGGCTTAAACTTGCGTTGTGGAAGGGGTGGTCGAAGTTGGGGACACGACCGCGTTGTTGTGTTTTGTGTGTCAACGGACTTGTGACCAAAATTGGTCACTTGCACTCATTACTAACCAACTTGCGACCGGAAAAACGCAACGTGTGCCTGTATGAATTTTTGCACGCTATTACGCCCATACACCGTCATTGAGCCAAAACGCATCATGCATCACGAGTCACGGCTAGCGCTGAAACTTTCGGCTCCTTCGGAGTAGTTTTTCACTTCCAAAGTATTGAAGGTGAGTTTCTGAATGCTGTTCTCACTCTTAGAAGAAACTGGATGGCACTTGCAGACATAACGCAACTTTGCCAACTCTGACGGTGAGTCTCGTGCCTCCACTCAGCACTAGCGCTTTACCCATCTGTATGTTGACTACAGCATGTGCCCAAGGTAAACGAGCATCTTGGTAGGGGGTGGTAACGATGAGGGAACTTGTATTGTGTCCCACCGTTCAGATTCTTCGATGTACGCACCACAAAAGTAGCTCGTGTTAAAGGTTTCAATTCTCTGGCGCATTCGCTCAAACACTCAAGCAACATCTTTCAATTAATTCGGCTGTATGTATTCATTCAAATGACATCCAGCGGTTCTAGATGGGCCACGAGGTACAAGTCAAGCATACCTCTCCTCCTTCCCTGTGCCGCGGATTCGTATCTAAAATACACAGTCGTCAGATTGATGCTTCTATTATTCGCATACGGATGTACACTCCAGAAGCGCAGGATGCCTGGCAGTTCAAAGCGAATACCATCTGACACTTCAATCCTTCTAGTGTAGCGACCGAGAGAACCACTACATTTTTGGGTCTACTCCTTCCATTCGAGGCAGATTACTTCGCCGTTATCGAAAATTCGCAAGTCTTCTTTCACTAGGGCTGGATTCGTGACATAAGGAGTTGACATTAGAATCTCGAAGCTGGACGACAAAGTGAGTGACAAAGGCTCGGTTACATCTATGGCAAGCACGACGCGAGGCACCAACGATCAGATATGCATACTTTGTAGACCAGTAAATCCCGCGGAAATAAGCAAACACGTACGTGGATCCTTTCAATAATATTAATGACAGCTGACTATAGCCATACAAAGCTCGTAACTTCGCAGGCATCTCTTTAGCTAACTATCCGGCTTCATCGCTTGCCTCGAACTTCGTGTCTCTCGTATATAAACGCAATGTAGCATTTAAAACTTCCCCCATCGAACCAGCACTCAGCTATCCGATATCCAATATCCAATGGTCCAACTCACTTCCAAGTTCGCCGCTCTCTCTCTCGCTGTATTAACGCCCATCGTTGCGGCAGTTGATATCCGTCTCTGCGATCATGCGTACTACGTTGGCTGTGATTGGAAGTACAACGTCCCCACCGGAAAGTGCCTCAACAGCACCGCCAGTACTGGCTGGTCCGGATTCAACGACAACGTCGTGAGCTCGTAAGTGTCTTCCTAGGAAGCATTACTCTTGGTCGCTCACCTGGTTCTGGTGCAGTTACAATCAGACGAACACCGGCAGCTGTGGTGCATGCTACTATTTTGCAGACGACGACTGCTTCGATCTGTTGTTCAGCAGTGGCGACGCTAGTTTGAACTGGTTCGCTGGAAACAACGACCGTCTCTCGTCTATTTTCTGTTCTGAGAGCGCGTAATTGCGAAGTGGTGAGTTTCGAGGCTACCTAAATGCAGACTCTGCATGCTGATGAAATTCCCAGTCTTGGAATCGTGAAGAGTTTCGACAGTGTAATCGTGTATGTTGTACTTCCTACGTATGCAATTATGTGTGTGATTTATGAGTGAGAGAAGTACCGGATTCAATTGAGCTTCTTCGAGGATCCCTGCAAGCGCAAAGAAAGCCCAGTGCATGAGTGAAGGGTCACGTCGTCTCATCGACACCCCTACAGCAGAACGGGTCCTGCTTGTCGGGGTCTTCCGGTCTTACTTGTAGGTTCGCAAATCCCAGCTTAATGGCTGTCTCCGCAGTCTTGTATTCTGCTTTGGCCCAAGTTATCCTTTTGAAACTTGGGGAAATCCTTGAACGACAGGGTATGTCGCCTGCGGAGTGCGGACATATCCAGCTGGTAGATTGTGGACAAGGCGCGAAGACAAACCCGGAAGTGACGGTACCTATAACTCTCCGACTACACAGGGACAAAAAAAAAAAAAAAGAAACAATGTGCACTCACCCAGACCGGGACTTGTTAGTGTTTACCGGAATGCTATTTTGCATCGACGCACGTCGCAAATTCAAGAGAATGGGCACAGACCAGATAAGTTGTGTTCCAATTTAGTCTGATACCCTGTCAATCTTGTTGCTGCCTCCGTCAGTTGGGGCGTGGAGTCCATCTCAGTCCTAGTACCTGTATGTATGCTTGAATCCCCTAAGGTAGTTCATCTCAACGATCTGGGCGGTTCAGCGGTTAGGCGCCTCCTAACTACTCCGGGTTCGAGTCCCGGCAGTCAGATCTATAACCGCTTTGGAAGGTTCGTTTTTGCCTTGAATATTGCGAACTGAAGATTCCGGAATGAATTACATTTTCGCCAGTTTGCATTGCGGTAATCATATCAACCAATTATTCCGCGATGCGGACGTTATAGTGTAAACAATCGTGGCGGAAACAAAGGTCATTTTTACCTGTTCGCATTGCGGTAATCGTGTCAACCAACTATTCCGCGCGCAATAGTAAAGCAATCGATATATCATTCATCAAAATCAGCACGTATATATTCACAAAACTGGGGACCATTTTAGTCAACCCTTCTTCGTCGACGCCAGTTGAATGGACGCTCGACACGTAAAGCAAAAAAGAAAAAAAGAAATTTAATCTATGGATGTTGAACCCTTACGCGTGAAGATCTATGTGTGATCTACCAAATCCTAGTCTCTAGCAACAAGTCGCTGCTACCCTCCAAGCCAATGCAGGCTTTGAGGAACGCATCGAGCGCGTTACGCTGCCTGTTGAGGCTGTTGACGACTTCGGTGCCTACATCAAACGGATTAGTTGAATTAGAGACCGACGGCGATGACAAGACCTACCGGGCTTGACGAGCGGCGCCTTGAGCATGTACGAGAGCAACGAGAGGACGCTGTAGAGAGGCTGGAACTCGCTGGTCTCGGCCTTGTGGTACTTGACGCGAGTGAGGAGCTCCGTGAGGATAGGTCGAGAATCAGAGGCGTAGCAAGGAGGGAGTCCTGCGAAAGGGTGTTAGGAAATGAAGAGAGTAAAACCCTAAGTGACATACCTCGCATTCGTTAAAGATGTTGATAGTCGATCGACCACCGCAGAAGATCTCAGAATAGTACTCGTCGATGGCCCTCTTGGAGTCGCCGACAGCGGGGACGTACTTGATAACAACGACATGGTCGGGATGTTCCCCTTACCCTCAGTGCCCTCCTCAGGAGCCTTGAACAGCAGCCTATTCGTATTGACCATATCATCCACGACGCTGCTCTTGCTGATCTCCTGACTCCTGAACTGCCTCTCAGCAGAAAGGTTGTGGCCGTCGTTGTTACCGAGATGGTTGTACGACGCGATAGACAACGGCTTAATACCAGCATTGACGAGGAACTCAGTCAAGACCGACTTTTCGCGTTCAGCGAGCTCGATGATACCCGGGACGAAGGTGTTCTGGGGAGCACCGTTGACGAAGGGTTCGCCCTCGAGAATCGCAGCGACGGCAAAGACGGAGGATGGAGAAACTTCAAGGTGAGAGGTCTCGATGGTGTTCAAGATGTTGTCGGCGGTGTCGTTGACGCCAGGAATGAGGTCACTGTAGCATTCGGTGTTGGCAGTCCAGAAGACGACGACGCGGTCGAGACCATTGTCCTTCTTGAACTTGCGAACGTCAGCACGGATATGCCTGAGATGGGCTTGCTTGTCGGAATCTGGGATGAGGTTGTCCGCGCGTGCCTCCTTGGTTCACAGGGACGAAGTCGAGGTAGTAGATGGAAGGAAGGAGTTTTATCTGAGCCATGTGGGGAGTGATTTGGCGCTGGAGGTCGTAATCGAGAACACGGGCTCGCTCCATCGCCTTGTCCAAAGAGAAGCCAGAGCTATCGCGGCGACCGAGAATGAGGTCGTTGGGGTGCACCGTGTTGGGATTTACAACTTCAAGCTTGTACTAGAAGATTCCCGAAGCTTCGGCTTACTCATTTGTCACGATACTTAGATATATTTAGTTACTTTGGTAGAATATTCTAGATACATTTCGTAGTATATAAGGAGCTCACTAGGAGCTCTAGTAGCTAACAATTCAGTATTATACCTACTGCAAGCCTCCCACTGCAATAATTCCAACACACCGTTGGTAGGACATCGGAAACTGGGATGTGGATATCCTTGCCAGCGGTAGTCTCGGTATCGATGCGAACGGTGGAAGCACGGAGGGAACCAATCTAGTTGGCCTGCCAGACGCCCGACTTAGTAAGCCAAGGATCACGAGTTCAACAGCAACAAGGCTGTGGCTGGCTGTGTTCGGAACGTATAATTGTGGCGATGTGTTTGGTTTATTTTTGGAAGCTCCAGGACCTATTAAAGCCTACGCATCCTTGGCGTCTCTTTTGTGATCCTCTTGAACATCTTCCCTTTGTCTTCTTTACTGACCTCATGTCGGAACAGCGAGCACAAGACATATACATCCCTCTTATGATGGGACATCGTCATGGTTTTCCTTTATGGTTCCCTGATCCGGACTCCAACCTTCCTCCGTCTTATCAAGCGACGGGGACTCGAGTGGGCGATCTTGGATACATCACCGACGACGGAGCATTTGCCTATCTTTTCAATGTTTATGCACCAGCCGATGATCCTATCAATGTGGGCCGTGTACCCCCGACTTCGAACCTTTGCCAGGGGTTCCTCCTGCTGATTTACTCGTTCGTACACAGCAAGAACTGCACCCGAAGCACCATGCGTTGACTACGTCTGATGTACAACAATCAACCTTTACATTGGAGGCGTCCGCTCAAGGGCCGTGAGTATTCTCTGTGCCATAACCTCGTCGTATACTAATTATATCTTTACTGATAGTAACATCCCTGGAATCGGCGGAGGTGTTGGTTTCGAATTCTCCTGCTCTTCTGCTCGAGCCGCTATTCTGTTCCTCCCCGATGGCGCCGTGCGCTACAATTGTAACTTCCCTGCTCGCCTTTATGAACATGCAAAGACGAATGCCCAGTCTTGGTACCAGTATTTCAATGGTGAACAAGGCAGGGAGATCCGTAACGGCTCTCTATACCTCGTCACGGGTTGTGATAAATGTCATTCTTGGGGAACTGCATGCTTTCATTACCCTTCTGATCATCATTCCGTATCCTTGCGGTTCTTAATTGCTGGGCTAGGTGAGGTTGCAGGATTGATCTCACACAGATGGGAGGTCCAGACCGGAATCCATCGGCGTAATCACCAGTGTGACGCAACATCGAATCTTGCTAATCAGACCATTTTTATCCGTGGATTCACGATATCAGTTCGAGAACAACCTCAGCTTTTGAGGCGAATGTTCGGAATGAAGTCAGCTGTGGAAATTTACAAGAGCGATGGTAGCAACGTGAAAGGTCCCCGGATCTTTTCATCAATCCCATATGGCATAGAGAGTACATCAGAGAGCTCTAACTACAGTACGTCAGCCATGGATATGTACCGGACAAGCGCAGGGGTAATGTTACATCATGCTCCCTTTTCTACCTGTGCTGACAGTTATTGCTCTTGGTAGAACCACAGAGAGGCTGATGCCTCCCTATCTGATGGTGACATGAATCCAGTAGAGACATTTGCAGAAATCTTTCCAGCACGTGAAAAGGTATGGATCATTGTAATCACGCATGATCCCTTTCTTAAATCCGCAAGTCAGATCTTCAATCCTTCAGCTAAAATAAATGAGTATATACTCCAAAATGTGAACAATTTGGTTGCAGTCACTTCTGTCTGACTGATATCATTGACATTTTAGTGTCCGACTGCTCATGTCGCTATTACCCATGATGAGCAATGGATGAAATTTGGGCACAATGAGTGCCCTGACATGGAATCTCTGTGTCAAATATCTCTCCTGACAATATACTGATAACTCAGGGCAACTCAACATTTTTTACAAGAACAACATCTCGTTTGCTTCACTCGACAAGGAATTGCTAAATCACCTTGTTGAAATGGGCTCAATTTCGGTCTCAGATGGTAAGACTGTCTCTCTTCATTCTATCATCTATAGCTCTGATGTTCAAACAGGTTGTGCGATGCTTGAAATTACTACAGACACACAGGTGATTATAGATCAACGGGGAACATTTCCTGTTCCAAGGTATGGTCAATGGCAGGAGACTCTTTCACGTCATACAAATATCAGAGTTTCTCCATATACTGACCGACCATTTTAGAACTCCCGAAACCACAGGATACACCATGCAATGCCCAACTCTTGAGAATGTACAAATTCGGTCCACCAATGATGCTCTTGCAGTGTTCCATGGTGTGGCACTGAAAATCCTTCCCCTCATCACGTGTCAGCTTGACATCGAGGAGCGGAGAGGAATTACAGCCGGAAATGTGTATGTCTGGGAGGAGCGTGGCATCAACACGGAGACTGTTGGGCAAGGTAGTCTGGCCGCGGTCCGGTGCAGGACCGCATGAACCCGGTCCGAACCTGAACCGAACCCGCAGGTCCAGGTGCGGTTCAGGTTCAGGTTCAGCACAGCCACCAAGGTCCAGGTGCGGGGTTCAGCCTGGCCGAAATTTGCGCACCGGGTCCGGACCGGGTTCGAACCTGCTGAACCTCCAAATAATTCGTGCAAATTTCGCGAGTGTACAGGTGAGTTTATAAATCTAAATTTCCCCTCGTAATACTACCTAATACAGAGAATCGTGGTCTCATTTTGGGGTAACTATATAGTCGGGCAATATAAGGTTCAAGCCACCACGTTCAGCACTGTAATTACGTCTTTGCAAGAAATTTGAGCAAATCGAGTACGCCCGAGTATGCCCGTCGCCTAGTGCCAATAATCCGGCCATGGGTCGAGAAGTTGACGAAACATTGATCCTTCCAGAGAACACGAAGCGTCGTGTCCAGGTTGCAGCAAAGCTTATCCAGCGTTTGAAGGAAGCTCATCGAGATGGACGCGTAAGTGCGCAGAATGAAGCGTGGATGGATACTGGACCTTGTTTTGACAAGGCAGACTGGGACTTTTCAATGTAGTCGTTGATCCATGTAGTTTAGTGATTGTTTTTATATACATGGTTTGTGATACACAATGAAAAAAAAACTGTTGGACCGGGTTCGAACCTGGCCCGAACCTTGTGGACCTGAACCTGAGGTTCAGGTTCGAGGTTCGGGGGGTTGGGGAGCGAACCTGGAGGTGCGGGTTCGAGGTTCAGGCAAATGTGCCCGAACCTGGACCGAACCGGACCCCGGCCAGACTAGGGCAAGGCTTCGAACGATGGATGGATGGGATGGGATGGGGTCGAAGTCGCATCCATGATAAATTCCTATTCTACCACCAGAACAATCCTGATGACAACCTTGGGCCTATCACTCAGTCTCTACCGTGGGCACGGTCAATGAGGAGGAATGGAGAGTCTTCCAAATTTCCGGGATATTCCATATCATCAACATTCCGAGCCCTACCTGAAGCAAGAAATCTCATCAAGCAAACATACAGTGTTCATGTCAACCTACCCGCAGATCAACCTAAAGGTATTACACAGAAATGGCACCTTACTGCCTATTTCAGCCAAGATACACTTGAATCTCTGCAGACTGTGGACTCTATCCCAGGGGTTGGAGGCATGCTACCACCTGAAGGATGGTTTTGGAGTGCAAGGACAAGAAGAGGACCCAGCAGAAATGGCCTAAAATCCTTGACATATTCTCCTCTATCATCTTATGACCTAACTTCCCCATACTTGCTTCTCTCAACCCATCAGAAAGAGGTGTCCTCATCATCACACACCCACGACACTCTGTTATCAGAATCAGATACCAGTCCTGAGTCATCCAAATCTCTATCAGCAGCATTGTCCTGGGGATCCAACAACATCCCGTTGGATCGCGTGGAAGTCTCACAATGCACATCAGTACCTCGCCCCAGCTCAGTAGATGAGGCTCTACAACATCTATTTTCGAAAAGGTTGCTAGATAGCTAAGCCGTACCGCGGACACAATTTTCGGATTTACGTACGACTCGGATATCCATGTAAGAAGGGAAGCGATCCCTCTTACAAGTTACATCTTCAAGGTGTAATGGACTTCAAATCACATAACTTCCGATCTGTTCATCTTTTATGAATTTGTTACCTTGATACATAGGTTGTTCCGACTTTACTCATTCTTGCGCTCGGTGTAGTTCCGTACTCGTTTTTCACCCTTTTCATTTGATCTCGCTGCTTCGTATGGACTTACGAAATACCTCAATCTTATTTTTCCTTTCATCCACGAGGATCTGTAGCATGGGCATGATTATTTCGTGACTGCCATGGTTTGGACTCACCGCTCGACATTGTACTTCCAATCCTTTTCTATTCCGGAATAGCCACGCAGATTATCGTCGTAAGTATAGTCGCCTGTTGTTGTCCCCCGATCGTAGAATGACCTATGATATTCTACGTTAGCTCGTCACTACATTTCTCAACGATCTGGGCGGTTCAGCGGTAGGTGCTTCCGCCACCTACCCCGGGTTCGAGTCCCAGCAGTGTAGATAAATAAATCCTCTCTGAGGTTCATTTTTCTCCTAAACAATGTTCGCTTGGTGCGAACTGAGGATCCGGATTCTGGAGTGAAGTACATTTTTACTTTGTTCGCGTAGTACAACTAGTACCTGTATGTATACTTGTGTCCCCTAAGGTAGTTCATTTCAACGATCTGGGCAGGTCAGCGGTTAGGCGCCTCCTAACCACTCCGGGTTCGAATCCCGGCAGTCAGATCTATAACACCTTTCCTGTTTCGTTTTTTCCCTGAGTGGTTCGAACTGCGGAGGTGGAATGAAGTATACTTTTACCTGTTTGCCTTGTTGGTAGTCATATTGGAGTTACTGTGGCTGTACGAGCCATCGGAATCAATCGGCTCCGAACCCGTTACTTACCGTACCCGCAGTTTTCTTTTCTTTACCGTTTACCTCCACGTCGACGTACATAGGCTAAACGAGTTGCTCTTTTCGTTCCCTCCCTTGCTCGAATCTCAACAAGTCATACCATCGCCAAGAAATCAAATAGAGTTGTAGGAGTAAGTGATACTTCATCGTGGCACAACGCCATCACAATAGTAAAACAATCGATATATCATTCATTCAAAAATCAGTACGTATATAAAATCACACAAACTGGGGACCATTTTAGTCAACCCTTCTTCGTCGACGCCAGTTGAATGGACGCTTGACACGTAAAGCAAACAGAAAAATCTAATCTACGGATGTTGAACCCTTGCGCGTGAAGATCTAGATCTACCAAATCCTGGTCTCTAGCAACAAGTCACTGCTGCCCTCCAAGCCAATGCAAGCTTTGAGGAATGCATCGAGCGCGTTACGCTGCCTGTTGAGGCTGTTGACGACTTCGGTGCCTACATCAAATGGATTAGCTGGGTTCAAAGCCGATGGCAGTGAGAAGACTTACCGGGCTTGACGAGTGGAGCCTTGAGCATGTACGAGAGCAACGAGAGGACACTGTAGAGAGGCTGAAACTCCCTGGTCTCGGCCTTGCGGTACTTGACGCGAGTGAGGAGTTCCGTGAGGATAGCCAAGTCGAGGATCAAAGGCGTAGCGAGGAGGGAGTCCTGTAAAGGGTGTGAGAAACCGAACAGAAAATAGAAAGGCTTGCGCGACGACATACCTCGCATTCGTTGAAGATGTTGATAGTCGACCGACCACCGCAGAAAATCTCAGAGTAGTACTCGTCGATGGCCCTCTTGGAGTCGCCGACAGCGGGAACATACTTGATAACCACGACATGGTCGGGATGCTCGCCCTTACCCTCCACACCCGCCTCAGGAGCCTTGAACAACAGCCTATTCGCATTGACCATATCATCGACGACACTGCTCTTGCTGATCTCCTTACTCCTGAACTGCCTCTCCGCAGAAAGGTTATGACCATCGTTGTTACCGAGATGGTTGTACGACGCGATGGACAACGGCTTGATACCAGCGTTGACGAGGAACTCGGCCAAGACGGACTTGAGCTTGGTCTGGCCCGACTTGAGATCGTCACCACCGATGAACGACTTTTCGCGTTCAGCGAGCTCGATGATACCTGGGACGAAGGTGTTCTGGGGAGCGCCGTTGACGAAGGGTTCACCCTCGAGGATCGCAGCGACTGCGAAGACGGAAGAGGGGGAAACTTCCGGGTGGGAGGTCTTGATGGCGTTCAAGATGTTGTCGGCGGTGTCGTTGACACCGGGAATGAGGTCGCTGTAGCGCTCAGTGTTGGCGGTCCAGAAGACGACGACGCGGTCGAGACCGTTGTCCTTCTTGAACTTGCGAATATCGGCACGGATATGCTCGAGATGGGCTTGCTTGTCGGAGCCCGGGATGAGATTGTCCGCACGCGCCTCCTGGTTTGCAGCGATGAAATCAGGGTAGTAAATGGAAGGAAGAGGCTTCATCTGAGCCATGTGAGGAGCGACTTGGCGCTGGAGGTCGTAGTCGAGAACACGAGCTCGCTCCATCGCCTTGTCCAAAGACAAGCCAGAGATGTCCCAACCACCGAGAACGAGGTCGTTGGGGTGCACCATAGGCAGCACATCGGAGACTGGGACGTGGATGTCCTTGCCAGTGGCGGTCTCGGTACCGATGCGAACGGTGGAAGCACGAAGAAGGGAACCAATATAGTTGGGCTGCTGGACGCCCGCCTTGGTATGCCAGATGACATTGTGACGGTTGGCAAGAATGGTCGCACACAAAGTGGTACCATTGTTTCCTCCCATACCAATCATCATCAGACTAAAAAAAAGACACGTCAGAAATGTGAAAGCGACAGCGACGACCGCACACGTACCCAGTCTTCGAAACTTGGCGCTTGGTCTGGAACTCGAACGACTCGACGGTCGGGTTAACGATATACTGTCCATTGACAACGGTAATATTGGCATTACGGTTGTGGAATTTCGCAGTAATGTGCTCGTCGGTGAAGGACGTATTTTCGGACTGCACGACGATGGCGTGCGGGCGACGAGCAGCGGTAGGGTGAACTGGCAGAACTAGTTCGGATTCAGGGGTGGTGTATCCGGAATCGTTGGGAGCCATTGTAGATAGATATGGGTGTATATGCGAAATAGGTGGACAAGTAAGGACTTAGAACTGTATGAGGAACCCGGCCGTCGTGTGTTTCGAGCCGCGATGAGAGTTGTGGGAGCTGCAGAGCTGGTTCGAGTACATGCACAAATGCAGTGACCCTAGGAAAATAAGATTGTCTGCAAGAGAGAACGAGGAAGCAGACGATGAGGGTACTGCTTCAGTAAAAGGCAAGGCTTTTATAGCTTTCAGGCGCTTGGAGGATGTGGTAAGGAGCAAGTAGGGTTGGCAAGGTACCGGAAATTTATCGAATTAGTTCAAAGTCCGACTGCCGACGGTGGTTATTACTTAGTCGTACGATCTGTGCCGTAAGCAGCCTCTTCCGCCGGCTTTCCGGTCTCCTTTCCGTCAGCCGCGTCCTATGCCTAGGCTTGCTGGAAAATCTGTATTTTCGAAACACCATTGGCCAGTAAGTATGCAGTAGGCCTCCCTCAAATACTGCGATAGCTTGCTACTTGTGCATCAGGCTATTACTCAATACAAGGTTTGATATTGATTCTTGCATTCTAATTTTTGATCCTCGAGGCGCAAGATCAAGCTTTGTTGTTGACATCTTTCATGTAATGAATGGTCATGGGGTGAACGATAACTCGATACTACCCCAACGCCACCCTTCAATTGCGACAGTTTTTTGATGCTAGGCATTGCCGAAGGTTAAATCAAACCTCCATCTCACAATTAGCGTGATTATCACTGTCAATCACTGGCCACTAGAAGCGATTTTCTTATCAGTTATTGTCGTGGGGCACGTTCATTGGTCGTTGGCGGAGATAACTACAGCCCATGGAACCGTCTTATCATTTGTTTTGGCGCCGGAGCGACAAAGGCTGAAGGATATTACTCTTGACCGAGCTTGCTCTTAGCCCTACTTGGCCGCAAAGGACTGAAAGGAGGGTGGTCCAGAGCGATCTACGGGAACATGAGAGTATCACGTAATAGCGTGTGGGTCCAAGTAGATCCAATCTTCGGACCGGTTATGATTGCTACTCGAACCGGTCCCCACACCTTGGAAAGTTCCCCTAACGAGGAAGATGGCGGCGACGATACTTGGAATGCTATAAAGAACATGATACGACGTTTCGGAACCGTCACACTGGCCCGGTGTGCGGGGTACGCGTTGGTTTGTGATGGCCGCCATCGTTCCATGAGTGGGCTATTTAAGATCCGTTGTTTGCATCAACCTGACTGCACACGAGTTTGTGATACTTAACTACCACTGAGAGGCTTGAATCCAGCATTCAGAAGGCAGGCAAAGACAGACGCTGTTACCGTGACGACTTGTGACAGCGGCCCACGCTCTCCACGTGATAATCTCGGTATTTACCGGTGTCACAAACAAACAACCGTTTCTGGACACGCGCCATTTCTTTCTTCTGCCACCACCGCGCTTCTTATTCATCCAACAAGTCCAGACTTACGCGACGAAGACCCAAGAAGACATTTATCTGTCTTTTCATTGCTTCGTGCTTCCCCTTTCACGCGCGACACCCTCGAAAAATGGCTGAATGGGCCTCGGACTCAAATAGCGCTCTCAAACTTTCACTGGGTGAGCACAGCGGCAACGAGAAAGAAAACGTGGGCTAAGGTCTTTCATACAGTGCGAGCAGCGTCAGACAAAGAAGTGCTGGGCGACGACGAATCCTATGAAGACTTTCATCCGTCATTCACCTATCCTGTACGTGCTGCATCTTTTTCGGCTAGGCGTGGCTTCAGTGGTTCAATATCGTTCTAATAGATATTTGGAGAAGATGAGAAAATTTACGGCTACAAAGATCTCACCATTGACGTGTGTATCTCGAATATGGCAGCAAAATTATCACGCTGACTTTTCTTTCAGATGCGATTCGCTTCGGGATCTCTGGCCCAGTTCTTGGCCGTCAAGTATACACAGAAGCTGGGAGCGTCGTCTACAGTGGATGATGTTGAAGGTACTTTGAAGGATTTCATACCTCCAGGTACGTTGTTTGGTCTAGCCACCAAACCTCCAGCTTATCTTTCGCAGGGTATTACACGGACGAGGCTGCATTTGCTGCCAAGGTGGAAGAAGATGCGACATCCTTCAAGCCTCTCGGGAAGCTAATTCATTCATATTCACGTCCGATCCCGACGCATAAAGGAAAGGGCAAGGCCACTGAGAGTACAGAGACTGTCGATTATGAGGTTTATCATGTGAGTTGCCATACCACCCCTTCCAGCGTCTGAATTGCTAAATGCTATGTCTCAGACGACATGGGACACTCCCGGATTCAGGGAACATCATCGAAGAATGCAACTTTTTATTTTGTTACATATTGAGGGCGGCTCTTATATCAACGAAGAGGAGGATCAATGGGAATTTGTCGTTCTGTAGGTCGTCTTCTGTTGCCGGCTCGTATTGCACTCACAGCTTTCTTTCTAGGTACGAGAAGCGCAGACGGCGGGACGGCAGTTTTACATATCACTTCGTCGGCTACTCGTCCTTGTACAACTTCTACCATTTCCCAGAGAAAGTCAGGTTACGGCTGAGGTACGTGACTGGGCGAGTTCTCTTTGCATTCATCTACGACATCTCCCAGCCAATTCGTCATCCTCACTCCCTATCAACGACAAAGCCATGGATGTAAGCGTCGTTTCACTAAACGCGATCTTGGTTCACTGAATGCTCCACAGCTGCACTATACTCCGCCCTCTATCAATACGTTCTCTCTCAAGACCATATAGCGGAACTGACAGTAGAAGATCCAGCTGAGGCGTTCGAAGACCTTCGGGACAAAAACGACTTGAAGATGCTCTTTGCCAACGACAAGTTCATGCAAGAAGGGTTTGGAGGTGATGGCCTGTCGCACGGTGGAGGCCGTGTTGGTGGAGTGGGTAAAGGCGGTCGGAGTGGTCGAGGTGGATATTCGAGTAAAGGGAAACTGGGACCTCCGGTTGATAAGCACTGGGCGGAAAAGTGGAGGCAGAGCCTCAAGATCGCTGGTGTACGTGTCACCTTCCTCCCGAGGCAGGTGTAGTTGGGACTGATGAAGATCTGACAGCGCCAATTCAATCGCCTCGTTGAGATGCTCATTCAGTCGCGATTGGACCCAGCTGACCTTCGAGCATATCGACTGCAAGTCAAAGAACGCCTCTACAGATTTAACTTTGTGAGTATTAACCCTTCCTTCCCATCAAACTTGAGTCTGATCTACACTGTCGATAGGAAACTCTTGCGCAGCTAGAGAAGGAAGAGCGATTGGAGAAACTGGAGGAGACGTTCCAGAGTGTTCGGGAGGACTATTCGCGGATATTGGCATTGGTTCGATGACTTTGACGGTGTGTACTGATGTTGTATTCAGTGACGAATGCAGTTGTGTATAATCGGGCCGAAGTGTGAGAATAAGAACGGTGTCTACGGGCAACACTTGGCTTTGTCCATCTGTTCGACGTCATAACCGGCACTTACGTCCGTCTTGGCCTAAAAATCTGACTCACCCAACTCTGGCATAGATCTTTAGTTCCACCAACTTCGTTTGCAGGGAAATGGGTACCATAACCCATCGCTCGCCTGACCCGTAGCGTTCAGTGGGTCCTAACACTGAGTTATAACAGAGGCGACTGTACCTGAATAAACATTAAAGGCAACAGAAACTTCTATTTTTCTTCCAGAAGCGTGACTTTGTTGCCCGTCCGACGGGCCGTGGGGTAAGCGCCCATGATGCGAGGTATCATATAAAGTAAAGCTGACATACCCAGCGGTCTTCGTTCTCACAGCATGGCCTCCCCAGAAATTGCCTTCAAAATATCCATCCCGGACGACAAGCTCAAGCTCCTCCAACAAAAGCTTGCTCTGGTGACCTTCCCAGATGAGCTTGAAGACTCCGGAACGAAGTATGGCGCGCCGCTGAAGGATATCAAGCGTCTGGTTGCTCGGTGGCAAGACGGCTTCGATTGGCGGGCCCAAGAAGCCGCTCTCAACGCGGAGCTCCCTCAGTTCACTCGTGATATCGACGTCGAAGGTTTTGGAGTGCTGAACATTCATTATGTGCACAAGAAGAGCGAGGTCGAGGGTGCTGTACCGTTACTGTTCGTTCATGGATGTGCGTATTTTCCTCCAGAATCTGTGTGTGTAGTGGTGGTGGCTGATACATCATCACAGGGCCAGGAAGCTTCATCGAAGTACGAAAGATTCTCCCCCTGCTGACCGCATCATCACCGGAACACCCGAGTTTTCATGTTGTTGCGCTGAGCTTGCCGGGTTATGGATTTTCTGAGGCAAGCAAGAAGCAAGGATTCAAGCTCGCGCAGTACGCTGAGGTATGCCTCTTCACGAACAGGCCCGGAGCACTATTGACGTTAAGGCACATTATAGGTCGCTCACAAGCTCATGCTGGCGCTCGGTTACAACGAATATGGTGCGTGACTGTTAGTACCTTTTCGTGCGACACCTCCTGACTTTGCGCTTCCAGTTACTCAAGGTGGAGATTTGGGAGGCTTCGTGAGTGCCGTCTCTCCCTGAAACACAGCTACTCATCAATGTACTCATGCAGATCACTCGAAAAATCGCTCTTGTCTATGGTGGCCAGCATAGCAAGGCCTGGCATACCAATATGCCCTTGCATGTGTCTTTTTCAACTCCATCATTCGAAGAGTCTGATTGTCTACAGAGGTCGTGCCCCGACTCTGTACGAGCCCGTACTATACCTCCGCCACCTCTTGACACCGTATACAGCTGCGGAGAAAGCCGGGATGGCGCAGTCTCAGTGGTTCAACACTAAAGGATCAGGCTACTTTGCAGAACAGTCTACTCAGCCCCAAACACTGGGATATTCACTCGCCGACTCTCCAGTAGGTCTTCTTGCGTGGATTTATGAGAAGTTGGTCAACTGGACGGATGCGTACCCTTGGGATGATGATGAAGGTGGGCTGTCCCGAAATTTCGTCTCCGTCTCCTCATCTAAAGACGCGTGTTCTTTCCAGTCTTGACATGGATATCCATCTATTTGTTCTCGAGATCAGGACCTACGGCGTCCATACGCATATATTACGAGGTTTTTTCATCTGACATGGGTGTCTGGGGAGAAAAACCTACTATTCCCAATGGCTTGTCGTACTTCCCAAAGGAACTTATGGCTGTTCCCCGTATGTAAGTATCTCGGATGTCCTCGAACGGAAATTCGTACTGAGTTGACATTACAGCTGGACTCGTACCACTGGTAACATCGTTTTTGAATCCGACCATACCGGTGGCGGGCATTTTGCGGCGCATGAAAAACCTCAAGAGTTGGTGGATGATGTGAGGAAGATGTTTGGGAAGGGAGGGTCTGCATTCGGGGTTGTTCCTGGGAAGACTGGTTATAGGTGAGAAATGCGGGGAGACATTCGATATTCGACTGATGGGCCTTCCAAGTTGTGACAACCAGGCCCCCAGGACGAAGCTGTAGTTTGTATATGTGATATTGGAATGTAACGGTGTCTTATCAAGATTTCCATTTGTCGCGCGGCGCATAAACATCCTTCATCCAAGGTGTATTCCATGCTCAGTCGGACTCCAAGGAATGCTTCCCTTTGAACTCCTTCATAAGACACCGGGACCAACTTCTAGGGGCTGTTGCAAATGAGTTTCATGGCTAGCAGGATTTGCACCTGTCATGAGCTTCGGGTGTCATAACCTAGACACGGACCAATGCAGAATCAATTCAAGTGTCAATGTAGTACTCATCTAGAGCATCGTAGCGTTTTCCTCAGGTTCAGCTCTGGTCATTCCAGTGTCCACCGGAACGCAGGTATGGGAAGAACGATGTTCACTAGTTACGCCTCCGAGTTTTAAGGAAACAGATCTCTTTTTATGGTGTTTCGCTTTGACATAAATGCCCTAGTGAATGACGCATGATGCATGATGTTCGACGTCGACTCGACGACGAATCGGGGCGTGAAGACCTCGTTCCACGAGATCTGAAACATGGCATCATATGAAAGCTGGCTCTTCATGATGGAAGGAAGGAAGTTGGTTTTATTAGTCGTCGGTGCTCCTTAAAAGAAATGTAACGGTTAGTTCCTTTGGAAAGGTATAACGTTAGCTAAATTACTCAGAGAATAACTAAATGCTACGAACAAGCGTTCCAGAAGAAAATTTCCAACCTCTCTTACACCTCTTGCGTTGGAAACGTTTAACTAGGGTACGAAATCGCCATTGAAGGATATCCAGTATTCTGCCATGGTGACTAGGCGGAAAGATAGCTTCAAATGGGACGCGCAGGGAGCCGCTTTCAACGTCGGCCTATCTCAGATTGCTGATGATAGCAAATTCTCCAGCTCTTCCACAGTGTAGAGGGGATCCGCAGCCCTTAAAAGCTGGATCTAGGTATATTACGAGGACATTCTCTTCACTTCCCACTGAAGACATAAGATATCAGACTAAATTGGAACACGACTTTTCTGGTCTGTGCCCATTCTCTTGAACTTACTGTCCTTGTGATAGTCATGAAGTGCGTCGAGGCAAAATACCTGAAGTTTCAGCATCCCGTAAAACACTGACAAGTCCCGTTCCGGGTGAGGTACTATTCCAGCTATGAACACACCCACATTGTTTTTTTTTTTCCGCTGCATCCTGAATTGTAGTCGAAGTTATAGATATCATCACTTCCGGTTTGTCGAGTCCGCGCCCTGTTGACAATCTGTCACTCAAGAATTTCCCTAAGTTCCAAAAAGACCAGGAAGACCCCGACAAGCAGGACCCGTTCAACTGCGGGAGTATCAATGAGACGTCGTGGTGATCTGTATGTGATGCTTCATTCATGTACTAGGCTTTCTTTTCGCTTGCAGGACCTTCAAAGAAGCTCAGTTGAACCCAGAATTTACGTCTCTCTCGCTCATAAATCACACACATAATTGCATACGTAGGGAGTACAACATACACGATTACAATGTCAAAACTCTTCACGAATACGAGACTGCGAATTTCATCAGCATTCACAGTCTACATCTACGTAGCCTCGAAACTCACCACTTCGCAACTACGCGCCCTCAGAACAGAAAATAGACGAGAGACGGTCGTTGTTTCCAGCGAACCAGTTCAAGCTAGCGTCGCCACTGCTGAATAGCAGATCGAAGCAGTCGTCGTCGGCAAAATAGTAACATGCACCACAGCTGCCGGTGTTCGTCTGATTGTAACTGCACCAGAACCAGGTGAGCGACAAAGAGCAATGCCTCATAGTAAGACACTTACGAGCTCACGACGTTGTCGTTGAATCCGGACCAGCCAGTACTGGCGGTGCTGTTAAGGCACTTTCCGATGGGGACGTTGTACTTCCAATCACAGCCAACGTAGTACGCATGATCGCAGAGACGGATATCAACTGCTGCAACGATGGGCGTTAATACAACGAGAGAGAGAGCGGCGAACTTGGAAGTGAGTTGGACCATTGGATATCGGATATCGGATAGCTAAGTGCTGGTTCGATGGGGGGAGTTTGAAATCCTACGTTGCATTTATATACGGGAGACACGAAGTTCGAGGCAAGCGATGAAGCCGGATAGTTAGCTAAAGAGATGCCTGCGAAGTTACGAGCTTTGTATGGCTATAGTCAGCTGTCATTAATATTATTGAAAGGATCCACGTACGCGTTTGCTTATTTCCGCGGGATTTTCTGGTCTACAAAGTATGCATATCTGATCGTTGGTGCCTCACGTCGTGCTTGCCACAGATGTAACCGAGCCTTTGTCACTCACTTCGCTGTCGTCCAGCTTCGAGATTCTAAGGTCAATTTCCTATGTTACTACTTATCCTAGTGAATGCAGTCCTAGTGAAAGAAGAGTTGCGAATTTTCGATAACGGCGAAGTAATCTGCCTCGAATGGAAGGAGTAGACCCAAAAATGTAGTAGTTCTCTCGGTCGCTACACTAGAAGGATTGGTCAGATGATATTCGCTTTGAACTGCCAGGCATCCGGCGCTTCTGGAGTATACATTCATATGCGACTAGTGAAAGCATCAATCTGACGACTGTGTATTCTAGATACGAATCCGCGGCGCAAGGAAGGAGGAGAGGTGTGCTTAACTTGTACCTCGTGGCTTATATAGAACTGCTGGATGTCATTTGAATGAATACATACGGCCGAATTAATTGAAAGATGTTGCTCGGGTGTTTGAGCGAATGCGCCAGAGAATTGAAACCTTTAACACGGGCTTCTTTTGTGGTGTGTGCATCGAAGAATCTGAACGTGGGACACAATACAAATCCTGTCGTCGTCGCTTCTCCTACCAAGATACTCGCTTCCTTTGGGCACATACTCTAGTCGACATACAGATGGGTAAAACGCTAGTGCCGAGTGGTGGCACGAGACTTACCGTCTGAGTTGGAAAAGTTGTGCTATATCCGCAAGTAGCATTCAGTTTCTTTTAAGAATGAGAGCAGCATCCATAAACTCACTTTTAATACCGCATACAAGAGCGGATTCCTGACGGCTAGCGATATTACAGAAAATTCTACGCAACGACCCACTCAAACACCTTACATGATTTGGCGGCTGGTCTACGTCTCGTGTCAAAGATTGAAGCTAAACGCTACGCGCTAAGGCCGAAAAGACGTACCATCACGGAGCCGTCTCGAACGGCGACTGGGAACATAGATATGCTATCGGTTGCTCATCTCTGTCGGAGTCGTAGGCTCGATTAGTTTTAGCTCCGAAGATAGGGCGGTGACTGGCGAAACTATTGCGAGTCACGGCATAACATGTGACCTTGTTGATTCTGATCCCTTCCGGACCGGTAGGATAATTTTCTTCCTCCACCACCATCAAGACGCCGGCAAGCTATCATTCGCGTCTTGGGCTACTCTTCCTGCTTTTCGACGAGTTTTCCGAAGGACAACAATGGCAAGGAACAACGGCAAAGAACAACGGCAAGGACGAGAGTCTAAGGGTACAGATCGCATTGCGGGTTACGTAGCTCTAGTACTATGTGCGTGTCTCCTCCTGCCCACCGCATTCTTACCACTCACACGTTCATCCAGATATCCGTATGAAGAATTTTGGGATGTATTTCCAGATAGTTTCGAACTTGGTTTTGAATTCCTCGTCTTGCGGTATGTCAAGGCATCGATTTTTCTTCGCTATACTGTTGTTTCTTGCATGGAATGCTCTCAGCAAAGGAATCTCTGAACCTTCTGCGCTCAGTGTATTTTCCGAGTACTGTCTGGATCAAGAACGACTCGCCCTCACTTCGTCGTCCTATCCAGCCCTGAATTCCTCTTAATCGATGATTAATGTCGCAGCGTACATCAAGGACAGAATACGGAAATATTGCATGTCGGCGACGACGCGAACATCATATGCAGGCGGATTACTCAACAGCTTCTTGATAATGCTGTGATTACGAGTTGACTAGGGACCGATGTTTCCAAATCGTGGATTGCGTTGAATATGAATGATTCCTTTGCAAGATGGTGAGATACACGTCAGTCTCAGTTCAGACCTTATACTAATCAGCGGTGAAGGCGAGTGTGCGAACGTCTGGGTTCGTCTCACGGTCCAAAGAATTATCCGTAGCACCCTAAGACAGACGAAGACGTTTCTCATAGATATGTTCAATGTGTGTCGTCAAGAAGCCAGTATTGCCACTACCAGGAGGCTAAGATAGTCGGTAAGTAGATCCTTGGTGAACATGTACACATTCAGAATCGAAATTATTTCGCTGTAATTCACAAAATAATATAGAAGGACAGAGTTGAATAAGAAAGTCAACTAGAAGACAAAGCAGGCGGATTTGGAGTCTTGGAACCGCAATGTTTATCCTCTCGGTTGTCACTAATGCTATTATCAACATGTAGGCAATAGCTAATTTCCTCGTCCCTCATGAGTGCTAAGCGACCCCGCAGCACACACGCCCACCGCATCTGGAGGTCCGAGAACCGCATGAAGGCTTCCTAAGTAATTCCTCTGAGAGGACGGTTCGGGCCGATGTGTGAGAACGAGAAGAACGGTATCCGCTGACAACTGGCTATTCGACACTAACAAGCATCTCGGCATACTGCCTATGACTGCATAATAAACATTAAAGGTAACGAAAAGCTCTGTTTTCCATCCAGAAGCCTGACTTCGTTCTACCGACGGGCCGTGGAAGTAAGCGCCCATGACATGAGTCATCGTATAAATAAAGCTAACGTACTCATCGGTTCCGTTCTCTAAATGCCCCCCATGGCGTCCCCAGAGACTCCCTTCAAGATATCCATCCCAGATGACAAGCTCAAGCTCCTCCAACAAAGACTTGCTCTGGTTACATTCCCAGACGAGCTTGAAGACTCTGGAACGAAGTACGGCGCGCCGTTGAAGGATATTAAGCGATTGGTGGCTCGGTGGAAAGACGGCTTTGACTGGCGGGCTCAAGAAGCTGCTCTCAACGCGGAGCTCCCACAGTTTACTCGTGATATCGACATCGAGGGTTTCGGAGTGTTGAATATTCACTATGTGCATAAGAAGAGCGATGTCGAAGGGGCAGTACCGCTGCTCTTCGTTCATGGATGTGCGTATTATCCTCCAGATTCTGCGTGTGTATGCGGTAACTTATGCATTGTTATAGGGCCGGGAAGTTTCATCGAAGTGCGCAAGATTCTCCCTCTTTTGACGGCGTCGTCGCCAAAACATCCGAGTTTCCATGTCGTTGCCCTGAGCTTGCCAGGTTACGGATTTTCTGAAGGGACCAAGAAGCAAGGATTCAAGCTCGCTCAGTACGCTAAGGTAGGACTGTTCACGAGCAGGCCCGGAGCATTACTCACGTTAAGACACGTTGTAGGTCGCCCACAAGCTCATGCTGGCGCTCGGTTACAACGAATATGGTATGTAACCGTTACTTATTAGTTTTTTTGGGATCGTCTCCTGACTTTGTGCTTCCAGTTACTCAAGGTGGAGATTGGGGAAGCTTCGTGAGTGCCGTCTCTCCCTGGAACACAGCTACTTATCAACATACTCGTGCAGATCACTCGAAAAATCGCTCTTGTCTATGGTGGCAAGCATAGCAAAGCCTGGCATACCAATATGCCTGTGTAAGCATGTCTTTCCTCATTTCACCGTATAACGGGCCTGACTGGCTGTCTGCAGAGGCCGTGCTCCAACTCTTTATGAGCCCATACTGTACCTTCGCCACCTCTTGACGCCGTACACGGCTGCTGAGAAAGCCGGGATGGCGCAGTCTCAGTGGTTCAACACTAAAGGATCAGGCTACTTTGCAGAACAGTCTACTCAGCCCCAAACACTAGGATATTCGCTAGCTGATTCTCCGGTCGGTCTCCTTGCATGGATTTATGAGAAATTGGTGAACTGGACGGATGCTTACCCTTGGGATGATGATGAAGGTGCGCCGGCCCGAAGTTTCGTCTCTGTTTTCTCTAACGTGGCGTGGGGTTCTTTCCAGTCTTGGCCTGGATATCCATTTACTTGTTCTCGAGATCAGGTTCTACAGCGTCCATACGTATATATTACGAGGTTGTTTCATCTGACATGGGCGTCTTGGGAGAAAAACCGTCCATTCCACAAGGTTTATCATATTTTCCCAAGGACCTTATCTCCGTGCCTCGTCTGTACGTATCTCCTATGCTTGCCGTGAGTGGTTTACTGAGCCATCATTACAGCTGGACTCGTACCGTTGGCAATGTCGTCTTTGAATCCGAGCATACCGGTGGTGGGCATTTTGCGGCGCATGAAAAGCCTCAAGAGCTGGTGGATGACGTGAGGAAGATGTTTGGGAAGGGAGGGCCTGCGTTTGGGGTCGTTCCCGGGAAGACTGGGTATAGGTGAAGGGTGCGCCGGGAGAGTTATGTTTGATACTCAGCGGTTGATGAGTATTCCAAATCGTAAAGTCAGGCTGATAGGATGAAGTTGAAGGTTCGTGTAAATATTGGACTACAACAGTACGTCTTGGAAACTATCCATCCAACTGCTCGCATTGCAAGTCTAGCTAGTTATGAGTGCGAAGTTGTGAGCCCATCAGGGAAACTTCAATTCGATTTCTAAATCATTGGCTATCTCAATATCGGCACTCCTGCCTTGTTCACTATGAGAACGTGGTAAGACCTAGATTCTAACGAAATATTTAAATTTGATATCAAACTTCTGCCTGGTAGCCACTTGCACACGACGGGTCTGAACTAAGTCGTGACTCGATCTTTGCCGCGTCTTTGTTTTGGCAATGTCAGGCTTATGGGCGAATACTTAAATTTCATATTCGGCTTCTGCCTGACTTGTGACTCACTCTTCGCTTATGATCTTTGAACTTCTATTGTCTTGGCAATGTCAGCAGGGTCAACACCTTGGCGTCGGTTGGATCACCGATATTGACTTTAGCTATCCCTCCAGATGATGGGTATGAGAAGAACCATGCCGCGGAACGCGCGACCCTCTTTGTCGTAATGATACCTGGTGATGCTATTATGGTACGAAACATTCCGACTTATGACTCGAAAAATGGATACTCAAGTTGATATACTTTTTTTCTAGATATTTAGATGTTGCGTGTTCCCACAGCAGCGCTGGTAAGCCGAGCATTTTCGCATGCTAGTATTCATATCGATGGTAAGCTATGCCATAAAACACCCCTGTGACATTTTTCCGACGATCCGTGCAAGTAAGCGCTCATGACATGAGTCATCGTACAAATGAAGCGGTGGGCCAGTGCAGGGCATGGCAGATCCGAGTCCTGTGTGACCTGGGGGGGAAGGCTGAAAGCTGTCAAGCAACGATGTTCAACAGATATTTCAATGACAAGTGAAGATGAGGCCCTAGCAGCACGAAATGAAACGGAAGACAAAGAAAAAGAACAGGATCAACTAGAGTGCACGACACACAAACAGAAACGCTGAACATGAAACAAACAGAGGGAACCACATGGAGAGAGACAGCAAGCACGCCTATCTAAACAAGAGAGATGCGAAAGTAGAAGATGGTCGATTAGACAGCGGCGTATCAACAGACAGCCTAATTAATTAAGTCCGGCCACCAAACGAGACTGATAGCAAAAGAAGGAAATTGTGCACGACAAGGATCCGGAATTGAATGGTAATAAAGGGAATGGTCCCAAACCAAAACAATACAGCTCGGACAGAAGCAACAGAGAAAGAGAGGGAAATGCAGCCAACAGTCGCATGAAACTAGCATATCTCCAAGGACATATCAAGCCATATGTCAGACAGCACAATGTATTAGATGAGCTGATGAACAGTACGCAAAAAGAACAAGTCTCGAGACGCAGAGTGAAAGAATAGCTCCTAAAATGAATCCGCGTTCGATTCCAACGACCAACGCGTACCAAAAAGGGTCAGATAACCAACAAGGAGGGAAGTCGGGGTCAAGACTCAAACCCACATTTGCACACCAAAGCATCAATTTCTTCCTACCTCATTGACGGAAACTGACAGCGATAAATGTTCCGAACAGCGATGGACGAGAACTACCACACAAAAGGCGGCTAGTATGTAAACCACCATAGCAGACGAGACGAGAGGCGTTGATCGGAAGGGGATACTCACAGCGGTGTGTGTTAGGAGGAATATTACACACACGTAGGATAACAAAGGCAGGTTCTTCTTGAGTCAAGTCGACGAGAACGGTGAGCGAAGGTAAGTACTTATAGCAATCAGAGACGCAACAAATGGGATAACTCACATAAAAACCATAGATTTGAGGTGACGGAACCCTAGGTATTTCGGAAGGACGACATCGTGGAAACGCAACTGTCGATCATCGCGGTAGCCTTGAAGAACGGCCAGAAAAAGATCAATCTGAAATTACAATCAATAGCACTCATAGATGAAGGATTCACCAAGATAAGTGCCAACCATCTGAGGGAAGTCAAGGCGTACTGACAACAAGAATAGTAAAGGGAAAGAACGACGCACAACAAGAGCCTGAATGAGAAGAACGAGAAAAAAGATCGAGTCAGAGAAGGAGAGGCGCCAGTTAGCAGAGCTTCGAAGCATAAAGGAAGATACTGAACTATGCATACTACCAGCGAGCCAAAAATATACTGTTAATCATGTTGAAAGAGAGTTAAAGAACTAGAGCGCAACAGGGATGAGGATCCCCGATTCTTTCCGAATGGAGTGAGGAATAGAGAGGGTGTTTATCAGGGAGTCCGCGACCGATCGTCCACCATAGACCGTGGGCAGGGGCTATTTGGCAGTATTTTATTTTGCGTGCTAAATCTTTAGAACCAAACAGTTCTCTCGCGTTTCTTCCCGTTGTCTCTCCCGTACTGCCAGTATTAATTCAGAGCGGGTGGCGTTCTGTGTCTTAGCCGTGCATGCTGGAAAGGAATATAAGCCTCGCTACCTCTCCTCGTTCTTTTCTACTTTTTACCCCCTTTCACACCTCCTTTGCCTGTTTGCTGTGAGTTTTCTTCCGTTGTCGAGCTGCTTTTTCTTCTTTGCTCACTGAGACAACGTAGCTGTTGCCGAATAACCTTCTCCTGTCCTCCTAGTCATTGTCGGGCTACTAAATCCTGTCGTGAGTCATTGTTAGTTCATTGCATTTTGTATGGCTAACGGTAGTGATGTTACATGGCAGTGTGCATTGTTCTTATTTCGTTTCCTCTGTAGTGAGTTTATATGTCCTTAGTATGTGCTTGCGCTAACTCTATTGCCCTGGAAGCTATTCCTTGACACTTTGTTGCTCTGCGACGGCGCTTTGCGTCCCCTTTTTTGCGCTCGGCGCTCTTTACATTTGTTGTCCATGTTTCTGGTGAAAGCTCCATGTCGTTCACCCCGAGTTTTAAACGAAGCTGACGAACCCGGATGCTACGATGAGCAGTCTCCTATCCTGTTTCCGTTTTACTTCGACCCCTTGTATCATCCTGAATGTCACTCTGGTGTCTTAACACCCCAAACGGTTGCTTCCTGGCTTGAGCAGTGTTTTTCTTCTTAATTTGGATGGGAGTATGTTCAGGTTACGTTTTTCGATATGTCTTTTATTGTTGAAAATCACCTCTTAGATTTGTGAGTTGTGCTCGACCCTGCTTTTGTTGCGTCTGCTGAATTTCATCCGCGGCGGTGCCAAACACATTTTGAACAGTGCAATCCCGTTTGGATATACATGACCAGGGAGCAGTTAACAAACGGATTCGAGGGGCTGAATGTTGCTACGATTCGTTCCGGTATCTCTGTGCCACGAACTAAGAGGCGCTGTGAAGACGTGATAGCTGCCGTTGTTGACAAGTTTCTCAAATTGGTGTCAGAAGTTGTAAACACGAGAGACGAAGCTGTGATGGCTGCATACGATATGTGCAACGTGGGTGCTGGGACACGATGTCGAAGGTCAATAATGTTTCGGTTGTTTTAAGCCCAGCCCGGAGAAAAGTTGTTCCCTGGTATTGTGATACCCCAGTCCGGGAGTGGTCGTTTAGCTTCAACTGTTCTCGTCGTAAATCCTATGCTCGGATGCCTTGACCCCGAACTGGATAAGAAGATATTTACTTCTCGTGTTAGGTGTATTCCGCTTGCTCGTTTGAGATCGTGTATTCAGTTAATTCATTACTCTAGAAGAAGGTGCTTGTTGTCCGCACCTCGTGACGAACTGAGAGAGTTTCTTAGGTTGTCTATGCTGGCACGTTGGAACGAACTAATTGTTATGCTGCCTGAAATTGTAGGACTGATTTGAAATGCTACGTTGCGTCTGTTGATTATAAGTCATGGTTTTCCGTTTGTGATGTTATGGATTTTGAGTTTGGTCGTGATTTGTGCGCGTCTGTTTTGCCACCGATACGCGTTAGGAAAGTCGTATAACAACGACGTGACATCGTGTTACAGCTCGTGCAGAGGCTGCAGCACACATTAATGAACATTTTGCCACGGTTGAACACAATTGGCCACAACATGTTCTTCCTCACATTTCAACTGTCTTCGCATACTTCCTATGTGACTTGGTTGAAGAATTGTTTGAAAATGTAGTGGGGAATACCGGAGGGGGAAAAAAACTTGGATGCTGTCGCTCAATCTGTCCCAGCTTCTTTACCAATTTATCCAACCTAAGACTGATTTTCGCCCTCAAAAATCTGAAATCCGTTCCGGCCTCGTCCGAACATGGAAAGAATCGGGGACCGGTGCGAAGTCGCCGCTACTGGATGCTATCAACAACGCCCGTTCCAAATCGGTAGGCGGACCGGCAGCCATAGAGAACACATCAGCAATATGATGCAAACACTGATAAATATCGGACTTAACCAAAATGCACCGCCACCGAGTACCCTCAAACCGAGTCCTGTAATACACCAGGACTCGGAAACGACCTCGTTCTCGGCGGTTGGGGTATCTCTGACTTGTCTTTGGATAAAGCAATGGAGCGGGCTCGTGTTCTCGACTACGACCTCCAACACCATGTGGCCCCCCCCAACATGGCTCAGATCAAACCCCTCCCTTCCATCTACTACCCTGACTTCATCGCTGCAAACCAAGAAGCCCGCGCGGACAACCTCATCTCAGGCTCCGACAAGCAAGCCCATCTCGAGCATATTCGTGCCGATATTCGCAAGTTCAAGAAGGACAACGGCCTTCACCGCGTCGTCGTCTTCTGGACTGCCAACACCGAACGCTACAGCGACCTCATTCCCTGTGTCAACGACACTGCTGACAACATGAATGCAATCAAGATCTCTCACCCAGAAGTTTCCCCCTCTTCCGTCTTCGCTGTCGCTGTGATCCTTGAGGGCGAACCCTTCGTCAACGGTGCTCCCCAGAACACCTTCGTGCCAGGTATCATCGAGCTCGCTGAACGCGAAAAGTCCTTCATCGGTGGTGATAATCTCAAGTCGGCCAGACCAAGCTCAAGTCCGTCTTGGCCGAGTTCCTCGTCAATGCTGGTATCAAGCCGTTGTCCATCGCGTCGTACAACCATCTTGGTAACAACGATGGCCACGACCTCTCTGCGGAGAGGCAGTTCAGGAGCAAGGAGATCAGCAAGAGCAGCGTTGTGGATGATATGGTTAACGCAAACAGGTTGTTGTTCAAGGCTCCTCAGGCGGGCGTGGAGGGTAAGGGTGAGCACCCCGACCATGCTGTGGTTATCAAGTATGTCCCTGCTGTCGGCGACTCCAAGAGGGCCATCGACGAGTACTACTCTGAGATATTCTGCGGTGGTCGGTCGACTATCAATACCTTCAACGAATGCGAGGTATGCTACGTAGGGTTTTTCTCTTCTGTTCGCTTTCTAACAGCCTTTCGTAGAATTCCCTCCTTGCTACGCCTTTGATCCTCGACTTGGCTGTCCTCACGGAGCTCCTCACTCGCGTCAAGTACCGCAAGGCCGAGTCTGGCGAGTTCCAGCCTCTCTACAGCGTCCTCTCGTTGCTCTCGTACATGCTCAAGGCGCCGCTCGTCAAGCCTGGTAGGTTTTGTCCTCTCTATCGGTCTCTAAGCCAGCTAATCCGTTCCATGTAGGCACCGAAGTCGTCAACAGCCTCAACAGACAGCGCAACGCGCTCGATGCATTCCTCAAAGCCTGTATTGGTTTGGAGGGTAGCAGCGACTTGTTGTTAGAGACTAGGATTTGGTAGATCTAGAATCTTTACGCCGTAAGGGTTCAACATCCGTAGATTAGATTTTTGCTTTATGTGTCGAGCGTCCATTCAACTGTCGTCGACGAAGAAGGGTTGACTAAAATGGTCCCCCAGTTTTTGTGAATATATACGTCCTGATTTTGAATGAATGATATATCGATTGTTTTGCCTTTGTGATGGCCTTGTTTGTGTTTCCGCCCCATCGAAGTTATCGCATACCCCTACAATGTCGAGATCGATTTATTTCAGGTTCCGTTTGTCTTCGCGCCTTGTCCACAATGTGCTAGCCGTATACTTATGTCCGCAGGCAGCATGTCCCGGTTGCTCAAGCATTTCCTCAAGTTCGAGGAGGATAACCTGCGCCAAAGCAGAATACACCACTCCGGAGATAGCTATTATGTTCTGGCCTGCACACGACAAATACAGTCCCCCGGAGATTGTAAAATGTGGTCATGGCCTTGGTGACGCGTATCTCATTTCTGACTGTGATTAGTGTTGACCAGACCTTTGTGCATTTGTTTTCCCTTTCCATTAAATTTCCGACAGTCCTGGGATTCGCGAACCTACAAGCAAGGCCCGGGGTTTCGATGAGACGACACGATGATCTGTATGTGATCCTTCATTTATGCACCAGGCTTTCCTTTCATTTGCAGGGATGATGGATCTTCGAAGAAGCTCAATTGAATCAGGAACTTAATTCTCTCTGGCTCATAAATCATCACACACATAATTGCATACAACATACACGAATTACACTGTCGAAACTCTTCACGATTACAAGACTGCGAACTTCATTAGCATGCAGAGTCTGCATTTAGGTAGCCTCAAAACTTACTACTTCGCAATCACGCACTCTCAGAACAGAAAATAGACGAGAGCTGGTCGTTGTATCCAGCGAACCAGTTCAAGCTAGCGTCGCCACTGCTGAACAGAAGATCGAAGCAATCATCGTCGGCATAATAGTAGCATACACCACAACTGCCGGTGTTCGTCTGGTTGTAACTGCACAAGAGTCTAATGAGAAACAAAGAACATCCACTCTCAGAGGAAAACACTTACGAGCTCACGGCATTGTCTGTGAATCCGGTCCAACCATCACTGGCAGTAGTGTTCAGGCATTTGCCAGTCGGGACATCGTACTTCCAATCACAGTTAACATAGTACGCATCATCGCAGAGACGGATATCAACTGCCGAAATGATGGGCGTTATAACAGCGAGAGAGAGAGCAGCGAACTTGGAAGTGAGTTTGACCATTGGATAGCTGAGCTTAATGCTGGAGCGATGGGAGATGTGAAGTGCTAGGTTGCCTTTATATAAGAGACTCAACATTCGAGGAACACGATGGGGCTGACCAGTTGACCAAGAAGAATCCTGAAGAATGGCTCGTTTCACATGGCTACAGTCAGACGCCATCAATAGCACTGACAGGACTAATGTACGGTATTTACTTGATTCCATAGGTGCCTCCCATTCTATGAAGTTGGTGTCTTGTGAGTCGTCGTTAGCGCTGTATGTTGTAGTATTTTCCGGAGATATAACTTACCTTTCGTGTTCTCACTTCATTAGATTCCATCTGAACCTTGCCGCCCGAGTCCGACACAAGTCTTCTCTTTGCCACTACCATGCATGGTACTCACCACTCGTAGCGACATAATCCGCCCTACATCACCACCTCAGAAGACATCTTATGCCACTCCTCGTAAAGAGTCGCCGACCCGGAGGAAGCCAATACCTATAAGTAATGTCAAGCATATTCTGCATCCATGGAATAGAATGTAATTTCAGTTTGTCTTAGAGCTTACAGAAAATTTGTGGATATGTGTGGACATACAAGTCTCTTCCGCTCCTTATTTACAATATGTACACAGTGCTTGTTCATGTTCATGTAGCCTCTCCAGCTACTGATACGAAGCTATGGTAAACTATTTGTGTTTCTAGTACTTATGAAACTTCGACTCTCACTGCGAACACAATAATGAAGCAAGAAATATGAGCCTCGATCGCTGTGACTGAAATGAATAGCTCCGATTTTAAACCTATCTCAATATGTCTCGACTCTTTTCTTCTGCTACAGCTAAACATATCCTAGGTACCCGCTCTCATTCATTATTTCATCCTAATAATAATACGGATAACTGATGCAGTGGTATGTACACTCTCCTACTACCGCAAGCTTGGTAGCTCATTAACCAAACATCATCTGACACTTCAGTTCTTCTGGTGCGGCAAGCAGTATGGTATATTTTTGTGTAGTTGACTCCGATGTCATCGCAAATTCGCAAATTCCAATGCTTCTTCACTGGGGCTGGATTCCATAGATTAATAGCATGGACAGCTGACATCATTAGAATCGCAAATATGGATTCTAATGGGAGTGAGAATGCGAAATGTAAATTATGTGTGTGATGTATGAGCGAGAGAGAATTAAGTCGATGATCCCTGCAAGCGAAAAGGAAGCCTAGTACATGAATGAAGGATGACGTACAGATCTCCACGTTGTCTCATCGACACCCCTACAGCAGAACAGGTCTTGCTCATCAGGGTCTTCCAGCCATCCTTGTAGGTTCGCGAATCCCAGGACTATCGGAGATTCGGAAATTTAAATGGAAAGGGATATATCTACAAATTTTGGTTTTAATGCGGCTTCTCTTGATATCAGGAGTGATCACAAGGTAATTGTGCATCACGCTCTTCACGCAGGTTTACTAATCTCTGATCAACAGCATGTTTTCGCTGCTTAATCTTATTTCAGCATGTTATCCTCCAATTGATTCATCTGTTGGAGTTTCAAGTGTCATGCATCACAGCACAGTTGACATCGGGATCATCGGTTGTCAGGGTTAGTCAGGCAAGAACTCGTTTATTACATCCTGTTGCTTCTATTAGTGTACACGGTGAGTAGATAAATAGGTAGTTGAATGAAGACAACCCTCGCCTGTTTGCGAGGGTTCCCTGCTATATCCGGATGAGCAGCTGGAGAATTACCGCTTATCTCAACATCATCTTCGAAGGATATAACCTAGATCTCTAGTATCTCACATGGCCTGATTATCTGGTTTTCCTCGTGATAGATTTCGTACTGCCAAAATGTTGGTTCATTTCTTACCATTTGGCATTGATAATGGCTGGTAGGATAATTGTCAGTCTACATTAACTCCTTGCTGCCCATGTGTGTCCTTCCCCCTGCAGCCTGATTTTGCTTCAAGCTGACCGCATCTAGGTTAAATTCGTGAAGGATGCAAGAGGCAGCGACAGGCCACCAAGAATCTGATGCTCCCAAGGTCTTCAGGCTTCCGTTTCAGGGCTCCAAAAATGATAGCGTCAGTTGTAGTGATCCCGAAATTCACCTCACAGAAATTCAAGGTGTTCAGTCATTAGATAAACTGAATCGTTCAAAGGGCGCAATCGATTTCGAGGTTCAAAGCCCGTTATTGATATTCTGAAAATGGCCTGATGCTGGAGACTATTTTGAAGGGAACCAGCTTGATTTTGGGAGATAAATCGTATGAATTATTCACTAGTGGCATGGGCGCATCTGGTAAGGCTAGAAGAAATGTAGAAGAACTTTCGTAAACAGTGTCCTTGTGGCTAAAGAATGAATATATAGATTCTTGGTATTTTCATCTATGTTCATTCCTGAGATGCATCGTTTCAAGTGAGTATCATCATACCGATTCTGGAGAAGAAAACCAAGAGAGGCATTCAGGGTTTTGTGATTTATCAATGGTCATTGACATAACTTTGCCATTCTTTTCAAGTTTAACTGAACCTCGAAACACGCCAGTGAGAAGTGAACAACCTTTGCAAATATATCAGTCAGTCAATGAAGTAAATGTGGAACTCACCGAGAGTAGCCCATGTTGAGATAAGCGGTAATTCTCCAGCCACTCACCCGGAGATAGCAGGGAACCCTCGCAAACAGATGAGGGTTGTCTTCATTCGACTACCTATTTATCTACTCACTGTGTACACTAATAGAAGCAAAAAGATGTAATAAATGAGTTCTTGCCTGACTAACCCTGACAACCGATGATTCCGATGTCAACTGCGCTGTGATGTGCGACACTTGAAACTCCAACAGCCCAAACTATGCCAGCATGACAATATGCAGGTCACTCAATGTGACATCTTTTCATAACATTTCCGAAGAGTCACAGTTCCTCCAGAGTTTATGTTGTATTGTCGAGGTCACATGCATCACTGTCTCTCCTTGAGAGAGCAGGCCAGACAGTGCATAAGAACAGACTGATATTGAGCTACACAACCATGAAGATATGCCATGGCACAGTTAGGGCTTCGCACCGTCACTGTATAATATGGTTGTACGGGTACCGTAACTGTACCGTCGAGGGCTTGAGAAGCACCCATATTGATGGCCATTGACATCTGTGTGTATGGTATGTAGCCCTGAATCGCTGGGGAGTAAAATTTAGCTATCCCTCAGGGCTCAGAAGCTAAGTACGAAGTAATACCTTTCATTACCATTTATTTCCAGGCCATTGCAGACTAATTTAGAGGTGTTCTTGCATACTTGGGACTGATGACACAACTGTACACCTGTTAGGGGTATTTCTTTATAGTGAGAACCGGTTCTCCAACGAGGGTGATGATGTTGAGGTGTATCAGAAAACAAGCTAGGTATGTTTTAATGACTACATGGTATAGTCTTATGCTAGTCTGACCTACCAAGCCCAGCTCCTTACATATGGCCATACACACAGCCATGATGGATGTACTCATACAGCCAGTACACCGTCAACAGATTGGAGCTGACAGCTGTATACCATATATGGTACAGTGCGAAGCCACAGGCACAGTAACCTAGCTGAGTTCAGACTTCAAGGACATCCCTCCTCGATTGAAGGAAGAGAAGCGATATAGAGCCATACAAACTCCCATGCCAGAGCCCACATAGAGTTTCTGCTGGGTGAATGTGAAAAGAGCCATAGGCTCGAAATTAGTACACTCCACGTCAGTGAATATGATGTGTTCAACATCTGGATGATATCTCTCCTGAAGCAGTAGAGGGTCGACATGAGAGCACATTATGGGAAATCCAGCGAGTCTCACACAAGAATCTACCCAAAGATTGGGATCCTTATGGGTTGAACCACTGGTTTGTCTCCTTTGTGCCAAAGATCTGCAAGGCCAGTCATCGTGATCACAATGCTATTGGTGCTGAGCAAACTGATAAGAAATCCGTAGATGTGCCATCCGATGGCGGTGATGGTGGTGGATGAAAAGGGAACTGACCAGAACAGTGATGCCATCACATCATCTTCGAGCTCGACATCTGTCATATCAACAGCCCATACCACAATATTATTTCTCCTCATTGCCACACTGCTTACCAGCTAAAATTGACTGGGTCATAACTCAAAAAAAGGATGATAGTGAAGGACCGTATGCCTACCTACCCCTTTCTCTCTGCTTTTTGTACGTGTCCTGTATCTTTTTTGGCTCACAGTGAATCATCCAGGAAATTCTTAGTTGTGAAATGAGGATGAACTATTGAAGGAAGCTCTCTTACACATTGACATCACAGTCGTATCATGCAGCGACACTGAAATATGTTTTCAAGTAAAATTGTGGAGGTATGTTGCCGCTGCCCCCTCCACTTCTGCAACTCCGGACTGCAATACCTAGCACTCAAGGCATGGTTTAACTCGCAATGGAGACTAAGTAAGGTGACAACTGGAAACTTGTATTCCTAATGTCTGGTGCTTCATGTTCCATCTTTTCTTGATATGAGGCTCGACGGGGGACCCCTTTTGACAGAAACAGATGTGCATATTGATCCATTTGACGCTACCTCAGCAAAGTCCTTTATACGTCATTGGGATAGTCTCTCCGAATCGCCAAGTTCAAGAGGGGGCATTATATTGATGCAGAGGCATCGTGTTTTCACATATGACTTGCAATATATTCTGAATTATTGAAAGTATACTGATCAGGGCTACAAGCGCTTCCACAACCAGGCAGCACACGTTCTACCAATCATAATCATTAATGAGCATTTCTGCTCATACTACTTGGCAAGCATTTCTTGAAGTGGGACCAAATCTAAGGAGAATCTAGTTGAGTGAGAGAAAGTAGATTAAGTACGTGCCCTAGAATGCTGTTGTGATGCGGTTTGTTTACTTTGCTTTCAACCAGCTTTGACCAACGGCATGCTAATTCAGCTGAACCTTTTTTCCACTAGCCTAAAAATCTACAGTTGTGACTGGGACTCGAACAACATGACTTCCAGTTATGATAGTCCTCGTGTATGCTTTATTCTTCGGTTCAACAAAGTCTGGATTACATCAACTTGGGACGGACTCTCTAGGTCATCCATATTCAAGCATCAGCCTACCAAGTCGGGTTAACTGGTTCAAGCTGGTGTCGCCACTACTGAACAATGACTCGACTGCCAGTGGCATGAGTATACAGCTTTCAT